ACAGGTGCAATGCACGTTTGCTGTACCGCGGTCCCCTTGCAGGCCAAGCCAGTGGTGGTATGTGGCTTCTCCTTGACGCCCACAGGAAGGACGTTTCACAACATTTGCGTCATGATTACTTCAGCCCTCGCCTGCCTCCACAGTGCAAGATTAGAGGCGACGTGCGGCGTAGCCACAGCCGGGCATGATGATATTAGCTAAACATCCCGATGTAGCAAGACCATCCTGACATTTTTGAGACTCGGTGAGGATTATCATGGGTAAATAATTGGCATTTAGAATAATTTTAATCACAATATTTTTCAGTATCATCTACAGTGCTGGATTACAGGCCACGAGCATGGAAACCACCATCGCCACCACCACGGCCTGGCAAAAGCACACTCACTGGTGCCACGCAGTTCCCGACGCCTTCCTCGGGGCAGATCCGAGGACCTTTTTGAAAAGGCCGACTCTGGTGAGCGACTTGCCATCACGAGCCCTGTCGCCCTATTGGCCGCTATGGCACGACCCTCGCAGTGTGCCCGCGCAAGCACGCACACAAGCACCCGCGCGTATCCGGCAGTAGTTGGGGCCTCCTTATTTACGACGTTAATGATGACAGCGGAGGAACGCAGTGGGGGTGGCGGCACGCTCAGCATGCCGCCACCACTCGTGTGGAAAGGGCGGCCTCACGGCCTAGTGACGGCTCGCGCGCCGTCACTAGGCTGTGAGGGTTCTCTTCCGGCGACGGCGAGCCAGGGGGGGGGTGGTCGCCTTCTGTCCCGCGGGACGAGGCGATCGTCCATCTGTTGGGTTCGCGATCGTCACGGCCGCACCGCTTCATCATCATCCTCCTCGTGGTTTGGTCCATTGCCAAGCGGGCGCTTGCTTTCCCTTGGATGAACCCGCCCGCCCCGCCCCCCCCCACCCCCACCTTCTTTTACCGTGCAATTTACGTTCCGTCGCAAATCCGACGAGCGCCCGCCATCGCATGAATGAGAGCGGCGTGTGGGATTTGCGCGACTATGTGGCGGCGGGTTTGTGCGGTGAGCAATTCGTGCCAAACGTTTAGGGCCCCGGGTCGCTGAAAGGACCCCCGGATTCGTGAATTTGCGGGACAACTGGGGTGCGCCAAATATCAGCTCGACGCTCGGATACTTGAAAATGTAATTTTAAGTGTAATTTTCATTGCGATTAGTATAATTTTGTTACTTCATGCTTAATCACCTTACGTGGCTTGTCCCCGTCACATCGCGTTGGTCGTCATGTCATCGTCCGGGTCACTGGTAGCATGGAGTCGGTGGCGGCACATCACTAAGCGGCTACAGCCGGAGCGAGAGGTATATACTGGATGTGGTGTGACGGGGGTGACATCGTGATCCGTCCCACTCGGGAGCGCCAGGTGTGTCGTTCGCTCACAGAAGAGCGGAGGGGGGGGGTGGGAGGGCGTGGTGGGGGGCATGAGGGGGCGGCCCCTCTCCTCCGCGGAGGGACGGCAGAAGGTTTTTACGGCCCGCCGTTACATAAGCGTGCGATAATTAGCTATTGAGTCGGACATCCTTTCACATTTATGTCTCGGGGTAGTAAAGCGCACAAAGAGCCTCGCGCAGGAAATCACGCTGTTTTGTGTCGCCTCCGTGCGTTGGACGTGAATGCTCGGAGACTGTCGGCTAAACGCGACATTTCTGGCACCGGGCTTTTGGCAAGCGCCCACGATGTGGAATGGCGCTTTGAAAAAGAAAGAAAAAATCTGCTGCGCTCATAAAGGGTGATTAATAAATTCGAGTAGTGGTAACTCTCCGTGTTGTCCGGGGGTGTCCCGCGCGTTGCCCGGCATCGCGTCCGACGTCTCGCGCCGTGTCCTGGGAGTTTCTCATGTTCGGTTCTTGAAGCCGCCAGCGCGCGGAGGGAAATGTCGAAAACACCGTGCCGAACAACGTGCGCAGAACGACCTGACCAACACGCATCGGACACGCTGTGACGGGGCATCCGCGAAAGCCTGCACGGTCAAATAATCATGTCCATGTGCAGTTTTGATCCCGCAGTGGATGCGGGCTGACTCGCCAGCAACAATAATCGTCAACATCTCTGTAATTAATTACAAGGCAAAATTCAGTTTTTTTGTTAAGTTAATGGTGTTGAGCAGTTGTGCAGTGATTAAAGGCAGCACCGCTGCAATGGACTTGGTGACCCGAGTTTAATTCCAGACCGTGTGTAACACCTCGAACCAATCCTGGGTGCCCCCCTTGACCAGTCTACTCAGACTAGTCTGGTGAGGTATGGTCACAAACACCCCTCTTGATGAAAGGGCTTAGAGAGGCCTTCATCCAGCAGTGGATGGACAAATCACTGTACATTCCTCTTAATGTATTTCAGTTACAACCACCACGTCACCAACATAGGAAATGTCATCGCAGATAAAAAAAAGTTAATCTCCATAGAATACAGGGAAAAGGAAATGGGATCATAAATAAAATATTATCAGTTGCTCCATAAATCTTAAATGAAAGGATCATAATGGAAACCGTGACACTGTATAATGTGTGTTAAAAATATATGCATATACGTTTATCTGTCCAGTTATGCCTGTTGAGATATAGATTTGTACACTGACATTTATAGCAAAACCAAAAATGTAACTATGAAACTATAAGAAACAATTTCTGAACTAATAAAACTGAAACTATTTTAAGTTTACTAGGTAAGGCCAACTGAGCTACATAGCTCTTTTTCAGAAGCAACTGGCCACAAATTAAAGCTCAACTTAGTGGCCGATCATGTGGCAATTTATAGCGGCCAAATACTCTGAACGCATGTTGCAAATGTGGAGGGGAAAACCACGTGACCACGGGGAGAACATGCACAATTAAAACACGTTCCTTCGGAGTGGGCAGGTAGGAACTTGGTTGGACAGCGCATTCGTGCACGACTGAGAAATATGCACGACAGACAGACAAATAATCCCTGGTGGGCAGTGTGGAACCTGTTGTTCCTACCTGTAATATACAGGCATCAACACTTAAAATATACAAGCATCAAGGTTGGGATTGAACCCACAGCCTCCTGTATACCGGGCGAGGTAGTCAACATCTCGCCACCATGGAGCCCTTGAATATAACATTGACTAGATTTTTAAAAACCTTGAATATAACATTCACGCTGATTTTTAAAAAAATATCCCCACTTACCCAGGATTACTTAAAATGTTTGAACCAAAATACCACGGCAAGTGAAATACGTACGTAGCATTCGGGGCCGTGTGAATTTCGCGCACATGTACTTCGCAAAACTCAGCAGCATCTGTTGCGCTTACCCACTCGTCTCACCCCAGCTTTTCGGGGGGGCCGACTCCGGGCATGGGTCATCACCCCATGCTTTTCCCATTATCGCGTCCAGCATTTAACCACGAGCATAAAGCCGTCGCCGTCGCCGCCGCCGTTAATCCCAAGGGCCCGTTCCGAGGTGGCGGACGGGGCACGAGGGAGCGTGAATAGTTCCGCGTTAACTTTTTTTTTGGTGCGGCCTTTAAAGAAATTTACGGCCGGCATTCTTTGAACTCCGTTAGATCGGATGGCAGCGAAATATTTCTGCGGCAGATGGAAATTCTGTTTCATTACTGCTTGGTGGCATCTGCTGTATAAAGAAGAAGGGGGGGGGGTGCAGAGGTCACAATTGAGGCTCTAGCCACAACGGAGTCGTAACTTTAAGACGGGGGGGGGAGAGGACAGATTTAGTGGCCGTCGTCTCTAAAGAAGCGCGGGGGCAAACGAACACGCCGTTGCGAATCGCTTGGTGTGCTCGACTTGCATCGCGATAATGTAAACAAAACGAACCGAAAAAAAGAATGCGTGCGCAGTGTCCGGCGAACCGTCTCGCTCCGCAGATGTCCCTCACCTGGCAAGGGTGGTGGATGCTTTTCACGCACAATGGGGCTCGCCGCAGGTGCTCGGTCTCGCAGGGCGACGAAAGCCTCAAGTCCCCTAAACCAAAGTGGTACTTTGGTTTGCAGCTGTTTGTTGCTTCGGAGTGAAAGACAAAGATCCCCCGTTTAGTCACAACAGATTGTTGAGGCGAGTGCTGTTAGCGGGGTAGTGCCCATGCAGGCAGGGTGGCGTCCGCACACGAAAGGGCAGGGTGGCTTGCACCACGCCCGGCTGCTGTTGTTTCCCCAGCGTTGATGTTTACACCCCGAAACCAGCTACTCATTTGAGGCTGAGTCGACCAAGGGGAAGCCCAGGATCGGTTCAAATATTCATCACTGATATTGCCCGTGAGCTGGAATCTAACATCGGGTAACCCAGCTGCATTTGTTTATCAAGCCCGGACACCGGATGAGAACGTTGAAATTGGTTGAGAGTTTACTTGCTGAAACGCATGCTGTTGATTAATGTTGCCAATAGGCCGATGGACTAAAATTAACATTGTTATTGATATGTGGAGGCAGAGAACATATATAATATAGGTTTTTTGAGTTGGATCGCATAAATATATAAATTGTTTGTTAAACCCGCCACCACCCAACACAGTCAACTTGTAAGGGTTGTCACGTGAACAGAATATGCCAATTCGTCACTAGTACAGCACACCGGTGTGTCGGAGAGCCAAGCCACAACATTTACAAACTGAGTACGACGTTTTGCCAGTAATTACAACTAGCTTCATGGTGGCGGGTTTAACGACACATTTATATCTTGATGCGATCTAACCCAAAAAACCTCTCGTGGATGATATTGGTCACGAAAGCCTACATGTTAAACAGAACGTATGATTTCTGCACATGGCCAGTTGACAACAGTGTGCGTCCCTAATAGCAACGCAACTTTATAATCTCCATTGGTTCCTCTCGGACCATCAACACGACAGTGATCGTGTCCGCCTTGCTCGGGACGGGCAGAGTTGTAGCTGATACAACGAACTTTTTTAACCCGAGTTGCAAAACATTGGAAACGCAAGAAGGAATGCGTTTTTTTTTTTTCATCCTAATTTGTATGTATATTTGTCATCATCGTCCGTCTCAGGCGGCGAGCAGCCATCTCCGCGCTTCGCTCAGTTCTTCCGCGGAGACATTGCGGGCTTCACGGTGCTGCCGGGGCACTGTGGAGACGCAGGCCGTGGTCGGCGTGCCTTCACGCCTGCAAGGAGAGCCTCGATCTGCCCGCCCTGCCCAACGCCTCCAGCGTCGTGAAGGTGAAGTGTGTGACCCTTCCTCCCCACAACCCGACCCCATCCAGGGCCGGTTTAACGCAAGGGGCTTCGGGGGACTGCAGCCCGGCGCCTCGGGATTTGGACGACCCTCCCCACCCTCACAATAGAATATAGATGTGTAGTAGTGTTAACTACTCGCTGTTTGCAAACTGTGAGAGAGCGGATCGTAAACAAGGTTTTCCCCGCTCAATCAAACGGTCAGGGTCAAATGGGGTGAGGTAGGATCCAAACGCCAGATTGGGAAGGACCAATCAGAGGGTTCCACAAGGTGGCCGGGGATTGGACAACCCGGCCACGAACAGGTATAAAAGGCCGAAGACATCTAGGACCCTGGACCAAGCCCTCCAGCCCTTATCAGGGCTAGGGTTCAGTGTAACCAGTGGTCGGGGAGAGATCCCCTAGGTCCAGCCAGAGGACGCTGGGATAGCAGGGAGATTAGATAGGCTGCAAGGTCCGGAGGCTGTATCTCCTTAGAATAGGAGCTGAGTGTGAGTGTGGAGCTGTGCAAGGTCCGGAGGCTGTACCTCCTCAGGTTAACGGGTGAGGGGACCATATACCCCTTTGTGTGATAGGGACTGTGTATTAAGACAATAAACAGTGTGTGCCATAAAGAAGCTTAGAAGTCCGTCCTTTACAACACTACAGATGTACGCCAAGTCCTCACTTGACGTGCGGTGTTCACGCAACGCGATTTCGCCTTGACGCGGTTCTTCCATTAGGCAACACTTTTTGTACAGTTGCGAAACGCGCACGTTATCACGTGGCTTCTGAGCGGTCAGCGACGAACTACTTTCTTGAGCCGAGCGGAGTGATGCAGTACGCGGAATGATACAAATGATACAGTCACGTGGCGAAGTGTACCCTCGGTTATTTGCCCCGCCATCTTACCGTGTGTGTGTCCTGTACATTGTATCTCGCCAAACTCTGTTGTTACATTATTTATGAGGATATTGATTTCGCCAAACACCTTCATCGCTGAACGCGGCACTTTCCCGGAACGCATTTACCGCGTTAGATGAGAACTTGCTGTTTCACTTTATAATGGTGGACCTTTTTGCCAGTATCAATAGTTTTTAAAACAGGTGTTTTATTGCCAGAAAGGGCAAAACCTATTCTTATTTTTTTTCACGCTTTTTAATGTTTGAAATGCAATACAGCGGTCAGGAACACCGATAAATCCTTGTACTGCCGTGGTATAGAGATCAGCACACTGGACTTGCAATACACGGGTCACAGGTTCGATCTGCTGGCGCAGCTGAAACAACAGGTGCAAGTTTCTTAAATCTCCCCACCGCCTCTATCAGTGGAGCAGTGTGCATGGGTACGTACACCACAATTAGTTGATCGGTGGGTCACGTGTTTGGGGAACAGGTGTGGCTATTGCCAGCCTCTTCAAGATGTCCAGCCAGTGTGGAAGAGTAGGCCAAAATTCCCCTCTTGACGAGCTCTCTATAGAAAATCTCTAATGTGGAGGTCCTTGTATGGGCAGTGCGGTGAGAAAGCAGGTTCAGGGCTTCATCTTCTTGGTTCTTTCGGTAAAGTCACGTAGAATGGAAATAATAAAATAATAAAAATTAAAAATGATCAAATATTCTCACGACGTTTCGGCCGCAACGCAAGCAGCCGTCCTCAGGTGAAGAACAGGTCTGTCGATAAGACAGAGTCTGAATGACACGTCCTTTATTATGTTTTATTTTTATTATTTTATTATTTCCATTCGACGTGACTTTACCGAAAGAACCAAGAAGATGAATCCCTGCAGTCACGAAAGCTTTAAATCGAAAGGTTCAGGGCTGTAGAAATCTATCTCTTACGCTTGCCACAGGACCAAAGCATTCTATACGTTCGGATTAACTTATCTAAACGGACGCCCCCCTCCCCTGCTCCCCCTCGGTTCGTTACATCTCCTCGCAGGTGCACTTCAACCCGACCAGGCTGACCCTCACGCTGGAGGTGGAAGGTCACGACCTGGAGCAGCTGACGGAGGCCGTTAAGCGCGTGGCCTACGTCAACACTCGCCAGTTCCCCACGCCGGGCCCCCGCGACCTCCACCTGGCCACAGTGCTCCAGTGAGTCCGCTCTCCGACCCCCTCCGCAGGGCCCACGCCGCCACATTTGTTGAGTGCCGGTGAAGAAGGAAGCAGGCCAGGGGTGGGGAGGGGGGGGGATGCCTGTCTTGCAGCCCCTAAAAAAGCTACAAACCGGTCCAAGGGAAGAAAAAAAAAATGCGTTGTAATGTTTTCATAATCAACGTTTTTGGGGTTTAGATCGCGTTATTTATAAATGTGTCGTAACCCTCCACCACCCGACACGGCCAATCAGTAAAAAAGTGTCACGTTGACAAAAGACAATTAGTTCACTGCTTTAGCCCACCGGTGCGTTGAAGCGTGAAACCACAACATTTACAATTTTTACTGATTGGCCGTGTCGGGTGGTGGAGGGTTACACCACATTTATAAATAACGCGATCTAAACCCAACAACGTTGATTACCAATATTTTCAGTAAAGAAACTAGAACTGTTTGTTGATATTAGGCGCCACGGTGCTGAGATGTTAATTACGTAAGAACGTTTGTTATTGCGCACTCGTATGATTCCAGTCCATCACGAATGAGTGTGACTACCTCGCCTGGTATATACAGGGGGTCGTGGCTTTGATCCGGACTCTGACGCCTGCTGTATATTTGGAGTTTGCATGTCTCTCTCCCGGCGCTCACGTGGATTTTTCTCCTGGTCGTCCGGGTTTTCCCTCCACGTTAAGAGTCGACGTCACGCGATTCTTTGGCTGCTGTAAATTTGCACGTGATGAGCGACTTCGTTGAGCTATCATTTGTGTCAAAGTCGCTTCTGAAAGAGAACTATACAGCTCAGTGGGCCTTACCTGGTCAAATATAAAAAATAGTTTAGTTGTATAGCTCAGTGGGCCTTACTTGGTAAAGTAAAAATTACATAAAATAACATTAACTTTTCAATGTGAGCAGTTCAAAGGAATGGTATCTGTTAATTACTTGCTGTGTCACGAAAAGCGTTCGGCATATTGCCACTATGGACGATGACGATTACGACGACGACGATCGTGACGGCGATGATTATAATCAAGACGACAATTACTTAAATGTTGATGATGACGATGATGACGACGGGCGCACCTCCACCCGCCAGCTGCGTGGAGGAGGGCTGCCCGGACGTCCCGGAGGTGAGCGCGTACGTCATGGTGCTGCAGCCCGAGGACCCGCACATCATGCTCAGCGGCGCCGACTCGTTCGCGCGGCCCGCCGGGGAGTTCCCCGACTGGCGTGGTGCTCTTCCCCGACCTGCGGGTCGTGAGCTCCGTCACCCGCGAGGTGCCCAGCGACGTGGGAGGTACGCGGGCAGGTCGCTGGCGCGGGCGGGCGGACGCAGTCGCTAACTCTCCCGACGCGGTGTGTGTGTGTGTGTGTGTAAATGAGTACCTGGTGTGGTGTGTAAACATCGCCACTGGGGAGATAAATTTCAGCCGGGCGTGGTGCTGACCACCCACCTCCTCGTGTGCCGTGCTGGCCTTCATAGGTACTCGCTAAGAGCACTTGCCCCAACAGTCTTTGAAGGCTATACGGGGGATCTTTGCCTTTTTGTGTACGTGGGCTGGGTGGGCGCAAACCCGCGTGTGGTTTCGGCGCTAACGGCTGGTGTTTCGAAGCGCTTGCTACAAACAAACCACCAACAACTTCGCTGATCTCGTCGGTGAGCATAAACTATCCTGCAAACTCCAGTCATCCGGCTTTTGGCTAGCCCATCGCACAAAGATGGTTCACAGCAGTGTACGCTTTCAGGTTCGCTTCTGCGGCCGTCTGGAACGCTCTTCCTTCCGTTATTAGGAAGCCACTGGAGCTGTGCACTTCTAAATCTTGATTGAAAACTAATTTCTTTAGAACTGCTTTGTGTGTTTAGTTTGTCATTCTTCCGCGCACACCCTCTGATTAACACGTTGGGCGACGTACGGTGCGGCAGGGGTTACGTCAGCCAGTTACGCTCAAAATGCGAATTGGAAAACTCTGAGAATCGAAAATAATGATTTAGTAATGTAGAAATCAATGTGTTACAAAACCAAAATAAAAGTGTTAGGGTCATGTCGGTGTTATAAAACAGTGACTTTGCTTCTGTACTGTTACGTTTCAAATTATTTTGTCCCAATTTATTTTGAATTTTGGCCAATTATATTCCAAGTGTTTTATTGTTTTGGCAGAAACAAGAGTGGGTATGAAGCCACATATAGAAATGAAGACACTTATAATTCCAGCTAATGTATGTGTATTTTAACTCGCCAAATTCTCAAGCATGCATTTTTTTGCAAATTATAGTATTTTTATATATTTTACTTTATTTATCAGTGACCATGTGAGATAGATAGATTACCAAGTCATACTCCATTGGCAGACAAAACAACAAGCATAGAACAGATAACTTTGTATCTTCTACAGAGCACAATTTGGAGAATGTATAATACTTAACCCTTTCCTATTCGGATGACGTACCCAAAACGAAACTGGAAGAAAAAATAAAATAACTTGATCGGTACTGAGGCTCCCACAAGGCCGTGCGGGGAGGAAGTGCGGCACAGTTCAGCGCCAGCTATCGTAGAGTGCGGTCGCGTCGCTACAGTTCTCTGCGCTTGGTACAATGTCTTCAGAAACAACGGCGTTACGCCTATACTCTTAGTTCTTTCGGTAAAGTCACGTAGGTAAAAAAATGAAATTAAAATTAATAACAATAAAATAAAAATTACGACGTTTCGGAGGCAACACAAGTCTCCGTCATCAGGTGGGACCGTCTCAGCCAGATTTGCTGCATCAAGTGAGGCAGCGATGGTTATTACCTTGTTATCGCGGCATCTCTTGAGGAAGGCCAGCGTCTCGAGAAGCTGTGACTTCTTGTCTCGTTGTCTGTTAAAAATTCTAACAGGTGGAATTCCTCCCCGTAGAGGGTATTAATTCTAGATTTGAAGCTTTCGTGACTGCAAGGATTCATACTCTTAGTTCTTTCGGTAAAGTCACGTAGGTAAAAAAATGAAATTAAAATTAATGGCACTACACCTCTCTAATGAGCCCATGCTGCAACTTGCGGATATCTCGGAACGGCAAAGGCTTAAAGAAGGCCGGCACGTGCGGGTTTCCTGTAAGACATTGGCGGGGTCATTCTCCGGGATGGAACGAGGGCCACGGTAGTGGCTGGGATGGCCCATGAAGTCCGTTGAACGCGGCGCTAACCAATAACTTGATATCCTTAAATTTCGATTTAAAGCTTTCGTGACTGCAGGGATTCATCTTCTTGGTTCTTTCGGTAAAGTCACGTAGAATGGAAATAATAAAATAATAAAAATAAAACATAATAAAATCATTCTCACGACAAGGTCTGAGACTCTTGTCTTCTCGACAGACCTGTTCTTCACCTGAGGACGGCTGCTTGCGTTGTGGCCCGAAACGTCGTGAGAATTATTTTATTAGGTTTTATTTTTATTATTTTATTATTTCCATTCTACGTGACTTTACCGAAAGAACCAAGAAGATTAACTTGATATCCGTTCGAGTGACCTCATTGTGGTCTGTAATAGCCTGAGGCAATGCTTTCAGTGTGCGAAATTCAATTTTCTAGAGACCGATTTTGCTCGTATCTCCACTTTAAAGCTAGCAATCAGAATTGCTTGATAGCAGCAAGGAGAGAATAAAAACGTTATTGTTGTTTCTTTCCTGTGATCAATAAAGATTTAATGTGTATCCCTGTTTGTAGACGGTACTTATTTCACGTATGTTTTAAACTGGTAGTAGATCACAAATAAGCATTTTATAGTTTCATTTATCGTTGGAGCATTGCAGGTAAAGGATTTTTTTTAAAGCAGAACTCCTTTTGTGCCTCCCACACAGAGGTGGATGAATAAATACAACAAATGAATTCACGTGTGGAAAGTCAGCAGCATTTTCTGCTTAACGAGCCTCTCCGCTGATGAGATGAGATGCAGAGTTTGTTTGATTAAAAAAATGTTGCTATGTCTATGGTTTGGAAAGCCCAAAAAGACTGATAGACTAATACAAATAATTTAATGTATTTATACATTGATGACCCTAAGTCTAAATGGCCTCTCACCTGGTTATAAATATACATTTTAATTGACTGGTTGACTGACTGAATGATTGACCTTGCCCTGTGTTTCCCTTTTGTGAGTCATGTATTTGCTTCTATAAAAAAAATGACACTTTCAGTCTCATTGTGCTATCACCTGGTTTGAAATTAGAGTATTTTGGCTGCTGTAAATGTCCACGTGATAAGCCATTTCGTTGAGGTATCATTTGTGGCCACGTCGCTTCTGAAAAAGAGCTATATAGCTCAGTGGGCCTTACCTGGTAAAATGAAAATAAATTTTAGTTTACATACAAGTGTTTAAATACTAGAATAATTCACTGGTTGACAAACTTATTTTTCAGAAGGGACATTACCACAAATAATAGCTCAACGAAGTGGCTTATCAAGTGGAAATGTATTGCAGCCAAATAATCTAAATGCATCTTGATTCTTAATGTGGAGAAAAATTCCACACGATCACGGGGAGAGAGCGAACACGCAAACTCGGAATATACGGACGTTGTCAGGGTCGGGATGGAGCCCGCGACGACCTCCTGCATACCAGGCGAGGTAGTTAACATCTCGCCACTGCGGCCCTGCCCTGGCGCACTCCGTGTGTTCGTTCGTCCCCAGGCCAGGAGGCCGTGGTGTCCGAGGAGATCCTTCACAACCTGGACCGCTGTGAGGTCGCAGCCCTGGGCGACCCCCTGGAGGGCCCCCAGGAACGCTTCGAGGTGCCAGCCGATCAGCTGAGCCCCCAGGGCCTGGAGGTCACCAGCGGCCCCCAGGGCATCACCATCTCCGGTGAGGGCATCGCCAATCAAGCAAAATATGTATATATATATATACTAGCAGAAGTACCCAGCGTTGCCCGGGTGAAAAATATATTTCTTAATAACCTTACATATATACACAGATGGGCTGCTACCCCTGCCCCCCCCCCCCCCCCCCCCCAGCCACGATCTCCTCGGCCGCTGTGCAGTAATATGTACGGCCTATAGTGTGGTGGGGTGTCGAGGCCTAGTACCGTGCAGAGCCTCCGGCCTCGCCTAAATTGCCCACCCGGCTGAGGCTGGGTACTGGGGCCGTTACCCCCCCCCCCCCCCCCCGCGCTACAATAATACTGTCTAATCGCTATAATTTTATTATCTACCGACCCTATAATAGTAATTGCACACATTGGGGTGGGGGGGGGAGTGAAGAGGATGTGAAACTTTGATGAATTTACCTCAGAGTCGCGTGTTAATGCGTGCGCATATTTTTAACGTGAATTAAAAATGGCGTCCACCCCGCAGCGAATGCGTCGCTACCCGTTGCCAGGGGCAACCGCCGTGGAAAACCAAACGGACCAATCGTGTCTCGCAAATCCCTCACATTTCGTCCAATGAAACTGCATATGGTCCGGCGACACACAGACAGACAGACACACACACAGACAGACAGACAGACAGATTTGCGATTTTATATATATAGATATATGCACGTAAAAAAAAAACTAAACTGAATTTTTTTTCACTTAAAGCTTTCGTGACTGCAGGAATTCATATTTTTGGGTCTTTCGGTGAAGTCACGTGACTTGACCAAAAGACCCAAGAATATCAATTTTTTTTTACCAAGTAAGGCGCACTGAGCTGTATAGCTTTTTTTCAGAAGCGACTTGGCCACAAATGATAGCTCGACTAAGTGGCTTATCACGTGTAAATGTCTAGCAGACAAATACTCTTCACACGTGTTTGAAAATATGGAGGGAATAACCGTAGGACTCGGAGAAAAATCCACGCGACCACAGGGAGAAGATGCAAACTCCAAATATACAGGTGTCAGGGTCAGAATTGTACCCACGACTTCCTGTATACCAAGCGAGGTAGTTAACATCTCTCCACCGCGGATGGATGCCCCAACAAGTAAATAATAGTTATGATGATAATTTACAGTTCTTTGTCAATACACTACTGGATGAAAGGCTGCCCTTTGCAATGTTGGGCATTGGGGTTTGTTTGACCATGTTTCACCATGCTGGTCAGTACGGGTTTGAGAAAAGGAAGCTGAGAAACTGGTTCAGATATTACCTGTCACTCTCTCACTGATGTTATATTCATGGCTAGGAAGTAAAGTTGGATCACTGTAATCATAGTGCAGTGGGCGAATTCCACTGTGTGAGTGTTTTTAAATGTTACGTATTCATTCGTTCACCGATAGGGAGATAAATCTTATGGGGAAAGAAATCCAGATATCATTGGAACATAATTCCAAAAACCAGAGAATTTGAAACATATCACGGGGAAAACATTTGAGAAATAAAATCAGGGGAAAAAATTTCAAATATCAGCCAGATAGGATTTTAAAATCCGCAAAGATAGAATTCCAAAAACATTGGAAAAACTAATTCCATAAATCAGAGAATTACAAAATGCATGGCACGAGAATAAAAAAAAAAACACTGGCAGTTAATTCCCAACGGTCAAAAGCGGCACTCTAGGAGTACAGACTGACAGGCCGAGGTAGACATTTACGTTCTAACCCTGACTCCTCTCCTCCCTCCTTCCCCCTTCGCTCTCCACTCCCCTCCTCTCCTCCCCCTCCTCACAGGAGTGGAGAGCCTGGCGAGCTACGAGCGTGTGCTGCGCACTGTGCGCTACCTGCACAGCAACCCGGACTCGCTGTTTGAGCGCCGCTTCCGGCTCACGTGCTCCGAGCTCAACGGCCGCTACGCCAGCAACAGCCTGCCGCTCGACGTGAGACACGGATGCCAGGCCCCCCCCCCCCCGGCGCTTGTCCACATGGGCGTCGCTGCCACTACTAGCCTCGTTCCCGCGCGCTCTCGTTTTTGAAGGAGCCACGGTGGTGGAAAAATGTTAACTACCTCGCCCTGGTATACAGGAGGTCGTGGGTTCGATCCAGACCCTGACGCTTGTGTTTTTGGAGTTGGCATGGTCTCTCTCCCCGTGGTTGTGTCGATTTTTCTCCGCGTTCTTTTGTTTTTTTTCCTCTCCACATTTAGAAACATGAGTTTAGACTATTTGGCTGCTACAAATTTATACGTGATATACCACTTTGTTGAGTTGTCGTTTGTGGCTAGGTCGCTTCTGAAAAAGAGCTATATAGCGCAGGTGGGCCTTACCTGCTAAAATCAAATTGGTTTATAGTTTCATTCTTGGAATTGTGTGCGCTATAGTTTCGGTAAACCGGCTTCTCGCAACGGTCATGAGTTTCGAGCGAGCAATCCTAGCAATGTTTGTGGCGGTGGCCGGGATGGCTTCAGAGGTCAAAGGACCAAACTGGGTTTAAACCGATACCGCCAAATGTTTGCCACACTACTGTTGACGGGAGTAGGCCATCGTGCAACAATGTCAAAACTGATGTTGCCACCCTGTGGTTAAACTGGCTTCGCAACGGTAGAGAGTTTTGGTGGTCTCAGCCCGGTCACCAATGACCGCACAGAATTTGCTTCTGTGCTTAGTTTTGGTTAAATTCCAGCTCTGAGAATGAAAGTATCAGTTTGGCAATCACGTGACAGACAAAAAAAACGAAATAGCTCAAATTAGATGGTAAATACGGGACACAAACATTTAATGATTCTTGAATCAAATCGCAAACCCTGAAATCGTGACAGCTAATTTGTTCATCAAATCGGAAGATGTGGGTAAAAGACAAATATAAAGATCAGTTAGATGCCGTTTAGGTAGTGGAGGCTCATGGGAAATGAAATTTTATTTCACACACAAATAAGCATTTTTATCAATTCAAATCTGTTACCCTGTACATTAAGCAGTCCCCCCTCCTTAACCTCTCATTCCATTATTGAAGCCTCACCATCTCTTCTCCATCGCCCCCCCCTCGCCCCTCCACCCCTTCCCACCCCTGCACTTCCGTGACCCCCACATGTGCCCTCTGTTACGGTCACTCATTTCTCGGCCCTTTTGCGCGCACCCTTGCCGTCGAAATCACTCTCTAAATAAAATATAATATAAAATAAGATATTATGACGCTTTTGCAGCCAATGTCCAATTCACTGGTACTACTCATCACCACCGTCGTAATGGAGCGCTCACTCATGAATGAACCATCGCAGAGATAACATGACGGGCTGCACTTTGCGTTTCGTATTGGCATGTCCCCCCTACGAGATCGAAACGAACTCTTAAAAAGAGCTGTTACGGGATGGGAAAGGTTAATTTGAGTCGATGTGGGTCAATGCACGTCGAAATGAACTGATGTTAAATATAACATTGACCTGAGAAGGTTGAGTAGGGAGTCTTCTTTTTTTTTACCAGTGGAGAGCTACTGGAAGAAAATGTACGCGTGATTTTTTTTTCTTCTTCTTGAAAGCTGGAAAAGTTTTCATTGATATTCCTTTTTATTGTCATCATCAGCATCATAAGCAGCAGACATGATCAATCCACTGCTGGATGCAGGCCTCCTCCCCAAGCCATTGCTCTATTAATCAATCAGTCTATATGTATATCATGCACATCACATTAATAAGAAAAGCATATTTGCATAATTACATTTACATTAATTATAAACACTTATAATATATAAAATACATGACTTTTGAGTTCAAAATAACAGAGGAATGTAACATAGGTAATCAGAGTAAAAATTATTATTTTTAATTTACAATAAAAGAAAAATTTACTAAACTCAAGGAATGACATGGGGAAATGTGATGCCCAGCTCAGCTTACACGCATTCGTGCACGATCTGAGAGATGCATTGAAGAGGTGGGCTTTTAATCGTCTTTCAAATTCATCTCAACCGTCTCTCACAGTCCTGCCATGTGGCAGCGTCATGCTCGGTGGCTCGATTTTAGCCGGAACGGTCCGGAACGCCGCCGTGGGATATTATTTCGGCCACGCCACATCCATCTCGCCTTTCTTTTGTTGCCCTCATTCTTCCCTGTGTTCCTTTCAACATCTTGATAGGATTACAAGACAAAGAAAATAGGGGACAATAATATAAGATTGTTATGAATGGACGTACCTTGTGCTCTAGTGGTGGTGTGCCGGAGGCAGATAATCCCAACTCCACAAGCAGCCAATCCCAACTCCACAAGCAAGCCTCGCAGCGTTTCGGGAAATATCGAGCGCGAAAATTAATCCTCGATTGTTGTTGATGATATTATTATGATCATCGTCATCGTCTCGGCTGGGCGATGATCACGCTGTGCTGCCCGCGTGTCCTTTGCGTGTGCTGCAGGTGACGGTGCTGCATGTGGTGCGTGCGTCGGAGCACGTGAACCACGCACGTGTGCAACCCGAATTCGTTCACTCGGTGCACTACCCCGAGCTCTCGGGACACAGCCTCACGGCGACGGCGCACAGCAACGGTGACCGCAAGCTCGCGCGCACACGCACACCGCAAGCAGCCACGCGCGGGCACACGTGATACACGTGTCAACAGCCACGCGGCACATGTGGCACAAGCAATACACTCAGTCACCAGTCACGTGATACACACGTGATACACACGTGATACACGCATCGCCAGACACGTGCGGCACACACGATAAACACATCACCCACACACATTATGCACATCTTTACCAATATGATGTATATAGGTATTTTAGATACGTGAACTTTATATTTAGTTTCATCACTTTCACCGTTGTGGTGACCCAGGTCACTCTTGCGCAACCGTGACTCTATCCTTGACGTTCTCACCTGGTTCGCCAAAGCGAACAGATATATCTCTTTGTCACCAAGGACACGACAGTCTCCTGTTTGTTTAACGCATTTATTTTTTCTTTCCTGTCGTTCGCAATTGTTACGCAGTGGCGTGGACCGTTTAATTATTTCCATTCGCTCATTTATTTACGCGATTCCCTCTCTCGCCCCGGCTCCGCTCCGCCCGCAGCCATCCCCGGCACGGCCACGGTGGTCATCGTCCTGTGCGTGGGCTTCCTCGTCTTCGCCATCGTGCTGGGCGTCGTGCGCGCCCGCTCGGCCAACCAGCGCGGAGCGCGCGAGCAGGAGGGCTCCCGCGACAACGAGATGGACTGGGACGACTCGGCGCTCACCATCACCGTAAACCCCATGGAGGTAAGCGCCACGCGCCCCCCCCCGCGCCCCCCCACCGGGTCTTCCGGTTTTATACCTGCACATTTAGAATCGACGTGCGTTTAGAGTATTTGGCTGATGTAAATGTCCACACGGTAAGTCACTTAGTCGGGCTCCACTTTCTCAATGTCAACCTCCTAGGAGCGTGGGTCTTAACTTCTGTAGGATGCCCCCCCCCCCCCGCCCATCCAACTGCAGCAGCTTTTGGCTGCCCATCGTACAAAGACGGTCACCGCCTCGCGCCCTTTCGGATGAGCTTCTGCGACCGTCTGGAACGCCCTTCCTTCCGATATGATGCACTTTTAAATCGTCTGGATTGAAAACTAATTTCTTTCATTTCTTTACATGCAATGTGTTGGCCAATCATCCCCACGCTGACAAATTACTTGAAAATGTTTAATTTGGGATTAAACCTAATGGCAAACATCGCCCCCCCCCCCCCCCCCCCTCGACCGTGAACAAAAATACAAACTTGGCAGGACCGTCCTGGAAACAGATGGTCTTTCCTGGGTAAATAAGTGAAAACGTGATCAAAATAAAACATTTTCGAGAATATCACCGGCAACAACGTGACTCGCCGAGAACAACGAATGGATATTACGTTGACCATCGCGTGCCGCTGTGAAGTGTGGCAACGCGCGTTGCCTTGCGCTGCCGGTGTCGACCGGCGAGCCTCGATTAGTTAGGCCCTATGTCTCGCCATATCGCCTGTTGCGTTTAACACTCCGCAGCGAAAAATATCTTTACCGCTTACTTTAATTTTTTTCGTTCCAAACACTTCAGCAGAGAGCCTCGATCTCACTGCTAAGCTTCGGGCAAGTTCCACCGAATACTAATAATCTTATTAAAGCAAATAGCTCCACAATGCCGCTTCTAAACGTTCAGGGTGCGTGGCCGTGGTAAGTATAAATAAAGCCTCCAAAGGGTTTTTACAATAATAAGTAATATTAAAAAATACTTTTTTTTAAACACGCTTTAATGAAATGTACCGTACGAGTAATGGCAGAACTCCACGACTCCAGGAAGTGGCCCCGAAGCTTGCCACAACGTAAGGGGCTGTGGTGAATTACAGCCAACGTTAGTCGAGCGTGGATAATTAGACCCAAGCCGAAACATAACATATAAAAAAGAACGTTTAAAAAAAAAATGTTTGATAGAATATAGTATTGTCATCAGTATGACTTAAGTATACCAAGTTTGCAGTCGATACCACATTGGGAAGTGGGTTAAAATTGAGTTACACTATTTGAGGATACGACAACAAAAACAGAGTGAGTTAATAGAAATCGCGTGTAAAAAAAATAGTCTGGGGTATTTTTGTGTGCGCATTAGTAGATGTGCACACGTTTGAATACCGATTATCCACGAGATGCTTCATCTCCGAGCTCGTAATTTATTTTATTTTCCCAGATAACCAATGTGGCAACCGTGCTGCTGAGGGTAACGATGTGTGCAGCAAATGTACAGAGGTTTGGAGCGGCGGCGCAGTGGTTATCGCACTGTACTATGAACCTGGTCACCCAAGTTCGATTTCCAGCGACGGCTAGCATCGGTGCGGAGTGATATCTGCACTGTCATCGTCCCCCACCGCCATCCCCATTTCTTAACCTGCACTGACCATTGACCAGTGTGGTGAAGTATGGTCAATAAACACTCATAACCAAAAGGCCTGGGGAGGCCCCGATCTACCAGTGGATTGGCCAAGGGCTATAAATGAAATGTTAAGATGTTAGTTGTGTGCCTTTGTGTGTGTGTGTGGAGCAGTAGTGTAGCGGTTAGCGCGCTGCGCTATGACCCCGGCGACCCGGGTTCGATTCCCGCTCACGGCCAACACCGGTGACGATTGTCTGAACCGGTCCTGGGGAACAGTGGTGCAGCGGTTAGCTCACTATGAACCCGATGACCTGACACGTACAGTATTCCCAGCTCCGGCTAACATCAGTGGCGAGTTATGGTCCTCCTGTAGCTCAATTTAGCCTGAAATGAGTATCTGATCACGTGTGTGCGTAAAAGCATCAGCACTGGGGGGAGCTTCTTCATTTGTGCCCACTTCTCACAGCACTTGTCCCAACGGTCTGTTTAGGAGCTATATGGGCAACCTTTGTCTGTATGCTGTGTATGACTTGTAGATTTAAGAGCACGCAAAAAAACCTGCCTGAAAGAACACGTAATCTGAAGCTTTAGAACGCAGAACTGCATGTTCCAGGACAAAAAAAGGTTTAAAACTTTTTCCATTAGTATGATTATGAAATAGCAGCTGGTCATCAGGGGTTTGTCATTTGCCGTGTAAATATGCACGTTAATTCCGTGATATGTTTTGCAGACTTAAAATTCACAATCCCCTTATGAAGACCGTGTGCGATAGACTTTTTATTATTACGTGAATTGGTGCTGCATAACTTTAAACCTCCATTGTGAAGCAATCACACGTTAATTATCATACTTTAATTATTCATATATTAAGTGACTGTCTGCACGTTGTTGGTGGCAGGAAATAAAAAACACAATTAAATAAAAACACATTTTGGTTCTCTCTGCAGGTCAAGTCTAAACTAAAGTATAAAAAATATATATTTATTTTACCAGCTAAGGCCCACTGAACTGTATAGCTATTTTTCAGAAGCAACTTGGCCACAAATGATAGCTCAACGAAGTGGCTTATCACGTGGAAATTCATAGCGGCCAAATACTCTGAACACATTTTGTTGATTCGAAATGTGGAGGTTAAAAACCGGAGGACTTGGAGAGAAATCTACGTGGCCATGGTGAGAGCGAGACATGCAAACTGCAGATATACAGGCGTCAGGATCGGGATCAAACCCACGACCTCCTGTAAACCCGGCAAGGTAGTTAACATCTCGCCACCATGGCTCCCACATCCTTCTCCTCCCTTCGATTCTAGAGTTTCGAGCAGAATTGCTGAACGGCCAATCGACGAACGTCGGTGCGACACGCCGGTCCGCACGAACTCACCACCTTGTGTGTCCCCCTTGCTTCCTCCCCCATCGCCCAACGCCGTCCGCTTGCCCCGCAGTCGTACGGCGGCGAGCAGGCGAGCGAGGCGGAGAGCGAGGTGGAGGCAGACGCGGAGGAGGAAGAGGAAGAAGAGGAGGAGGAGGAAGAGGAGGAGGAGGAAGAAGAGGAAGAGGAGGAGGAGGAGGACGACATCACGGCCGCCGAGTCGGAGGAGAGCGGTGCCGAGGAGGGCGAGGGGGAGGCCGGGGTGCGCGCCTCCGTGGAGCAGCAGCAGCCGCGGCACGCACCGCGCGAGCAGCTCGAGTGGGACGACTCCACGCTGACCTTCTAGGGGTCGGAGGCGCCCGCGGAGCGATCGGTACGACGACGACAACAACGACGATGACGACGACGACGATGACGACGATGACAATGATATTAATAAGGTGATGAAATGCACAAAGGTCGCAGCAAACTACGCGACGTATACGAAACGTCCCTCGGCGTAGAAGAAAAACACTGGCGATGGCATCCCTCCTCCTCCAAATAAGTATTGTGTGTAGCTCGTATCCGCCCGGTGGTCTTCATCCAGTGGTGGGAAATTCCACGTTCTTCAGACGGAGATCAGTCTGTCCGGAGGGACCAACCACTGTTTGAATTCCACCAGGTGGTGCGTCCCAGCAAGGCAAAGGTGCAGCCCTGCAATTACCCCCTATTGCCACTGCTTCTGCCCCTTGCTAGCTGACTGCCCCTCACTGCCCCTAAATGCCCCCCCCCCCCAGCTCATTTTATCTACCCCAAAAGGACGGGTTGCAATGACACGGGTACGCCCATGAGTTGAATGATTCTCCCAGCTCTGTTACTCTATCGACTGAGCTGTGTACCGGCCATTGGATATTTACGAAGACAAAGATCTTAACAGACGCTTGGGGCAGGTGCTTTCTGCGAGCGTCTCGTGGTTATTCTTTGGGTCTTTCGGTAGAGTCACGTAGATAGGTTCAAAGAAAATAACGAAAGAATAACATGAATATGAATTCCTCCAGTCACCTTGTGATTGCTGGCACGGGTACATGAGTGGCGATGTGACCAGCACCACCCCCCGGCCTCCTTTGTCTCCCTAGTTATGACGTTTAACATCGTACCGGGTACTCGTTTAAGGCCGAGTCAACCTAGGGGAGGCCCAGGACTGGTTCACATAAATCGTCACCGGCGTTGCTATGCATGCACGTTGAACTTCTTTCGAACCGTGCGTGGCCAACCGTGCTCATCGGTTGCTGGCCGTGAGCAGGAGTCTAATTCGGGTCGCCGGGTTCGTAGCGCAGCATATTTCTCCCGCACGCGCATACGCACGCATGCGTCCGTTAGGAAGCACAACGAGGAACGATTCGTTTTTTCCTGCTATGCCGAGCGACGTCTGCGTTACGAATAGTGAGTACACTCTCAGTGCTGACAATTAATGGGGGGGGGAAAAGAATATTCGGCCGCGTCTCCCCTTCTCCCTCCCCCCGCTTGACGCAAACCCCCCCCCCCACCACCACCACCGCCGGTGTGGATGATGAGTGCGCTAAGTTTTGTTTTCGTGACACGGAGCGGAGACGCTCGCCTTGTGGGAAGCGTAATCTGGGACCGTTATTTATTTTGAGTCGTCGTGTATTCGTGGTGACGGGTCCCCCGCCCCCGCCCCCCCCGCATAGTACAGGGTGTCCCTCCTCGATTTACGAACGTTCGGTTTTCACGAAATTTCACGCGAACGCAGTTGACAACTTACGGATACTTTTCGATGAACAAAATCGAATTTGCCCGTGAGGTCAAACGAGAGCCGCCAACCCCCGGGGGAGGCTCCCGTTGCAGTGCCACGGTGTCCCTGCAGTGCCACGGTGGAAAAGCCACCGTGAAGAAGATCTTTGCGGCGAGTTCCCACCGAAAATGTTTGTAATTTTTGCTTCAAATTCATTGGCATTCTCATCGTTTTAATATTGATGCTATTATTATTTTTTTGCATCGCGAAAGTGATATTGGTGTGCATTTTTCGGTTCGCAGCAGAGTTGGAATGAATGTCTGAAACACTATCCCAAACTTTTGTTTTAATTAATTGGAAAAGCCATTTTAATTTGCGAATTTCGACAGACGTGTTTTTCTTTCGTAAATCGAGGGATATGCCTGTACTGCGGTTTTAGCCCAAGTGTTCTGTCGCCGTTAATGTTTTAAAATTAATGCTTTTTCCTACCTGCGTATAAGGGTAGAAATCACATTAGTTTCTATGGTAAATTTTAGCCGAGAATTAAACAGAAACATAACATTTATGTTGTAATTTAATCGTTACAGTGGGTATTTTGCGCTCGCGATAGCAAACGGAGATTACAATCCCCACCGCCCTCCGTTCGCCACCCACCAATAAAATCCCACACGAAACCACCCGAGTCAAAGTTTAGCATTTTGCCCAAGGGACGTAATGGCTCTTTCTGGAACTTTGGGCAGAAAACTGTTATCCTGTAACCCTTTGAACCCCCGCTGCCTATTGCATTCCCAGCAAAAAACAATTCGGTCTAGCGGATGGGCTTCCACTTTTTTTTGCCCCCCCCCCCCAACCCAACGGCGTGAAAATAAAACCATGGCGAGAGCTTCCTTCGCGAGCGCTCCTCCGTAATCACAGCCCTTCCGTCGCAACAGCAGCAGCGCACCGCCTGGTATCGAATTTTTACGTCCGTTACATTGGGCGATGGTCCTACTTGGCATCAACCTCTCTCATGTCCACCCACGTTGAACCATCCCCCCCCCCCCCCCCCCCCACACTGTAGAAACTACGATATATTATTTGTGTTGAATGTTAAGTACACTGCAGAAAATGCTACCATTTGAAACCGTGAGCAGTATATGGGTATGTTCAAGAGTCCCGGTTATTCCGCCCCGCACCGTCGGCCCATCCCGCTCCGTGTTGTCCGTATGCAAACGGGCGTCATTCCACTCGGCGCGAAAATCAAAGAAGAGCGCGCGGCGGACGTTAAATGTAGACGGTAGGCAGCTGTAAAGCCGTTCGTGCGCGCTTGGCTCGCTTGACAAGCTCGTCGTGCTAAGCGTGGCGTGCGAGCGACGCGTTCTGACGTGCGGTCATTGCTGTGGGGTGGGTGTGTGGTTGGCGGCGGTGGTGTTTGCGGTGTAATTCGCTGCTCCATTCTGGCCGGCAGCGCCATCACAAAGGGCGACGCGGTGGTGCAGGTTTTTCGCATTGTCGTAGGGAATCGTGGTGTACGACGGAAACAGGCCAGTCTCGTGTCCTGACAACAAGCTTGGGCCTAAAACAGGAGGGGAGAGACAGATTATATACAGTTAGTAGCATTGCAAGAATTGCATTTAGAATCTAAATGTTATACACCCAGTGGCGGCTATAGTAGCACATTGTATTTGTTGTGATTTTTGAGCGCACCTTTTAAAAAATATATATAATACCGTGGTTTCGAATTAGTTTGTCTTAAATTTTATAGGAGGCAACAACATAGACCACTCTTCTGGACAGTGATTATTGCGCCATCTCTATTTCTCCGTGGTGTAATTCGCGTTGGTGCATAAGTTGGTGCGGTAATTTGGGGACACCCCACCCCCCCTTCCTCCCCTAACTGCTCTCTGGGAATTTTGCGGGATTGAAGTAAAACTTTCTGTAACTGCTTCTCGATAACACTTCCATGTCTGCTGATCATCGTTGTGGTCTATTTCACCGTTGGCTAGGGGCTGCACTATCCGGTTTAATTGCATCTGTGTTTTTGGTTTCCAAGGCAAGCATCGGTGAACATATTTTTGGCAAACTGTATTAAATTGTAACGTTACGAAGAAAAAGAAAAAAAGCCTCCGTAAGTGGATTTTTTGCCGTGCGGTCAATGTTCTATATTGTGACCTTGATTTTATCTTCAGTCAAATGCAACCATTGATGTTATTTTCTCGTCCTTAAGCCTAGTGCTGTTATGACTGTTTGGTTGGCTTGTAAGATTTATCGCTCTGCAGAGCTGGGTTCTGCGACAGAGGTATCAGATGCTGGCCACAAAACTGGAAACCTTTGGATTGTGTGAAGCCAAGCACGTGGCTTCCGTTATAATGCAGGCTGCAGAACTATCGATGGATGTGGTTTCATTCCAGCAAATGTTTGTCCTGTGATAATGCTATTAGCAAAGCGTGGTTGCCACAGTGTACATTTTTTCACGATATGATCCGATATAAAATTCATGGTACGATGATTCTCGCTTTTGTCGTATTCCAATAACCCAATTGTATTTCACAGTTTTACCGAAATCATGCTTTGTGCTGTTGCTGTACTTCCAGTGCAATTAAATTTCGCTTAAGTTCTTCAACTGCTGTTCACTCCGAATAAAAGCCGACTGCGCGCGTCTTTCTAAGCCTCGCGGCGTTACAGACGATAAAGCAGATGCTGGCAGCCACACGATAAATAATAGTTTAAAAACTACGAAAATTGTTACGTCCTAGCAGTTCCATAAATAAAGCATTTGGCAAAGCATACATTTTTTATTGGACAATAGCTATTTATTTAGAACTTTATTTACCGAACTTGATTTCACATGCACATATATATATTTTAAAAGAACACAATTCTGGCTAATTGCCTGATGAGGCTGGTTGTAATCAGCAGCGAAACGCCGTACTGGAATTGTAAATGTTGTGGGTTTACTCCAACACACCGGTGTGCTGTACTAGTAACTAATTGACATATTTTGTTTACGTGACAAACCTTACTAATTGGCTGTGTCGGGTGGTGGCGGGTTTAACGACACATTTGCATTTACACGATCAAACCCCCACACAAAAACACCTTTATTATGGTCATATAATACAAGTTAGGAGTAATAAAACGATTATCACGATACTTTGCAAAACGCACAACGCGATTTATCGTGGGGGATCCTTGCATCGTACCGCGCCGTGCCGTGTGGCACCGCTCTTGACAGCCGCGTGACAATGTGAAGGCGGCGGCCGGTGGTGAGCCAAAGGTTGTGGCCGTACGACCACAACTGGGGCAGCCCGACACTGACGTGGTTGTGGTTGCGTGCGCCCAGTGTGCGTAACAAGAGCGGAGAAAGTGAACTTAGACCATGACCCCCACCGCCTGCATTTGTTCCGGCGCCACCCGATGCATCCGAGATCCGTCGATGCGGTTAACGCGGCCGCCGCCGCCGCTGCTGCTGTGTGTGCCCCATCAAGGTGGGAAGCAAGGGAGGCGGTGGGTGGAAACGTAACCGGGCGTTGACGAAGCAGATTATTTTTGCCGAGTAAAGCCAGACAGAGTTGGTGGGGGACGGGGGTGGGGGGCACGTTTGAGCCCTCTACCCCCCCCCCCCCTCTTCGTGAGTGGCCGATCGATCTTGAGCCGTGAAATGTGCCACAAGGTTCGAAGCATGCCTTTTGAAATTTTCATAATTAATGGATAGAGGTCGTAAACTATAATAATAATGATGATGAAACGCGGCTTGATTTACGGCCTTTGGTTATAAGCGAGCAAGCACATATTGAGATCAAGAAAATCTCTCTTTGTAAAGGAGATACGGGAGGCAACATACGATGAGAGAACCATCGAGAATGACACTTTTTCAGTTTTTGTGGTATGATAATGATGATTTTCTTCCAAACTTGAGCACACAATGTCCTCAGGAAAATGGCATCGCAGCATCTTCGTCATCCACTCCTCAGTGAACCCCCACCACATGCGCTCTGCGGCAGCACGAATCAAGATGCAACGGGATGATTACCATAATGGTCAACTGGCATCCCCCCCCCCCCCCCCCCCCCGGGCTTATCGTGTCAGACCACAGAACTGATCGCCAGAATCTTTGCCCGCAATTTTCAGCGGACTTTTTGTGACGCTCGTTTGACGATCAATGATTCGTGAACCCGGCTCGCCGCGGGGCAACTTTTAACGAGAGCTCGTGCCGAGATAAATTGCCGGCAAAACACGTTGCCCCCATCGACCTCCGAACGCGGAGATACGCGTGCGTACATTGAACTTATTTCGCACCGTACGTAGCCAACCGTGCTTGACCGGAGGTGCGGGGCAAGGACGACGGACTAAAACACCAAAAAAGCAGTTCTGAAGAAATTCGCTTTCAATGACACCCATGGACGGAATTAATGAATCGGTTACCTCCATTCGTGTTGTTTCCTGAGAGGGCACCCATTGGAGAAAAGACGGTTCGATTAGATCGTCCCACGTGCACGTGGCTAGGGTGGATTATTGATCATGGCTGCTGCTGCTTGATAATGATGATTCATCACCGGTTGGCACGGCGCAATCCGACTTACACAAGCCGCGGTGTAGAACTATCCTTCCCGTTATAGTGTTAGGTTGTTTAGAGGTTGTTGCTGCTGTTCAGGCCACAGTGATGTGTGGACGTTTGTTTGGCAGACAGTTTTTGATGTGGGGGGGGGGGAAGTCTCGGACCTTATTCCTGTTTTTCACACCCTCGGCATTCGAACTCTCTCTTTGTAAAGATGACCAGCCTTCCTGGGGGGTGAAGGGCCCTGCCAAGGGACTGGTAACGAAATTTGATTGGTTTCCAATAGCACAGACGTTTGATATTTCCGTTTTACCACCGTTGTAAATATTTTAGCACAGCTTCTCACACCCACCGGCCGAGTGCAAATGTCGACGCTGGCACCAAAAGAGGCATCACGCGAGATCCACGTGGTGGTCGTGGTTAGTAGACCGACTCTCCTCCCGTGGCTTTTTTCGATGTCGCGCTATCACCGGAGACGCTTCGTTAGCTGAATGCCGAAGCGGGAGGGGGGCGGCCAGGGGGCTTTGGGTGCTGCGAGTTCGAGGGCTCGATTTCACGAATTCGGAAGGCTTGTTGCAGCAGCACCACCACTCTCCCGTAAATGAATGCGTCCGTCGCCTTGTCTTGAGGTGCCGGTCGAAAAGCCGTCGTGTGACGCTTTCGTCGACTCGAGAGGGCGCGGGCTTGAGAAAAACCCCTTCCATGTGGACCGCGTTCGCCCTGCAGTCTACTCAGGGGTGGTCTGTGCTCGAATGGCATTTCTCAAGTGTTTGATTATCACTTTAGCAGTTGTAAGCGTCAACTTTATCGATCATCGTGAGAGCGCGCGAACCTTCGTTTCCTCCCACGCGTAAGCGCGCATTAATTGGCCGATAAACACTCTCCATATGCAGAGAGGACCGCAGAGCTTGGCAATTTTTTTTTGCGCGTGGCTACTGACTGCCTTCCCCCGCTCGCCTGTGGTTCCCTCCTCCTGCGGTTGTTCTCTACCTTCTCTCTCTCTCTGAGAGCCGAGCGACAACTGGTTGTGCGTGTCGTGTCACGAGTCGAGATTGTTATGCTACTAATAATTACTGTTCACCTTGAAGAGTTTCGGCTGGGGCTCTGTTGAACCTCGGTCTCGTGAGCAGTCGAGACGCAACGCGGTTTCACGAGACGCGCACGTAAACCGTCGGGCACACACACACGCACATTTATGATGGGTGCGTTGATCCTTTGATTAATTTCCATCGCGACGCGCTCGTTCGACATTGTGAGCGGTGAGTCTCGACTCTTTCCCCCCCCCCCGCCTGCCCACGGTACTTTGAGTCGTCGATTGTTAGCAATTGGCAGTGCGCGTGATCCCCTTGAAGCCACGAGAGGCGCTACCTTAGCCACGATGCTCATCACGAGTACACGGGAGTGACCCTTGAATCAATTCGCAATCATCCCTGGAAATTTTTGGTGACGGTGAACCGAATTGAGATTGTGTAGCAAATACAGCAGGTTTATATATCTGGTGTGTATTGTATGCAAGTGATTTGGGCGTATAGCCGATGTGAAAAGTAATGTTACTGTACCAGTAATTGTGAAAAGTTGAGAGTTTAAATTGGATTTTGGATGTATAAAGAATATAAGTGCATCTCAATTCGCTCTGCATACTTAGGGGGGGACATTCACATTAAGAAGTTGGAGAGAGAGGGGGGGTGTTAGACATTTTTGAGGAATTATATCATGAATGTTTTCACTTTAAACAAATCACATCGCGACTCATTAAAATAGGCGAAAGTTTGCCTCATTTGTTTTTCCATATAAATTTAATCTAATTCGACATCATGCAGTTTTGCTCATTTGCGTTGAGGTCTGATTAATTATCTGTAGCCGTGGATTACGAAAAAGGTGGTAATACCTGATAACATATGTGGAAATGGTAACCATGCAAGTATGACGGCTCTTATAGGCACAATAAGAATCATTACCACCTCTCCATTTATTAGAAAAGCCATGTGTTTTAATACCATGTATCTTCCCGGAATAATACGTTTTAAGTGTTTTTTACAGTTTCCCGTAAACAACAGATCTCTAACGTGTTAGTTGCCCAATTTTACTGCTACGGATTTTAGTGTTTTCTCGCTCCGTTCATAATGAAACACGTAAATGATTTGTCACAAAGATCTGCAGTTCTCTCTTTAGGAATGTATGCAAGCACTTTACACTGCAAATTACGTGTGGGTTCAGACAAAGAGTACAACGCACCTTTAAACAGAAGCAAATCTAGTCTCGCAGTTCGAGCATTCTAAGTTTGCAACAACAAATTCTTCGTTTGCCGAAATTACGGATTTCATCAAAAAGGAAACCAATATATTTTTTGTTGCCGTCAGCCTGTAAGTGGAATGTACTTTGTGTGTGCGTGGGGTTGCGTGATAGTGCTTGTACAATTGTGACGTCCCATCGTCCCCAGCTTCTCCATCCTGGTGTAAATACAAAGCAACGTGTGTGCCCAACATCATCCTCTGTGCAACATCATTTAACTATAGCATAGCAAATGAAACATGGAATTGTATTTACCTTCTTAGATGTACTTTTCATTGTTCCTTTAGGCAAGTTTTATTTTGTTCATTTTTTTATCGTTGTATTTAAGGTCAATAGAATGTTTTCGCTGTTTGTGTTTTAACGAGGGGTCTTGCTGCGTATTGCTTCACATCAAGTCATTTTTGACGTGCGCTGGGATGTTTAAGGCTTGCCATCCCTCCTGAAATGCGTGAGTGTAGTGGTAGCAATGTGAGTCCCATAAATTGTCGCGTGTAAACAATAGATTAGGCTGCATATCAGCTCTTGTCAAACCCAGCAAAATAAACATGACGTGGACCCAACACTTGTCTCGAATCGACTGGTTTTATTGAAGGATGTATCGGTGAGCTGCAGTATCAAATATCTATAGACACCTACAAGTGTGTCCAATGTTACCCACAGTGGCAGATGATTCTCCTACAATAGATATGTATTGCTATAATTGTATTCTTGGTTCTTTCGGTAAAGTCACGTAGAAGGGAAATAATAAAAATATCACTATAATTGTGTTGATAGAATATTTTCAAAACTCAATGTGCATTGAAAGTGAAACGTTAATGACCAAACAATGTACTGCATTTCTATATAGAATCTGACAATGTATTGAATTTTTTGCATTTTAAGAGCAGTGCACATGTTCATCTTTCTCAAATGTCAATATGCATATACTTTGCATGACTTACTGTACAAACAGTAAAAAAATAGAAAACAAATTTAAATGTTCTTTTTCAAAATTAGACTGCAATGACTTCAGAAACTCTGCAAATAATGCTAATCTATTTAATTAGTTTAACGTTGGACAAATCGTCTTATTGCATTCGTATCATTACACCAACTCGCTGCTACTATATAAACAGCACATTTTATATCAAAACAAAACCATCACCAGCAATATACATTTCCAGCCTTTATTAAACAACCAAATTACAATGCACCCAATAGTTTATTTCAACGTCAAAAATATCGTCTCATGTACCATCCTGAAAAGGTGAAACAAAGAAATAACAATTGCATAAAAGATATAGTTGCAGCAACTCACCACCAATGTAAACACCAAATACATGCTCGTACAATAATCGATTCTAAGTGCAATTTCCCATTCGTTTTGGTAATTTACGACGGATGCAGTAGTCAACTCAATTATCTGCGGAAATGTGGGAAGAGGGATTGCCTCTAAAACAATACAGATGATGCAAACATGTAAATTCATTTATTTAAAAAACATGTATAGCTAATTTAATATGGGGGTGAAGACAGACTGCCGTCTGTTTATTAAATGATCGGTTTGGTTAAACTATAAACAAATTTTATTTTACCAGATAAGGCCCACTGAGCAATATAAGCGATTTTTCAGAAGCAACCTGGTGACATGATCGCGCAATGAAGTGGCTGATGTGGACATTCATAGTAGCCTAAATGCATGTTTGTAAATGTGGAGGAAAAAAACAGAGGCCCTGGAGAAAAATCCACGTGACCACGGGGAGAGAATTCAAACTCCAAATATTACAGACAGAGTCGGGATCGAACCCACGGTCTTCTACATATCCGGCGAGGTAGTTAACGTCTCGCCACCATGGCGGCACCCCTTGGTTAGTCCCATGTTTGCAGTTACATGGGCACAAAGTTGCTGAACGAATGAAGAGCATACTCTTTGGTTCGTTCGGTAAAGTCACGTAGGTATAAACTAAAATAACGTTTCGGGCGCAACACAAGCGTCCATCATCAGGTACATGGCTCCAATCAGGTGGACGCTTGTGTTGCGCCCGAAACGACGTGATTTATTTTATTTTCTATCTACGTGACTTTACTGAAAGAACCAAAGAGTATGGATTCCTGCAGTCACGAAAGCCTCAAATCAAGATTGAGTGAAGAGTAGCTAATAGAACATCCACGTGCATAAACATTGTGCAGGAGTACTGATACTCCGTACACGGATAACTGAGAGTTAACTGTAGCTCATGGTAAAGCAGAAGGTACCCATTATAACATGGCAAGTTCAACACATCACCCCTACGGGGTGGATAAAATAGGCACACCAAGGCCAGGAGAAGCACTTTGGTGACAAGTCAAAAGAGCGGTTCTCCTCGTTGTGGCTCAGGGCTCCACTTGGTGGAAGCTACAAAATCCTTCTCGGGTTTTACAGTGTCGGGTGATGTGCACATGTGGATTGAAGGGTAATCGCAATGCAAAGGCAATATTCAACAATGAACCGTCGGCTGTGCTGAACTAAAAACCAGTTCTCCTGCGTGAAAATGCCTGAAATGTTCGTGGCCACGTGAAGAAAGCGCCGATGACGTTGCTGCCATTGTACACCGGTAACTCCATCCACCTGCATACTGAACCATGACTGCAACAACTTCGAAGCCGGTTTGTAGCCCCCTATGAACTTGAGCCATGTACCACCAATGGCTGTGTGTGTGTGTGTGGACTAACATTAAATCAATAAAAATGGCTCGGGACTGTATTCAGGAGATATGCATCACCGATTATTCATTTAATAATTAAGACACTTATTGCGAATGCTTTCTACATGCATGCAAAATGGGGAAACAGCTTTTGTCATGTTTGACCTTGTAGAAATTGAAAGTTGATCAGATACTTTTTGTACAATTCACCACCACAAAGATGTAGTGTATCGCGACTTCCAATAATTGGAATTTGTAGAAGTGTTCATCCCTGATATTTCAGATGTGCAATTGATTGAGCATAACGACGTATGCACACATTACAAACTCAATGGTACATTTGCATTGCATTCCAAAAGTAGATTTAAATCAGGAACCTTAATCAACATAAATCAAATTTCACCTCGTCGTGAAAAAAAGTGCATACTTATAATTAGGCCAGTGATGATACACCCATCCAAATTACATGAATCGTTACCATTGTGAAATTAGTGCCTCCAGGGATCACGTTTACAAATTACATTCAACAAATATTAATAACAAAAATGATTGTCATGCAAGATTTGATGCAGGTCTTGAGCTTTTACAATGGATTTTTTTAATCAACCACTGCATATCTCTATTAATGAACCGAAAACATGGGTGTCTTTAATACATTTTCTATATGGTCGCAACAGCTGAGTGATTTAAAATTATGGACAAAGTTTGAGTAACACGTGACCACCAAAACATGCTGGCAGACAGATTCGACATGTAAATGTTTAAACTTTCATGTAAGTGATCCCCCTACAGTCAAGCAACTAACATTTGTTTTAAGACTATAAAGCACCTTCAACTCGACACCAGTACTAAGAACCTGCTCACACGCCCCCTCTAAATAATAAATAAGCCTGAAACCAAAAACCCATTACAAATTTAAATCTCAAAAGGCAGGATATTTCCTTATGTCTTTAAATCATGGGATTTGTCCTAATGTGCTTAAATTATGGGAATGCACACGAGGGGTGGATATGCTAGCAGACAACGATTGAAGTCTAAAGTTGAATTCTAGACCACTAAGTATGAATGTGTCAACTTAATTCTTTCAGCTTCGATGGAGCCAGGAACAGTGGCATCCGCAACCTAAACTGGGCCCAGAAGTAATGCATGTTGTGTGTGTTAGGAGAACAGCCAGTAGATGAATTGGTAAGATAGAATATTCATAATAATTTACAGCCCCCATGTAGATCCAACACTGGATGAAGCGCTCCCCCCTCCCAACCCCCGTGTTTTGTTGATCATGGTGATTGTTTGACCAAACTTCACAATTCTGGTCAGTGCTGGTTCAGATATCACTCGTCACTGATATGAGCAGTGGTGGGGAATTCAACTCGAATCGCTGGGTTCAGACAGCAGTGAATTAACCTTGGGCCAAAAATGTTCAGTTTTAAAACAAGGCATTTATAACAAGAAATTATCACACAAAGGTGTATTATATAGCCCGAATCCTAAACTAGCGTTAGTCTCTTGAACCATACATTTCAGGGACCCACTGCCTTACAATTTACAAATAGGGCCTTGAACTATGTCAAAATGGATTACCAAGTCCAAACATTTGCCACCATTCTGAACTAACCTGCCAGACTGGGTTTCATCCCAGATGTCATGAGGTGTGGCCAATATAATTAAATCCTTGACTGATAGCTTTGCAAGCGAATTACATTCATCATATTTGGCCACTCCTTGCATTGGTATTCTGCACCCAGTTTTACAAGATTGCTACATTAAGGGAAAGCTGGTGTGACACAGACATGAATGAGCAAGGGAACGGCTGCATCAACTCTGGCATGCAATTCAGTAGTTGGGAGCGGTCCAAATAATAAAGTGCTTGTGTGGCTTGGTTAAAAATGCTGAACTGTCCTCAACAAGCAGCCTACACCCTTACCTACAACATTTCACCCATTTAAGCATTCTGTTAACAATAACTATGGCACAATCTGGATCGCAGTTTGGCAAACACCCGTCGCGCAGCAACAACGACAGCAGCTAGCGATCGGCGCTTACGGCAAGTCCAGCATATTGTGCTCAGTGTAGACGGCCTGGGAGACATCGTAAACCTTCTCGATGGCAGGCACGGCCTCTCCGAGCATGGCAACCACCTGCTCCTCGGCACCCACGTGCATCACCTCGAAGAAGGCGCTGCGCGTAGGCAGCAGGCGGAAGGCCACGGAGGAAGCCTGGCGCACGATCCACGGGTGATGTTCTGACAGGGAGCGGTCGTACGCCTCGGAGCACATCGTAGATGGACGGTCGTTCTCGCCGCTCGTGCGCAGCCGCTCCAAGAAGAGGCGCAGCCACAGCAGGGCGCGGTGGAGGCGCAGGAAGGTGCGGCAGCCGGAGGGTGGGTCGCGCTTGGAGGCGGCGACGAGGTCACCGGCCTCCGACTCGAAGCGTGCCATGGTCTGCAGCGAGCGGTAGCTGTCGGCGTGCGGGCCAGTGCGGTAGGCCTCCAGGATGTTGAGCTTGCTGACAGCGTCGCTCGAGATGAAGGAGAACATCGTACCCAGGCTGTTCATGAACCTGGAGGGAGAAGTGTCACACTTGTAATTGGACCAGAACTCCCGCGGCTCACACATTTGGTATCTGGCAGTCATAATTCTCGTGTGTGAACCGTACTCAAATTACTCATGAATTTAGGGTAACATGAAAATGATTTAACAATATTCGGTACTTTTTGTTATGGAGGTAATCATTACACCACCCACTCCCAAATCTGCTGCCCTCATGCCAACCGCAATTTGCACATTCCAACTCGAGGGGGTCTCTTATTGAAGCCGAACATTTCTAAAAATACAATTCTCCATTAGCCCGAGGCTGGTGGTAACACAGAATATCAAGTATTTTATACTGTTGTTTAGTAAAGAAGTTACATTCTTAATACCCCAGCGAATACAAATGCAGTACATGTTAATGGATGCTTGGCAACAGAATGCAATGAATGTTATTTCAATTGGACAAGCCAAAAAGAACAAAATGTCCTTAATAGAAACATTTTTCGACTTACAAAACATATTGACCCTTGGTTTGTATAAACAATGTAACAATTGTTTTTTTAAGTTCAGTATGACCTTAATACAAATCCAACTACATAAAAAAATACAAATTCTGTGACCACACCGACACTATGTATCTTTGAAAGTTGTTATTATACTGTATATAAGCAGAACTCGATTATGTGTGTCTTGTCCTTCGGCCTATTGGCTTCCAGATCAATAGTTTCAGACAGCATTTGTATTAAGGAAGCAACCCACTGGACGGGTTTCGACCTTCATGTGCATAAGGGAAACTACTATACAACACCCACTGAAGCATTATAGTGCACTCCACAGCAGTATGTACAACACTGCAATGCTAAACACTTAAAACATATAGGGCTTTATCTAAAAAAAATTACATACCATCTTGTGCTTGAAAATGTAAAGAGGAACGATAAAGACCAAAGCGACACCATCATTTGGCAAAAGCATTGGCAAGTGCATTACCGTAAATAATTTATGTCAAACGTATGCTTGTAAAATTTAACAGCATTAATGATGAATTGCGATGGGTTTGTTAAAATAAACATCGGTCAATAATGAATATTAATGGCTTGGTTAAATAAAGGAGATCAATCACTCCATCAATGATGGATCTCAATAGTTTAGTTATATAAAGGTCAATCAATACTCATGAATCTCATAGGGCCGCTTAAAGAAACATTACCAATAAATCAATAACCATTAACCTTGCACATGCATGTTTTTTTACCTTTCTGTACTATAGTTTGTGGTTTGGTTTTCCCCGTTTACTGCACGTATTGATTGTTATCATAAAGATAATTATGAGGGCGACAGCAATGATTGCTCAGATGTAACGTGCACATTGACGAAAGTACTTTAGGCAAGCAAACACCAGAGTCACAGACAGTTGCACAGACTCAATCATCACGGAAGTGCTTCGTGGCGTTACCACGGCGCTTTGTGCCAGGCTAGGTGCACGTTAAGGCCACATCAAGTGTTGATCTCCTGCTGGCAGGAGGGCGCACGGGACAGACCCAGGTGCCATGGGTTGATCGACTCGAGGTGACTGACCGATGCACTCAATACTCACACACTTTACACAGAAGCACCCACTCACGCACACTTACACAGGTGCTGTACACACATGCAGTCACACTTTCCAACACACAAAGACATTGGTAGACACAAAGACAAAGGCCCTGCTCGTATAGCCGTGAACATGTTGGGGCAAGGGCTGTTCGCGAGCACCTATTAAGGCTGACACACGGCACACGAGAAGGGTGGCCACCACCACGCCCGGCCACCTTTGTTTTCCACAATTTTAGGCCGAGTCGACTTAGGGGAATGCACAGGACCGGTTTCAGATATTCGCCACCCATGTTTGGCTGTGAGCGTAGCAAAAGTGCGCTCACCACTCTGCCACTGCTCCGCACTTCCACTTCTAAACACACACAGGTACACAAAGGTACACAAAGATCAGACGCTGGCCTTCCTCAAGAGATGCCGCCAACTTGCATCTTGTAATCGCTGCCTCACTTGATACACCAAATTCAGCTGTGACGGTCCCACCTGATGACGGAGACTTGTGTTGCCTCCGAAACGTCGTGATCTTCATTATTTTATTAATTTAAATTTCATTTTTTACCTACGTGACTTTACCGAAAAAAACTAAAGAGTATGAATCCTGGCAGTCACGAAAGCTTCAAATCTAGAATCCCCCTACGTCAGGGGTCGGGAACCTTTTTGACTGGGAGAGCCATAAAAGCCAAATATTTCTAAATATATTGCATTGAGAGCCATATAGTATTTTTAACGTATAATAAATTAATATGTCTTACTTTTAATGCGACTTCTGGTGCTGCATGGTTTTGCTGATGGCCTTGTAGTCTGGTTCATACGTGGTGAGGTTGAGCTTCGTGCATGCGTGACCCGTGCAATTTATCTTCAAAACTAATTTCTGTTTACTTTAAAATGACACAGTATTATTAAGCAATATCCCAAGTATTTTAAAATCAGTTCCAAACTGATTTTTGTATTTTTTTTCAACTCAAAATTGTCTGGGAGCCATATGCCGTCACCAGAAGAGCCATATATGGCTCGTTTATAACCCTAACCCTAGGGGCAAGTGCTGTTAGCGAGTAGCACCCAATGAAGGCCGGCACGCACACGTGGCGGTAGGGGGGGGGGGCAGCAACCACGCCCGACCGCCTTTGTCTCCCCAGGTGGCGATATTCACACACAGCAAACCAAGTTCTCATTTGAGTCCGAGTCGACCTAGGGGAGGACGACCCAGGACCGGTTCAGATCATTAATCGATGACCGTGACCCCCACTGAACAAACAACCACCAAGTGGCGGCGGCGGCGGTGGCGGCGACGTTGACCACGGCGCCTGTGCCAGGCTACGTGCACGCAGGCCCTGAACGCCCCCCACACCAAACCACACACGAACGCACGCAAAGTCGACAACCAACACGGCAACGACTGCCTGGTTGTGTGTGTGTGTGAGGGGGGGCACGTCGCTACTCACTTGATCAGTCCCCGCCATCCCTGCGCGTACTCCTCCAGCAGCACCTCGCCGCGCTCGTCCAGACAGACGCGGAAGGCGTCCAGCACGTCCCGTAGACAGAACACATCCTCGCCGCCTTACACGTGGCGACGGCGGTGGTGGTGGTGGCCATGGCTTCTTCCTCGTCTATTCTTCGTCTGCCGCCTTCCTCGTCCGGGTCCCGGTGAAGGCCGCTGCCAGGCGGAGCCTCGCTGGGCGCGGCCTCAGTCGCCTGCGTTGGCCCCCAAACGAACGTGAGAACTTGATGTTAAAAAAACGAAGTTAATTATTACTACGCGCTGCTATTAGTAAGCTGCTATTAGTAAGCAGCAGCAGCAGCGCCACTCCCTGTTGTCGTGTGTTGTGTGACGGCGTGCAGCGAGCGTAGACGAAGTTGGACTGCTGGTGGTGCTGGTGATGATTGTCGCGATCCATTTAACGACCACAACGCGGCGCTAGGCCGCCTCGCACCGCGCGCTGCAGATTCGCGGCATCGCTGCTGCGGTTGTAGAGAGCCCCCACCCCCATCCCCTCACCCAACCCCCCCACCCAACCACCCCCCTACCCCCACCCCCATCCCCTCACCCCCCACCCCCCTACCCCCACCCCCATCCCCTCACCCAACCCCCCTACCCCCACCCCCATCCCCTCACCCAACCGCCCCCCTACCCCCACCCCCATCCCCTCACCCAACCCCCTACCCCACCCCCATCCCCTCACCCAACCGCCCCCCTACCCCCACCCCCATCCCCTCACCCCCCACCCCCCTACCCCCACCCAACCACCCTTTACCCCCACCCCCATCCCCTCACCCAACCCCCCCATCCCCCCACCCAACCACCCCCCAACCCCCCTCCTCCACCCAACCCCCCCACCCCCCTATCCCCACCCCCATCCCCTCACCCAACCCCTCCACCCCTCAGCCCCCTCCTCCCCCCACCCCCCTCCTCCCACCCACTCCCTCCTCCCCCCGTCTCCCTCCTCCCCCCTCACCCCCTCATCCCCCCACCCCTACCCTCCCCCCCTCAACCCTCCCCTAAACCTCCCTCCTCCCCCCAGCCCCTCCTCCCCCCACCCCCCTCCTACCCCCACCCCCTCCACCCTGCTACCTCCACCACCCCCCTCACCCTCCTCCCCCCACCCCCTCCCCTCCATCCCCCTCCACCCCCACTTTATTCCCCCACCACCCTCCCCACCCCCTACCCCATCCCAGGGCAGGAAAAAGCCATTTCCACATTCTGCGCGGCGAGATTCAAACGTGGGGGGGAGGGGGGGATTTAAACCGCTGTAATAATATCCCCTTAACTCAAATAGTGACATACTTATTCTTTGGGTCTTTCGGTAAAGTGACGTGGATAGAAAAAATAGTAATAAAATAATAGAAATGAATTAAATAAATACTCTTTGGGTCTTTCGATAAAGTCATGTAGATAGAAAAATAATAAAATAAAATAATTTTTAAAAATCACGACGTTTCGATCGCATCGCAACGTCGTGATTTATTTTATTTTTTATTTTATTCTTTTTATACCTACGTGACTTTACCGAAAGACCCAAAGAGTATGAATTCCTGCAGTCACGAAAGCTTTAAGTCGAGAATAAAAAAAGAATAAAAATATCACGACGTTTCGATCGCAACACAAATAATCGTCATCAGGAGAAATAAGTATAACCCGTAAAAACAAAGTTTTTCACTCTAAATACTTTATATGCGTGGCGGCTAGAGTCCTCTCGTTCTCTGGCTTGAGATGGCTGCCACCTATGGGTCAGATGATTGTCTGCAGTATTAAACAATTGGTAATTAAATATTTAATTTGTTTTCCCTAAACAGTGTAAAATTTTGGAATTTTTTTTTTCACGAACATTAATTGTCTCGCACAACGAGTCTGTGTGCAAAATGTCAGCTCGATTGGATCACGGGAAGTGGGTTAAAAAACGACCGAAAGGTTTGCACGGTCGTAAGCAAGCAAGCAAGCAAGCGAACTTAATATAAAGGATTTAAAAAGAGTGGGATAGCTGCTGCGGCAGGCTGTTTTAAAGGTTTGAAATGGGTGTAGCCCAAGGGTCATAAGCGAAGTGGGCGGGGCTAGTTATGTTAATGTGAGAAATTTTCATGTCAATGTGAGATCTGAGAGCGACCTCCACGACGAGGGTACGGAGGTGGCCATTGTATTGTGAGAGATTAGCGTGATTAAATTTCGATTTAAAGCTTTCGTGACTGCAGGGATTCATCTTCTTGGTTCTTTCGGTAAAGTAACGTAGAATGAAAATAATGAAATAATAAAAATAAAACACACAAACAGACTCTGTCTTCTCGACAGACCTGTTCTCCACCTGAGGACGGCTGCTTGCGTTGTGGCCGAAACGTCGTGAGAATTATTTTATTATGCTTTATTTTTATTATTTTATTATTTCCATTCTACGTGACTTTACCGAAAGAACCAAGACGATTAGCATGATTATTGGGTTTTTTACCCTTTTTTCTGGCAACAAAACTGACACCTTTTTTTACAAGGAATCATGTTTGCATAGACCACAATACCTGCAGTCATAATGCAAACAAAAAACATAACTCTGATAATGTATGCACTGTCCTTGAAGTTGATTGGTCCATACCCGAGACAGCTTTCCTTAGAGCCTAGTCTCACATGGTGTTGGACCAGATGACGCCAAAAGGCGCACAACTCAAAGACAATGCACCATCAGAGTACGAGAGCTCGGGGTAAGCATTTACACCATTGGAACCTCATTTACCAGAAGAAAAATATGATAATTGGTGTCAGTTTTGTTGCCAGATAAAAGGGTAAAAAAACAATTATCATATTTTTTCTTCTGGCAAATGAGGTTCCAATGGTGTAAAAGAGATTAGCATGTCAATGTAAGATCGCGGAGCCACCGCCACATAGAGGACACGAGCAACGGCGGCTGTGTTAGTGTGAACCTGTTAATGTAAAATCAGATAGTCGAAAATAACTGCTAACATCGGAAGGTAGGATGGAAATATCACAGCCAGTTATGACTTAAACTGGTTAATAACGCCCTTCCAATAATTGCTCAGTTTGTACCCATCTTCTTGGTTGAAATTGTGTCTGTGTCTATATATATGGATGGCTTCATGAACGAATCTTTGTTGATAGCCAGTGGGTTTGCAGAGTACTTTCGTCTTGGAGAAATCAATTTCGTATGAGCCAACCGCATTAAAACAATGATCAGCCACGGCCAATGTGTTGGTCCTACCGTGTTTCAGATCTGCCTTATGTTCACGAACACGGTTCGAGACATGTCGCGTAGTTTCCCCAATGTAACTACTGTCGCAGACACAGCTTAGTTTGTAGACGCCTGGGTATTGCATGTCAGGGATCACATCCTTCACAGACGGGATCAGATCACAAATTGTATGTACTGTGTAAAATCGAACCTGGATCTTGTGTTTGCTCATGATTTTGGAAATCTTTTTAGTGATCCTGCTATGTATACCAATTCAGACCTTATTGGTCACACCGTTCCCCTTATACATCTCAACGTTCATCCTGCAAAGTCCCACCACAAGAAGAGAAACACAAACAAATAGGCAAAAAAATAGTTGTTGCCCGTATAGAAACGGCTGTACGCCATATAGACCTGAAAACTCGATTTCCCTGTACAGGAATACGGGGCAAAACCGGCTAGAGAGCGTTGGCAGTGCGGTGTTGGTGGCACCAACGATCTTTGACCTCGACAACATCTTGATATGGAAACATGTGGCAACATCCCAGGCTGATGTGTCCTACAGATTACAGCACTACGCTATACGTATGGGGGATTCCTGATGGCTGTACATTCTTAAGCTACAATGACTGATATTATTTGCCGAGAAAGCTGCTTTTCGTCACGCCTCATTGTCACTTTGCTATCGCTACTACCGTGGTTACTATCGCTCGTTGATTCCTCCACCCATGCTTGAGGACTCGGGTCGACCAGGCTGAATGTTCCATCTCATCTGTCCTGTGTTCAACCACCGTCGTGCCAGCAGCTCACAACAAAACCATCACGAAGTGGCGGTAACGTCACCACGGAAGGTCACAACGCTTTCTCATCCTGCTCCCATAGTCTCTCTCACTTTCCCAAGTTCCCGTAAACTTTGCTCAGTACATGCAACGTTTTCACCCTTATTGTCGTTTACACATTTCACCCTGCTGTGTTGTTGATGGCCGTTTGAAGTTCCGGGCCTGTTACTGAACAACCGTGTTTAAAAAAAACAACCCCCACAAGACCCTTCACGTACAAAATGCGCCGGCTCGCTTCTTAGGAACATGAATGTCGTTCAAGTGATGGCTATCATCTGTAATCCAGCGCTTTGGAACCAGGGGCTGATGGATGATGTAAGAGCAGTGTTATTCACTCATTTTCAGAGGGAGAGGGAAGGGGGGGCACTTATCCTCTACGACATCAGCGTGAGGGCCACCGCACATTTGAAACCATTGGGGTAGGACAGCAGCACGATTGGGGGGTGTTTTCAAATGTGTGTATTGTCGGGGGCTGCACATCAGGGGGCTGCACTAAAGGCCACGAGGGACCGCCAGTGGCCTGCGGGCCTTGCAATCAAGAAAACTGCTGTCGAGATTGATCAAACTCCCCAAACCCACTGGACCAGGAGGTGGCAGTAGAGGAGATGACAAAGCAAATGGCTTTGAGTCAGAGGTCGCAAACGGGTTTTGATTCCTTACCCTTACCCGGCCGCACCAGGGTCGCAAACGGGTAGCCGTACCCGGCCGTACCCGTACCCTACCCGTACCCGGCTTGAATTGTGAGAAGAGACAAGACGTTGGGAAATGAGTGACAAACGGTTACTCACCAGTGACTCACGGCCTACCCGTACCCGGCCGCACCAGGGTCGGGTAGGGTACGGGTATCGGGTACCCGGTTGCGACCTCTGCCTTGAGTGGTATCCCCTTGGACATGGGAGGGCTGGGTGGCTCAACGAGAGCACTTGTGTCTCATGGCACGAAGGACCTGGGTTCAATTCCTGACTCGGGTGCCACTTTGTGCGGCGTTGCACGTTCTCCATCTGTTCCGCACGGATTATCCTCCAGGTGCTCTGGTTAATCATTCAAATCTTTCAATGGTGAAGAAACCCCATCACAACAGAAATAACATTCTCGTCATTTACAGATCTGAATTACTGCACTGTTTGTGGGCGGTTAATTGGTCAGGGCGGATACGTGACATTGTACTGTGTTGTTATTTCCATTTGAATATGTTTTATAAACTCAAGGTTATTTTGCCCCTGCCAAATGAATGGGTTGTTTCTCTATTGGTAAATCATTAAACTGGCCGTTAAATCCTCAGCAAACTGGACAGTGTTTGTATAGGGTGTTCTGAGTGCACTGCAGTTAACATGCAATCAATTGTCGATACCACCTTGTGTTCCATATCTATACGTTAAGTAAAATCAATTTCAGTCCATCAGCCTGTTGGCCTTGTGGATGTACGGTAAGCAGCACCATTTGTTCAAACACAAACATTCTGGGGCGGTGTTCAGTCTTTTGGAGCTCATCAGCAGTGTTAAGGCATTTATAATTGCACTGTAGTGGAGGTTCTTGCTTTTTAAAGGGGACCCATTCCTTTCACTGGCACCCATGTGACGTCACGATGGCATCCCATGGGCCCTGGGACCGATGCACACCCTGATGCCTGTATATTTTGAGTTTGCATGTTCACCCCGTGGTCACGTGTATTTTTCTCCAGGTCCTCCGGTTTTTTCCCTCCACATTTACTATCAATAAATGTCCACATGATAACTTCGTTGAGCTATCATTTGTGCAAAGGTTGCTTCTGAAAAAGAGCTATATAGCTCAGTGGGCCTTACCTGATGACATTACAAATAGTTTCGTTTTGGTTTCAGCACACACTATGGCACTAAATCTGCCTTCTGCTGGGTTCTGGTGACAGCACCACCGCACTTGACCAAATGCTGCACCGAGTTGTCCAGGTTTTGGGGAGCCTACCTGTCGCGCATGTGCCCCGGGCCACTGCAGACGGATGGGCTGGAAGCAGTGGACCCAAGATGATCCGGGGCCACACAGAGAGGGTGGCCTTACTTGAGACTCGGGCCTCTTGCGCCGGCGTGTCGCACGTGAAGGCCTCGCCAACTCAGGCCATACGGGTTCATCCAATGCCTCGTCCACCAGCACGGGCGTGTCTGCCGACGCAACAATTGCACATCACCGTCATCATCGGCTCTGCTGCGGTACCGCGTCTTGTCCGGCACGACGTCCGGCGTTTTTCTGCATGTCCTGCTTCAAGAACTCGAATCGAAATTAGTTCCTGATTCAGTTTTGCCGTACGGCACAGCCACAAAAACCTAAACAGCAGTGCACATCGTCGGGGTCTGCGTGAAGGTATTGCTTGTCTCTTTGCAGTTTGGTCCATTGACCTTTGGCTATCATTGCCATGAATATCGTAAATACCAGGTGTGTGACCATTCACTTCCTGCGCCTCGAATATTTGATGGAGGTTCGTGATTCGAAAAAAAATGTATATATATAAACTGCCAGGATTTTCATAACTGAAATATAGTGACCCCTTAAAATCACATCCGCAATAGGCTCGCTGTGCTGGGACCACCGCTGTTTTACGCTTGTATGTTGAACTTCTTTCGCACCATACGTAGACAACCGTGCAAATCGGAGGTGACATCCACATCACAAATCAGAACGCTCGCTTGAGTCGTCCGTTAGTCCTTAGAACAAAAAAAAAACGGTGTCAGACAACGACTGGAATTTTACGTTTCAGTCCTTCCACACTGGCTCGCTGGCTCCATGGCCTCCACAATCTCCACATCAGCATTTTATTTACGATCCCAGCGCACACGCGGCAAGCCCTCTGGACTTTACCTTCCAAGTGTGATTCTTGGTCTTTGCTTATCTCGTATTCCGTGCCTGCGGACACAAACGAACAGATGACTGATTCCACTGCGACTGGTTGTAATATCCACACTCGCTTTTCTGATTAACTGCATTTTGCAAGATGCTTTACACATGTTTTAATGCGTGCCATTCGTCATCTGGACCATGGGAGATTGCTTTTATGGGGGGGGGGGGGGGGGGCGGGGCTGGCTTCATCCAGCAGTGGATTGATCATGGCTGATACAAGTAAAATGCAAAGGTACAGCTCTGGCATTATTTGGCCTATTTGTCTACGCTTGCTCGACGTCTTGGTGGGATTAACCACACTTTAGCCCACCGCACGCGACTGTGTCTGACGCATTCATTTATACCGCCTGGGTGGACGCAGGTTGCAGTGCCGGATTAATATCCTAGAAGCAAAAGTAGCTACATATGCAGTAGCTACATATGAAACGTGTCTTTTACAGAAATGACCCGGCCACAAATGACAGCTCGAAAAAGTGGCTTATGTTGTGGAAATGTACAGAAACCGAATTACTCCAAATCCATGTTTTTTTTAAATAGGGAGGGAATAACCGAAGGACCCGAAGAAAAATCCACGCGACCACGGGGAGAGAGAGAGACACGCAAACTCCAAATATACAGCAGGCGTCAGGGTCGGAATCGAACACACGACCTCCTGCATACCAGGCGAGGTAGTTAACATCTCGCCACCGTGGTGTCTGGCAGTATGTGCAATGAGGAGATGGAGGAATAAATAAAATTGCATGCAGTTGGATAGTATTACATCACAGGACCGTGAGAGGTGGTTGGGCTGCCTTCATCCAGCAGTGGATTGACCATGGCTGAATGGTAATCGTGATGATAAACATGCTGGGTTCAAACGTCGCTGACAGTTTATATGGCAACTGTACACTCCTTAGTCAAGGCACTAAAATCTCTGACTCACGAACACTACTGCACGTGTATATACCGCACATACACTGGGTGTCACGCCACTGGTTTAAACTGCATCTCAAGATACGACAATCACAGAGATGATTATCAATCCACCTCTCACCTGCGTTATTATACAACTCCGCCAACATAGTGTACGAGAGGCGGAGGTGGGTTATGCATAACTGCACTATGAACCTGACGACCCGAGTTCAATTCCCGGCCACGGTTATCCAGTATGGGCGGGCAGGCGGGTTACAACATCAAACAAAAAAAAACCTTTTTTTTTTTTTAAATGACAAGTCACCAAAATAAAAAATAAATACATTCATGACTCGTACGAGTCCCGATCGATCAAGAACGAAGTCACCACTCACCCCTGGGTCGCTGTGAGATGATGACGAGGATGTACACGGCGACAGCAGCGACGCCCAGGCGAAGACCCCAGCGCCTGGCGAACACCCCAGCCATGTGCCGGTGTGACCGCGTGCGGCTGTGGGGAGCGGTGGGACAGCGGTTAGGTGCGCTCTGCTAACAAAAACCCGGCGAATCGAGTTCGATGCCTGCTCACGGCCACCGACACCTGTGACCATTAATCTGAAGCAGTCCTGGGCCTCCCCTGCGGGTGATGTGTAAACATCGCCACTGGGGAGACAAAGGCGGCCGGGCGTGGTGCTGGCACACCCACCACCTCGTGTGCTGTGCCGGACTTCACAGGTGCTCGCTAACAGCGCTTGCCCCAAAAGTATGCTACGGCTAAAGGGGAGGTCTTAGTCGCTGTGTGTATGACTGTGTGTGACTGTGTGTGTGACTGTGTTACTATGTGTGACTGTGTTACTGTGTGTGTGACTGTGTGTGTGACTGTGTTACTATGTGTGACTGTGTTACTGTGTGTGTGACTGTTACTGTGTGTGTGTGACTGTGTATGTGTCTGTGTGTGTGACTGTGTTACTGTGTATGTGTGTGTGTGACTGTGTTACTGTGTGTGTGACTGTGTCTGTGTGTGACTGTGTTACTGTGTGTGTGACTGTGTCTGTGTGTGTGTCTGTGTGTGTGTGACTATGTTACTGTGTCTGTGTGTGTGACTGTGTTACTGTGTCTGTGTGTCTGACTGTGTTTGTGTATGACTGTGTTACTGTGTGTATGTGTGTTACTCTGTCTCTCTCTCTGTGTGACTCTGTGCCAGTGTCTCTGTGTGTGTGGACTTCGTGTGCGTTGTGACGGAAGGTCAGCACTTTCCAGAGAAACAGTTTACTCGTGCAAGGCTATCAACCATATCTCGCTTCTGTTCTCTACGTCAAACTCGCTGCGTTTGCATTGACCTGTCAATGCGAAATATCTCTCCGATCCAAGTTAGCCGACTTTTAAACGCATCCATAAAACGTGTGCCGAGTAACCGCTCTCCTTTTGTTATGGTGTCAAGTAATGCTCTTTACCATACGTGTTCTTGAGTCTGGATGCTCGTTGTTAGGAGTGCATTGCTCGGGATGTATCACTGTTACGTGCGGCAGAATGTTCGAGCAAATAAACGACTGGAGCGACCTGCAATCACGCCACGTAAATCCTTGACTAACCCTCAACGTTCGACTGATCGAGCGGAGCAACTTACGTGCTGTCAATCTGCACGCCGCGCGCGTTCCTTGACTTCCTTGCAAGGTGGGTGCCTAAACACGTCAGCGTTTTAACGGCAGTCCCAATCCCCAGAACGTAATCGACGCACTGCACATCATTCCACGATAGGGTGCGTTTCGTAATAAAATGTGAGAAGGCTTTATTACGAATGAAAAGATGAGAACTTTCAGATAGACGTCACGTTTGAGATGCATCCCGTCCGGTTTGCAAGGTACTTTATTAAGCTTCTGCATTTCTATTCTTAGGTTTTTCGGTAAAGTCACGTAGGTAAAAAATTTTAATTAATAAAAGTAAAATAAAACAAAATAAAAAATAATAATAAATAAATGTAAAAAAATTTTACCTACGTGACTTTATCCTAAACAAACCTAAGAATATGAATCCTTGCAGTCACGAAAGCTTCAAATCTAGAACTTCTGCATTTCAACAACCGCAGTAGATCTTCGCCCCGTAGAGCCGCCCAGACTTTTTTAATAACAAATAAATCAACGACTGCGAGACAACATTGAAGATTAAGCCACGCAGCATACCGGCTTGCCATTGCTTTCAATCCATGCTGAACAGCATAACGAAAGAAGAACCGCCACTTTCACATCAATTTATTCTTTACCATCATCTCTTAGTTACAGGGACTCCTCTACTTACGAACGAGTTCGGTTCCAGAGGTCTGTTCGTAAGTCGATTTGTTCCCAAGTCCAATTTTACTCCTGTTGATTCCAAACATGGTGTACGACATGTATACTAAACACGGAGAATGGCTTTAAAAGTTGTATAATCTCCGGTAGATGTAGATGCCACTGGTTCTCCATGTTCTGCAGATGTAGATGTCACTGGTTCTTCATGCTCTGCAGATGTAGATGCCACTGGTTCTTCACGTTCTGCAGATGTAGATGCCACTGGTTCTTCACGTTCTGTAGATGTAGATGCTATTGGTTCTTCACGTTCTGCAGATGTAGATGCCACTGGTTCTTCACGTTCTGTAGATGTAGATGCTATTGGTTCTTCATGTTCTGCAGATGTAGATGCCATTGGTTCTTCATGTTCTGCGGATGTAGATCCCACTGGTTCTTCACGTTCTGCAGATGTAGATGCAACTGGTTCTTCACGTTTTGCAGATGTAGATGCTATTGGTTCTTCAAGGTCTGCAGATCCAGTTGCTATTGGTTCTTCATGTTTTGCAGTTGTAGATGCTACTGGCTCTTCATGTTCTGCAGATGTAGATGCCACTGGTTCTTCACGTTCTGCAGATGCCACTGGTTCTTCACGTTCTGCAGATGTAGATGCCACCACCGCCATCTATTTGCGCGGCGGTTGAACTTACGACTCTCGGTCCGAACAGGCAACTGGACGTACGGACCAGGTTTGATCGAATCTCTTGAATGTTCGTAAGTAGAGGAAGTCCCTGTACCTCTCGACCGTCGGTTAAGAACTTGAGTAGATGTTGTTACGAGCCAGGAACGATGACGCACATTGCTGAAGACCGTGTCCCGCTAATCATGCCGAGCGGCTGTCTGATGGACACCTCGTTTTACAAATGATGAAGCCGCCTGCCTCGGCGTTCAAACTCGCACGCTCAGCAAAAACGACGAATACTGTCAGTCCCACTGGCTACGTACGGTGGGTAAGAAGTTCGACATACATGCATGCAAAGATGCGTTCAGGTGCGCGGTGTACAACGTGCTGCGGCTTGGCTATGAAATGCAAAGGAACGTTGCAAACTCCCTCGGGCTGATGCTCTCCTTACTGCGGCTTCTCTCCATGTTGTGGAATGTGGTTGGACGTGCATTGTTAAATAAAATGTCACCTTTTATGTCAGTTCACGTGTGCGTGGATACACGTGGGGGAGCGAAAGTAGCGTGGTTTTAGCGCTGCGCTACCAACAACGCGACACCCCAGTTCAATTCCCGCTCACGGCCAACATCACTGACGAATATATCTAAACATTGGCGCTGGGGGAGACAAAGGCGGTGGTTAGTGTGACCACACAATAACAAAGATCCCCCGTATAGCCTGAACAAACGGGGGATCTTTGTTAGCGCAAGTGCACCTATAAAGGCCGGAACCGCACACGAAGGTTTTGGGTGACCAACACCACGCCCGGCCGCCTTTGTATCCCCAGTAGCAATGTTTACACACCGCAGCCAGGTACTTAATTGAAGCGGAGTCGGTGGGGGGGGAGGCATGACCGGTTCAGATAATCGTCACCGGTGTTAACCGTGAGTGGGAATCGAACTCGGGAAGCCGGTTTCGTAGCGCGGTGCGCTGACCACTACACGAGCCGCTCCCCACCCCGCGTGTGCCGTGCTCCCCCCCCCCCCACCTTGCCACTTCAAGAAGGCTACATTTCAGGGCACAATTATCCACGGAAATGTAGCATCGGCCGTTGTTAATCCACTGCTGGACGAAGGCGTTCCGAAGCTGCCGTCAGCTCTTAGCATCCTGTGATGTAACAATCCAGAATCATCAAATGAATTTATATACTGGAGGAATCCGATGAGCTATAAAGCTCTTTTTCACCGACGTCCAGTAGGGGTAGGTTAGGACGTTGTAGCAATACAAAAAAATTAACCCGTAAAAACAAAGTTTTTCACTATAAATCCTTTATATGCGTGGCGGCTAGAGTCCTCTCGTCCTCTGGCTTGAGATGGCTGCCACCTATGGGTCAGATGATTGTCTGCCAGCATTAAGCAATTGGTAATTAATTATTGAAAAAAATTTCCCTAAACAGTGTCAAATTTAGGAAAAAAAAATTCACGAAAATTAATTGTCACGCACAACGAGTCTGTGTGGAAAATGTCAGCTCGATTGGATCACGGGAAGTGGGTTAAAAAACGACCGAAAGATTTGCACGGTCGTAAGCAAGCAAGCACGCAAGCAAGCGAACTAAATATAAAGGATTTAAAAAACAGGATAGGAGTGCAAAGTATATGAAAGCGAATCACTAAAAAAATCAAACGGAACAATTTTTTTTACCAGATAAAGCCCACTGAGTAATGAGCTTCTTTTTCAGAAGCCACAAATGATAGCTCAACGAAGTGGCTTATCACGTGGAAAATTCATAGCAGCCGAATAATGAAAATAATTATCTAAACGCACGTTTCTAAATGTGGAGGGAAAAGTAATATAGAAAAAAACTTTGAAAAAACACGCTTTTATGAAATGTACCGTACGAGTAATGACAGAACTCCACGACTCCAGGAAGTGGCCCCGAAGCTTGCCACGACGTACGGGACCGTGGCCAATTAAAGGCAACGTCAGTTGAGCGTGGACAATTAGACCCAAGCCGAAACATAGCATAAAAAACAAGGTACAATTGTTTTTATGATAGAATATAGTATTGTCATCAGTATGACATAAGTATACCAAGTTTGCAGTCGATAGCACATTGGGAAGTGGGTAAAATTGAGTTACAAGCTTTGAGGATACGACAACAGTGAGTTAAATATTAAAAGCGTGTAATAATAAAAAAAAGCGTGTAGTAAAAACGGGAGGACCCGGAGATTTAAAAAAATTAACCCGTAAAAATAAAGTTTTTCACTATAAATCCTTTATATGCGTGGCATCGGTTTTATTTTATTATTCATTTCTGTTTTTCTTGAGTAAGAGTTTCATTTTTATCACATTGGTATTTTAAATAAAATATGAAAAAAAAAATTTCCTAAAAAGTGGAAAAAAATTTTCACGAAAATAAATTTTCACGCACAACGAGTCTGTGTGCAAAATGTCAGCTCGATTGGATCACGGGAAGTGGGTTAAAAAACGACCGAAATATTTGCACGGTCGTAAGCGCGCAAGCAAGCAAGTGAACTTAATATAAAGGATTTTTTAAAAAATGCACGCGACCACGGGGAGAACGCGCAAAGTCAGGCGTCAGGGTCGGGATCGAATCCCCGAACTCCTGCAAACCAGGCGAGGAAGATGACATCTCCTAGCCACTGTGGATCGACATAGCACCTGCACTGAAACTGACTTTCACCGCTCCAGCGCCCTCGGTGGACGTAATCTCGGACGCGTTCCGTTCCTTGGCAGCCACTCCCGTCATTATTCTTGACCATCGCCCCATCAAAGCGACGGGTCCTGCCCAGGCCCACTCACTTTACTCTGAACAGTTTGAAGGATGTAATCAACACATTCCTGCGGAGGGAGCTGGTAGGAACGTTGGGTTGCTCGGTCAATGGCCAGGGTCAATGGCGGCGTGGTGTATTCCGCAAATATTCCCGACTGTGAGGGCTGGCACAAGCCGGCGTGAGTAGGTTAAACGTTGAGTTTTATAAGGGCACCACGGGGTGACCAGCCCCTCCCCACCCAGTCCCACCCACTCTCCCCACCAAGCCCCACCCCTCCCATTTTTGGATGCACAACAGACGGATGGACACAATAATCCCCTGTGCGCTGGTGGAACCAGGAGGTTCCTACCAGTATAAACATATTCTGTACTTAACGAACGTAATAAGAAGCACCCGCGCACAAGCTTATGTCATTTTACTAAATTGTTCCATCTCCTGGACGCAATTAAAATTTAACGGAACAACAAAGAACATCGGACAGCTTTTGTTTGTATATTTTTATTGTACTGTAGCTGCACATTTGCTATTTACACGTGAATGCCATAACGTCTTTTTATTTCCAAACACCTGCAATGTATTGGGTATACTAGAATTTAACTTATTTTTTTTTAAAAAAGCAAAGCAACATTCATATACAAACAATTTTCAATACAAAGGCAAATATTCCTTGGCAGGCTGTGCACACGGGCACGCGCCACGTGCAATGCGTGTAAGATATGTTACAGAGTTAGCACATCAAATTTCACATTTGTCTGCAGGCCTTATATTGATTCAACAGACAGAACAACAACCAAACAAAGCTCATATACATTCATATCCTTTCTCGCAACTGAAACGTATTTTTTCTGACGCACATTTTTCGTCGTCACGCTCTCGGTTGATTTTGTATTTTCAGGGCGTCTTCGTCTGGGCAACTTGAGGGCCCCAGTGCAAATGTGACAGCCGTTTGAGACTGGAAGAAATTACTGTTATCGTCATCAAGTTCCGTTCCACTCGACGTCACTCTCTCCACTTTCGCAGCTTTTGCACTCAAGTAAGCGACTCGTGGATAATTCATTCTACTCACTAAGCATGCGAGAATTATTACGAGCCTCTTGACAGCCAGATCAGTCTTGTGCTCATCGGGATTACTTTGAGTAGGCACGCTAACAACACATCAATTCAAATCAATCCTTACATTCGCAACGCGTGCATCTCATCGCGCAAGAATCCGTTGTTGTTGTTCCGTACGTATATTTTACGAGACCGCTGCGTAGATTTTCGCGACTGCGCCGCGTTGCTCTCCAAATTGTTTTTTTTTGGGTTGCACCTTCGTGCGTGTTGTTCGGCGCGATGTCCGACGTTCCCCACCCCCCTCCCCTCGTGACGGGGAGCTTTCACAAGACACTCGTGCTGAACATGCAATACAACCCGAATACACAGCGGAGAGCCTGGATGCGACTGGTTCGCTGACCCCCGCATACAACCCATTAAGAGGACTCCGCGCCGAGGACAGATAAAAAAAAACTCAAATCTTAAATCCAATCGTAGACTTGCATCATGAAAATTAATTGAATGACTGAGCGGGGTACCGATTGAATTGGTACAAGGCTAACCTTGAGTTCTACAGGCTAGGAGCAGTCAAGATTTCTTTGGGTGTCACAATGGAGTACTGAAACCCTAAATCGTTGCCTTTGTCCAATGTAAAAAAAAACCTCAAGGTGCCAATTTTTGGTCTCGGTGTGGAGATAAATTCATTATTTTCACGTTGGCAGCACAATGGGTTTAGTGGCCCGGCATTTACGAGTGTCAAGCGCTGTCGAAACTAAAAAGATGAAAGAACGGATCACTCCAAGCCAAACTTTTAGCGACTTTGTGACAAAAAACATTTTAAGTTGCTGCCCTGTTTACCTGCCATCCCGATGGCCGAAATAATCCCCTAATCAATGAAATAAATGTATCAAGCTAATATGTAATTCACATGTTTTTGGAAACATTAACTGGACGTGAAATGCTACGGTAAAAATTTTCTTACGATATAAATTCAGTGGGTTAACATGGGGGGGGGGGGGGGGGGGGCTTCCAATACGAAATGGTATTATCCACATTTATATTTACACGATCTAACCCAAAAAAAACCTGTTTTATGGACGATCCATTTATCCCACGCACACATACTTTTGAAAGGACGCGTAATTGAAAAAGAACACCACCCTAAAAGATGTACAACCTGTGCATGTCATTGATAATAATTAAGTTATCATTTCCATCCCTCCTGTCAATCCACTGCTGAATAAATGCCACCCAGAACAGTGTTGGTCATGGGGCATGTTTGACCAGGTTTCACCACACTGGTCAGTGCAGGTTCGTAAGGCAGGGTTGGTAGGGGGGCCGAAAGGGAGTCAGGGGTTAAGACTGGTTCAAAAGTCACTTGCCACTGATGTTAGCCGGGGCTGGGAATCAAACTGTGTTCACAGGGTTAAAAGCAAAGTGGCTCACCACTGCACTGCTGCTGCTGCACCAGATGAAATCTAGAAATGTTTTAACCACACACCACACATTTATGTATGTTCCATAGTGTGGATATTTCCCACAATTCAAGCAAATTTGTGCCAAAACTGAATTTAAGACATCTTGGAAACGAGAGCTTACAGTGCTATTCTGTCAACTACAGCCACATTTTACTACTTCATTTTACATTTCAATCTTAAGGTCATTTTACTCATTGCATTAGACGTGACAATCTATTTAGCCGGAATAATGCAAAACAATGCATTTACATTAAAGCTACTAAATTTAGGCCGCGTAACATCTTGGTAAATAAACTACTGAAATGTCATCCAATTCCCACAGCATCACTCTCTGATATCAGTAGTCTTTAGAGCCAAATGGCCAAAGAGCACCATACACATCCCAGAAAATTGCACACTTAATTCCAATTGGGGTATATTTTAACTGTATATCCTCTTCAAAAGCTATACAATCATATGTTTAAAAAGTGAAACGCTTTAGGTTTTCATGCCATACGCAACAATCACAAAGATCTCCCGTATAGCGTTAATAGACTTTTGGGGCTAGTGCTGGGTAGCGATCAGCTTATGAAGGCCGAGGCCAGCACGGTATACGTGCGGAGTGGTTGGCCAGCACCACACCCGGCCACTTTCATCTCCCAAGTGGCGATGTTTGCACACTTCACCAGGAATTAATTTGAGGCTGAGTCAACCTAGGGGATGCCCAGGACCGGTTCAGATAATCGTCACTGGTGTTGGTCGTGAGCAGGAATCAAACTCGGGTCTCCAGGCTCGGAGCGCAGCACGCTAACCACTGTGCCACCACTCCCCAACATGCTTAAACAACACACACCTGCACACATGCATTAAAAGCAACGGCGTTTTAGCACAGAAGCAGAAGTGAAGCAATGTAAACAAGCTACATATTATACGTACCACTCGCAAGGTAGACAGCAGTGGGCCTGAATATGCACTTGCACACTTAATACTATTTCTGGTACATTATATACAGAGCAAAACATTTTAAACTATATTCATACGTGATTGTACATTTATAAGTTAGTACCCAGCATGCTTATGTCTTCATCGAAGTTTCAGTATATTGCATGATAACATTTTCATCCCACTGTTCTCCACCTTGCAGATGGCAATAAACACAGAAGCACAGTTTTTATGTTTTGCAAAAAAAGCCAATTGAAAGAACGGCAGTGAGTGCGCGATACAAGGGGGGGTCAAAACATTGTGAAAACACCTTCTGAGAATGCATGACATTTCAAGGTAAACTTTAAATTAATAGCGATTTCGTGACAAAGTAAGGAAGCGCAGAAAAAATAAAACGATTACAAAATTGGTCATTGTAACTCTGCGTCAAATGTATATCCCCGTGTTTATGCGTGTGTGCATGTGACGTGTACAAAAAAGAATGCAAACGCATATTACACCATTTGCGGCTTAAAAGAATCGAAAAAAATACCACAAAAATGTAAATCAAATGCCCTATATTGGAATGTAAGAAAAATGTTTGCATCTCAAAACTGTAATAAAGGCTTTTCGATCGTTGCGCCGTCGTCACTTGCAAGCACGTAAATATACATCAGGACGTAAATAAAACACCCCCTTTCGTGCCGCTGAATGTTGTTAATGTGCTGCTGACCATCCGTTTGTGTAAACTTCCCCCCCCCCCCCCCCGAACCACCGGGCTCCCTTGGCAATAACCCCCACGTTAATATTCAGTGATGAGACAGTCTTCAACGTAAATTTTTTTTAAAAACATTCCCACATCGTGTGCAATCAATTCCAACGCGTATTGCACAGAATGACCGCCCGCCGGGTGTGACATGTCCCCCTCCCACCCCTCCACCTCTGTCTGTGCCCCTCACGGCCACCACAACACGACCACATCTCACTCGTAACGATTCGTCTTTAAAAGCACAAACTCTTCACGAGATGCGCACCCCCCCCCCCGTAAAGCAGTCATTAAGGCCATAATATGTACAAAGCACGGGTCTTGGTGAGATAACTGGAGCAGATGGTGCAAAATAATTACGGAGAGGACACGAAATGTAGAAAAAAACAATGGCTTGGACTACATTCTCAATACATCCAGGAGACGCATAGTCTCTGTTACGCAACAATTAATTTAAAATATTTCTTTTTAAATCAACATGCAAGCCAGAACTGCACCCCCCACAGCAGGAAAAAAAAACCATCGACAACGTTTAAACGTTTGCCGTAATCTGCATAAATATCCAAACCATGGTCTGGAGTGCAAGCACGCGAGGACAAGTGAATACGAGATGAAGCGATGAAACTGGAGCATGCTTCTGGGAAAAGAACGCAGGTGAACATGATTGTACATAATCGTGCCATTGTGTGTAGAATGACGATGATGATGGTATTGCTGTTGCTGCTGATGATACAAACATCATTTTATATTACTGCATATGCGTGCCTTTTGTCTAACAGCTAGACACTGCATGCTACTGAATAATAATGTACATGTGCTCCATTGGAACTGCATAGCTCGTTGTTCCTGCATAGCCGTCAACGTTTAACAACACCTACCGGCATCGTTGCACCCCAGTTGCGCCAAAGTGGAAGCGTTGACTATGATACCACTGCAGTTCCAAAAACTTGGCTTGACTTAGACCTACACTGTCCCTTCCTGATGCTGAGAGGCTGTTGCATGCCTTCACATAATCGAGGTTAGATTACTGTAATACCTTGCTTGCTGGCGTTTCTAAAAAGTCTTCTAAATTGACTACAATATATTTAAAACTCAGCTGCTTGGGTTTAAACCGGACTGAAATTGTGTGACCATATTACTCCGATTCGTTCCTCAAGATTTTATTCTCGCGTTTAAGGCTCTGGATGAGTTCGCTCCTAAATATCTCACCGATCTGTTTAATTTTTACATTCCACTGCGAAAATTGAAATCTTTCCATTGTGGTTCACTACCCATTATTCCTAAGACCAGTCTTCATTCTACTGAGAGACGGAGGCTTTTTTTGCAGCCAGGCTCGGCAATTGAGGAATACCCTTCCTTGGTCCATTGGGGAATAAGAGTTTGTTAAGACTTTTTAAATCGCGTATTAAAAACTCAACTGTTTTTCCAGCGGGCTCTCTCCGTAACTTAAGCTGCGTGTGATGCGCTTTGAGTCCTGGTGTGAGTTAGGCTATAGAAAACCGAGATTATCATTATTATTAAAATCCTAAAACCTGTGCAGCTGGGATCGATTTTAAAACTGAGAATAAAGTGCAATTAAGAAGGCACTCGTGTTGTGTTTTTTTTTCATGGCAACTCACCCGAAGTTGAATTTACCATTAAAACCGGCGATTTCGTTTTTTGTTGAGTGATGTGATGATGCCACATGGGCAAGGCTGTTTTTAATCTGCTTCAAAAGAAAATGTGGCGATCTGGGTGTTTAACTTCTGTGTAAATGCATCACTAATTAAGGAACTCTATCTGGACAATGTCAATATCGGCGCTAAAAATGTATGGCAGACATTATCATTTAAAAGTAAGATTTTTTTGTAATAACGTGGATGATTTTTTTTAAAAAGATGCCCTTGTCTTTGGTAGCCATGATACTTTGTTCAATAAAATTAAATTACCCTTTACAATTAATAAGATCAAGCGTTCCATGCAGACAAAATTACAAAAAGAGGAGCATGCTCCATTGAGAAAAGTTCAACAAACATATGCAAAAACTTGATCATGTTAGTTAAGCAAGAAAAGAGCCAAAGCCAAATGTGCTTCCTTCCTTTGACTGTCAAGTAACGTAACCTTTCAGTAGTCCTGTCATGGTTAGCGTGAATTGTCATTCATTGGGCACGCAAGCCGCAAATAAACAGCAATTTTAAGTTACTTGTGCCCAGCAACTTCCTAATAGAAGCATGTAAAAAAGAAACGCACGTACGCGTGCACGCGCTCTCAATCCTGCTTCCCCCAAACAACGAAACGTAAATGAACACACGACAAAGCTTATCTACAGCTCTCAAATAATTTCGACAGCTTCAAATCGAGACGGAAACAACTGAACATGCGAATTGGCCCGTCGTATCGGTGTGCTGTCAGACCCGGCTCAGGAGTTTCCTTAGTTAATGAAAAATAAAAGTTCATACCTTGATGCCGTTCATATGGGTGGTCATTTGTGGCTTTAATATCCTCGCCACAACCCAGGACGGCAAGAGCCAGAAAGTGTCGCACCCTGGCATTACCTGCAGTGTGAAATGCGTCTCGTCCCAACAGTCTCTCAGTGCAATTAAACAATTACCACTCTGTTGTGTTTACGATCCTTCTTCCTTTGTCGTTTAAGTTCCTGAACGGCCATTCCAAAAGTACATTTTCTCATTTTCTGAATCTTATTCGTCTTCCGTTATTTGACTTATATAAAAAAAAACGAAGAAAAGCCCCCCCCCGCCCACCCCCCCCTGCACAATAAAAAAAAACCCAGTACGACTTGAAATTTCCACAAAGTAAATAATAACAATACAAAGTTTAAAAATAACTTAGAAAATATATTGCATTCACAAAAAAATGCTTGTCAGGCTCTTTGTTTGAAATTCTGAACTCATTTTGACTGTAGAAACATACAACACTGGGTCGACGGTTGGATGAGTGTTTCCAAGAAGTTCGAAATGTTGACGTTTCATCTCTTCGATACTTCGTGCCATCCCGCCGTCTTCGTGTGCCTCGCAAGCGCCAACATCAGCAGCGCGTCTCAGCGATTGTCCTTTGCTACATTGTGAGCCATCCACATCACCTTGGTCTTCCAACTCTCACGTAAAGCCTCGTTGAACTTTTGGCAGAAATGTTTCAGGGCATCGTCCTCTCGTTTCTCCAGAGCGAGCGTCTCCTGGAGGGGCGCACGGGAAATAACGACGTGAGCGGGAACAGGATGCAGTCCATTTTTGAAAGGTTTCATTCGATAACGAAAAGCAATGTGCAAACGTGCTTAGTGAAAACTTAACGCGAGGCTCTTCGCAGCCAATATTACGATTGGCTGTTCCTGTGAGGTCGCGACACCTACTTCAGAAACTGGATCAGGTGACACGGTGAGTACTAACTTCTTGGACTGTTATTCTGACTCCCTGGACCTTATTCTGATCATGTTTGACGTCATTTCAAAAGAAACGCCTCATCGAACTGCTGCTAAATTTCATTGTAAGGATTGTTCTTCAACTCACCAGTGAGCTGAAACGGTGATCATTGATGCGTTAACCGCTGATACACAGGACAGGATGTTTTGGCTTTGTCAGGTGGTGGAGGGTCCTTAACAATACAAGTTTGGCCAGATTCTTATGTGGCCAAACCCAAAAATCTATTATTAATCATGCTAAAAGAAGAAAGTTTTTAATAAGTGACTATAGATGCCATGATATGTGAATTGAACACAAGCGAATAGAGCATAAGAATAAATGAAGAAACATGGGTAGTAGATGCATGCTGGGCATTACAGTCTTACACTGAGACACATTAAAAGAAGAATGCATGAATCAGTGAACAAACAAAAGTTACAGATGCCACATTGATCGTTAAGAAGAAATAAACAAGTGTACTTGGACATGACACACTGGGCGAAGTGATGATGGCCGATGGACGATGCTGGTAATTGAATGACAGCCAATGGAGGGAAGACGCCAGATAGAGGTCAACTGCTTGTTGGCATACATCGTGAGACCGCGAGAGATGGTGATGCCGTGGCGAAGCCTACATCTGCAAGTGGCTAGGTCATGGCTGGTGATGATGAACAGAACTTTAGTGAAAGTCAGCATACCTTCAGGTACTGGATATCTTTCGGCGATGTGAGCTCTGGGAGGCCAGCTGCCAGCATGAGGGAGAAGAGGTTCAGGAAGAGGTGGCCGTTCTTCCTTAGGATCAGGTAGGCCCGCTCGCAGTACTTGCGGAACCTTAAGCATGGAAATGGTTTCATTAGTTGCAGTCGTTGCGCTTCGTGACTGCGGTGCCAAGTTGCACCCCAAAGTTTGTTGCAAAATATAAATTATTTTCCGTCACATTCAGCCCGTGTGACTCAATCCTTTCAATAATTGGCCACATCGATGAAGGGCCAAGGTGGCTCGGTTGTTCAGGATAAAATCCCACAACGGGTCAAAACAACTATACAAAGCCAATCAAATGTGCCACTATATCGCGATTAAAACTCTGCACGCCTCACTGGGAATATAGACATCCCGTTGGAACGAAACAGGTGGCATAAAGTACAATTACGAATTTTTTTTTATCTACTTATCCAGGAAACCCTCGACGAGTCTCAAGACGAAAATTGTTTTTTTACCCTTCTATCTGGCAACAAAACTGACACCTTTTTTACAAGGAGTCGTGTTTGCATAGACCACAATACCTGCAGTCATAATGCAAACAAAAATCGCCTTTTGGCGTCATCTGGTCCAACCCATGTGACACTAGGCTCTAAGGAAAGCTGTCTCGGGTGTGGACCAATCAACTTCAAGCACAGTGTATACATTATCAGAGTTATGTTTTTTGTTTGCATTATGACTGCAGGCATTGTGGTCTATGCAAACATGACTCCTTGTAAAAAAGGTGTCAATTTTGTTGCCAGATAGAAGGGTAAAAAACCAATTATCATATTTTTTACTGGCAAATGAGGTTCCAATGGTGAGTCTCAAGACGTTTTGTAAAAAGTCTTGCTCTGCGACGTACTCAACAATTGATTTGTTTCTGTTAATGTGCATTTTGGAAGCTAGGGCTGCAGCTACGCAGGAAGGCTCACCGGTCGAACTTTTCGCTGTTGGTGGTCTTCCCCTCCTGGATGACGTGCACGAAGTCGTACGTGAGGATGAACGGCACCCGCTCGCGCTTGATGCCAAACTTGCTCTTGAAGTTTCCCAGGAAGTGGCCAAAGTCGATGTGGAAGAGCTGTGAGCATCCAGGCAAAAAGGGGCCATTGCACGTTTGAAATATTCTGCTCGTAGAAATTGTCCGATGTAACCAAGGTCACATTCGTGACTCAGCAGGCCTATATTGCATATCCTAGATAAATAAAGGATAGTATTACTGTTACTACTTTATCGCAAGTGAACAGGTATTCCTCAACAGGACTGTCAAACACATCAAATGACACTAAACATGGTGGGTAAAGTTACATATTTTGAACAGAACGTTATGGTCATCATGTAGTTGCTCATGAATAACAGCCGTGCAGTGGTTACTGCGCTACACTATAAACCTCGTGATCCATGTTCAATTCCCAACCCAGCCATGGCTAACGTCAGCGGCAAGGGATATTGGATCCGGCTCTTGCCCCTTCACCAACTCACACTGTCCAGTATGGTGAAACAATCGCAATGACCCACACGGTATGAGGAGCCTTTCATCCAGCAGTGGATTGATAATGGGCTATATATGATTACAGTAAAACCTCAGCTTAACAGACATCCATTCAATGGATCTCAGATTTAACGGACAAAATCTGCTGAATGAAGAGTTTTGTCCGAAGATCAGAGAACAAACGGACTTTGCCCCAAGCAACGGACTCAGTCCGTTAATGGGTAAACTAGTCCAGTCATTAAAATGCAAATCAATTTATAACATTTTTGACATGCGTTTTTCTGGATTTTGTTGTTGTTATTCTGTCTCTCACTGTTCAAATAAACCTACCATTAAAATTATAGACTGATCATTTCTTTGTCAGTGGGCAAACGTACAAAATCAGCAGGGGAACAAATACTTTTTTCCCTCACTGTATGTACAGGTATTATTACACTATTATTGTGCAGCTTTTTTTATTATTATGAAACGCATTACAATATTTTAAACCATCATTAATGAACTATCAGTAAGTAGTTTGCGTGTGGTAGGGTGTGATTTAGTGCTCAGGAGGCTCGTGAAGGACGCTACTGGGCAGTTGGAGGCAGTCGCCCTCCAACAACAACGGAGGGCGGAGGAGCGACGCTCACAACGAGCGGAGCGCCGGGTGGCTATAGCACAGCAAGTTGGCACAGTAGGGGGCACAGGTGGTGCATCAGCCAGTAATCTCGGTCATCTCAATCAGTTGACCCGTGGCCCCTGGGTCTGCCCCGTGACCTCCTGCCAGCGGGTGTTCGACACTTCACGTGGCCTCAAGGTGCACATGGCCTGGCACAAGCGTCGTGGTGAAGTCATCGCTACTTAGTGGCGAATGGCGGTTGTTGTTGTTTAGTTCTCAAAATAGGTAATTTGGCCATTGACGGACAATCGGATTCTACGGACACTCCTTCCCCCCTATTCGTCCATTAAACCGAGGGTTCACTCTATTGCCATTTACTAGATTTCTGAATTTTGGTCTCACTAACCCTGTGACTCTTTACATAAACATGTTCAGATTCTATTTCCTCTGGGAACACGGTCATAATTAGAAATCAGTCAGTCAGGAATAATAAGCGCAACATATGAAAGTGAAACTAAACTATAAACTAAACTCTTTTTTATTTTACCAGGTAAAGCCCACTGAACTAGATAGTTCTTTTTCAGAAGCGACCTGGCCACCAATGATAGCTCAACCAAGTGGCTTGCCAAGTGGAATGTATAGCAGTCAAATATTCAAAAAAGCATGCTTATAAATATGGAGGAAAAACTGGAGGACCCAGAGAAAAATCCACGCGACCACGGGGAGAACATGCAAACTCCAAACATATACAGGCGTCATGGTCGGGATCGAACTCACGAGGTCCTGTATACCAGGGCGAGGTAGTTAACATCTCGCCACCGCAGCGTGCTTGATATGGACCCTGTTGTAATAAATTAAACAGAGCCGCTCTGACTGCCTTCCCGCCCGTCTCTTTGTGGCGCAGCACCCAGTCTCCTCCATCCCCTGGGCCCCGATGAAGTTGCACCGCCTCCACCCTCGATAGCCAAGCCACTGGTGTGTTACACGACCCAATCAAAAACTCACCTGCCCCGTTTCCCGAATCATGATGTTGTCGCTGTGCCGGTCTCCTATGCCCAGCACGTATGTTGCCACGCAGTAGCCGGCACAAGAGAGGGTGAACTCTTCTATAGCCCTCTCCAGAGCATCCCTGCGCCAACACACAACAGAACGAGACTCTCACCATGAACAAAATCGACCGCTGCTGCTCATTGAGCTACTAAGGTGACGTAGAAGGGATGTAATAAATAATACAAATAAAACATAATAATATAATTCTCACGACGTTTCGGCTACAACGCAAGCAGCCGTCTTCAGGTGAAGAATGAAACACTGCCAAGCTTGGAGCGTATATATAAACTAAACGTCGTGAGAATCATTTTATTATGCTTCATTTTTATTATTTTATTACTTCCCTTCTACGTGACTTTACCGAAAGAACCAAGAAGATGAATCCCTGCAGTCACGAAAGCTTTAAATCGAAATCTACTAAGGTGAGATTACATTTATACGTCACAAGGCAAGGAAACCTCCTCGCTGAATTCCTGCAGTCAGAAGACCGTCATGTCACATCAGTGAGTACCACTGGTTAATTACATCACAGGGCTACTTCTCAATTTCATTCGACTTAACTCTCTTACTCTAGACCAGGGGTGGGGGTACCTATGGCCTGCAACTTTATCTCATAGGTCCTGTGGACACATGAGGCTCACCACTTATAAAACGGCCCTCAAACCAAATGCGACCGTCACTGGAAGCATCTTAGTTGCAATAATTGGGTAGTAGAGGGACATGTAAATTTCGATTTAAAGCTTTCGTGACTGCAGAGATTCATCTTCTTGGTTCTTTCGGTAAAGTCACGTAGAAGGGAAATAATAAAATAATAAAACATAATCAAATACAATTCTCACGACGTTTCGGCCACAACGCAAGCAGCCGTCCTCAAGTGAAGAACAGGTCTGTCGGAAAGACAGTGTCTGAATGAACTTCATGAATGAACTTCATTCAGACGGCTGCTTGCGTTGTGGCCGAAACGTCGTGAGAATTATTTTATTATGTTTAATTATTTTATTATTTCCCTTTTACGTGACTTTACCGAAAGAACCAAGAAGATAGAGGGCAATGTTTTAGACCTGGTAATAACTCCGTTTCATAATTTTAGCATGCTCACTCGCTTAGTTTTCAGCAAGGACAAGGGAACGAGCTGTGAGTGTGTGTGTGAATACGTCGTTGCCCGCAAAATATATTTGAAAGCCATATTCGTCTCTCGGTGAGGACAAGATTCACTATCTCTCCTGTAAACTGTTTTCCTCATTGTCCATCATAATTTATACGTATAGATTTTAATCCTCACTGCTAGACAAGGCCAAATTACAAAATCGATATGATGCTTTCCATGTGCAATCATCAATAACTGGACAAAAATCCATCAACTCTCTACGTTTGAGTAATTGGTCTGTGGGCAGATATCCAGCTGTGAAACCAGGATCTCAGCGGTGGTGCCTGATTACTCAGGACAGGGCAATGATGAGCCCAGCCAACACACACACACGTATCATTTAATTCTATTCTCACAACAGGCATAGAGGGCGACTTTTGTTTGTATGCCTACGTGAGTAGTGTGTTGGTTATAAATCTACTTTTTCTTGTGTGCTGCCACAAAAGTCATGTAATTATCCAATGTCACACTCATGATGATGACGATGACATGGCCTGGTCTGTAATGCTGACGAGGTACTTCATAGCGCACGGCTCTTCCATAATCATTGCGCGCTTTCACATGCGCTTTTGGGGCCGTCTGGAATGCTCTTCCTTTCAATGTCAGAAAGCCACTGGAGCGATGTACTTTAAAATCTAGATTGCAAACTCATTTCTTTATAACTGCTTTTTTGTGTTTAGTTTGTTGTCCTTCCCCCGCACCTCCGATTAACACGGTTGGCTACGTACGGTGCGAAAAAAGTTCAACATACATACATACATAGTGTCGCTTAGTGGCCCCACTTTCGCACGTGGACTCTCTAACTGTCTGCTCCGGATCGAACGAGATTCAAGGCCGTGTAGGTCAGACAATCGTTTCTCTGCACCAGCGGTGGAGGTGGTCGTCAACGTCGATGTGCGTTGTGACGTCCTTGGTTATCGGGTCAATGAGTGATCATTGACAGCGGTTTCCTCAACAGCGCCAGCAGACTAAAAAGTAGGCATGTGAAGAGCGAGCCACCACCGATGCATTGATTAACATGTCCTCGTGTGCTCTCTCACAATGCATGCACCGAATTTTAAGAGTGATTTTTTTTGTTTTGTTACGATGTAAACCAATTATATGAAAATTATATGCTAGTACCTTTATGATAAAGGGGGAAAATAAAGCTGTACATTTAAGGTAAATCAAATAATGATACACAATACAAAACTCATAAACCAATTGTTGTGAGAAACTCATCGCAACAAAATAAAATTGCTGGCCAGAAAAAAAAAACTTCCAAAAACACAAAAATGTGTAAAAAGCACACAGCAAAGGCTGTCTGTGCACGCATTTCCCTCAAGAATTGCAAGGACAAGGGGACCACAATGCACTTCTTCAGGAAGCGCTGATGGTTTATGCACAAGTGCAGAGTATGAGTGCTTTTCACACATTCGTGTACTGTCAAAGATCCCCTGAAAGCCTTTCACAGACTGTTGGGGCAAAAGCACCTATGAAGGCTGCAACAGCACGTAAAGAGGTGGGTGGCCAGCACTATGACCTTTGTTTCCCCAAGTAAACAATGTTGACATACCGCACCAGGTACTCATTTTGAGGCTGGGCCGAGCTATGACTGGTTCAGATAATCGTCACTGGTGTTGGCCGTCAGCAGGAATCGAATTCGGGCCTGCCGGGTTCGTAGAGCAGCGTGTTAACCGCTGTGTGCACGCACACACCGCACACACCGTACACATCGCACACACCGCACACACCATACACATCGCACACACCCGGGGTTCTTGGCTTTGAGCCAATTGAGCAGTGCGTCCTTGTTGAAGGCGGCGGTGGCCGCGATGTTGCTCTTGTCCAGCTGGATGTTGGCGATGGTTTCGGCGCGTCGCACCATCTCAATGAGGCCCGTCTTGTCGCCCGTTGACAGGCACCCGTAAGGGACAATCCTGCCGTGGGGGGACAAGTGTTTGAGAGGACAAAAGTTGTAATTAACGGCAGAGCAAATTACGAGGCTTTCACCGCGGCAGCACACCCTATGATAGGGATATAATGGTAACGTAGTGCAAGGACAATTGCCGGAATAATTAAAATGGATAAAGGTGGATCATTTGGTAGACAATGCAAGCTTTTGTCTTCTACAATGTCACGTGGTGTGACTGACGATCAGTATTAGCCCTGCTTCACTGTTCACCTGCCTGAATGTGACTTTCCTTCGAGATGGATGGTTAAAGTTATTGTGCGCGGTGACGTGTGCACGTATAGCCCGTATTTGAAGGTCAGCAACGCACTAGAAAATGCTGGATTTTGACAAATAAAAGGCATACACATAAGTGGTGAAAGAATTAACCGACAATGTAGCAACTATAACAATTCCCACCATTAATGGAAAAAGAAGGTTTAGCAAGCGATTAAAGAACTTAATCAAAAAGGCTGCAAAGTTGGTTAAAGAAATAATCACGACCAAAAATAAATGTCGTACACAACAGATTTGCCCAACAAGAGGAAACCATTGTTGGAGGGACACAACTGGAGAACACAACGGAGTGTGCATATCTACGGCAACTCGTGAAGGCGGAGCGGGAACGAAGACTTGGTTTGAAGAGGTGAGCGAGAGCAAGTTGGAGTGCTCTTTGTAAATTTTAATTCGATAATGAAAAGCAACAGACACGTTTTTTTTTCTTCAATCAGTGCGCATTACCAGCGATGACAAATGCATAGGAAATATGGAGTTTGACAGAGAACATGGAACATGAGCTGAAGATAATTGGTTTTTTACCCTTTTATCTGGCAACAAAACTGACACCTTTTTTACAAGGAGTCATGTTTGCATAGACCACAATACCTGCAGTCATAATGCAAACAAAAAACATAACTCTGATAATGTATGCACTGTCCTTGAAGTTGATTGGTCCACACCCGAGACAGCTTTCCTTAGAGCCTAGTCTCACATGAGTTGGACTAGATGACGCCAAAAGGCGTACAACTTATATTTTTTACTGGCAAATGAGGTACCAATGGTGTAAATGCTTACCCCGAGCTCTCATACTCTGATGGTGCTAGGCTCTAAGGAAAGCTGTCTCGGGTGTGGACCAATCAACTTCAAGGACAGTGCATACATTATCAGAGTTATGTTTTTTGTTTGCATTATGACTGCAGGTATTGTGGTCTATGCAAACATGACTCCTTGTAAAAAAGGTGTCAGTTTTGTTGCCAGATAAAAGGGTAAAAAAACAATTATCATATTTTTTACTGGCAAATGAGGTACCAATGATGAGCTGAAGAGTTAACATGCGTCTTCTTGGTTCTTTTGGTAAAGTCACGTAGAAGGGAAATAATAAAATAATAAAAATAAAACGTAATAAAATCATTCTCATGACGTTTCGGCCACAACGCAAGCAGCCGTCCTCAGGTGAAGAATAGATCTGTTATTATTTCCCTTCTACGTGACTTTACCGAAAGAACCAAGAAGATGAATCCCTGCAGTCACGAAAGCTTTAAATCGAAAAGTTAACATGCGTTTTAGAGTATTTGGCTGCTCGTAATCGGAACACTAACAACGCCAATTTGCGACGTTTTTTTCAATTGTGGACAAGTGGGTTTGGGGCAGGACTTTGTTTGAAGGGATCATGGACGAGGCACGAGACTGGTGACAGAAAGTCCACCGCGGAGACGGAGCAATAAGATCAGCAGCACCGTGAACGATAGTGATGACATGGGCGAGGCATTATTCCATCATTGGATAGATGACTGCTGATGATGATGAATGCATGCATGTATGTGCAGTGCTCATGCCAATGTAAGCAGACAGACAAGCTTCTGAAGGATATTTGGCAAGAATTCCATATTAGCCAAACTGGCTTGCGGAGATGGAATTTTAATTACACTTCATCGTCCACAAAAAGGAATGTACATTCCGTCCATGCAATTAAGACGGAGGTCCCGATAAACACATTCCCCAATGTGTTGAATACAAAAAAATAACCGCTTTGTCTATCATTTCCCATATTCCGATTGGCTGGAGGCTGCCCGTGGGAGAGCGGGAGTGTGGGAGGTTGGAGCAAGGGTGGGGGCTGAGGGGGGAGGGGGCGAGGAAGTGGGGGGAAGGGGCAGGGGGGGGGGCGCGGGCAGTGGGAGTGCACTAGGGGAGTCAGGAAACCGATCGTTCACTCGTGCATTTATACAGGAACACTGTTGAATATGGAAAATTAAATTAAATATAACAGCCAAAATGTATTCAATAATTTCTATGAGAATCCAAATTTCATGAGCGCATTCCACAACATTTGCACTTCACTGTGCTTTTTATTGCAAATGGAAAACAAACAACACGGGAAAGTATGCTCCAAATGCAAAAGTGTAATTTTAGGGCCTCACTACTGGGAGAGAAAATTTAGATTTTAAAACCAAAGAGAAAGTGAATGTGATGGCATAAAACTCTCATTAAAATTCTCACTGCCGATGCTTAACCGCATGAACATTATAATCAAGCTGGAGAGAGAGGAGCTTGTATGAAAGTCCATGTGGAAAATCATTGAAACCTTGGCTTCGCATCACTGCTGATAAAAAAAAAACTTCCCTTGTTGATTTTGTGTTGCTTCATGATGTATAGTTATCATCTTGTTACGAACAACTTTTGGTACGAACAACTTTTAGCGCGGCCTTTTAAGCTAAATTATTACTTCGGGGGGGCAGGGGTCCACATTAGTTTAGGGCATTGCCAATCGGTGCTGGCTCAAGCTCCCAGTGACATTCCAGACGGTGGCGATGGCACAGTGGGGGCCAGTCACAGGAGAGCTGCGGAAATCTGAACACTGCTCGTGTTTTCTCACCTGAGGTCAAGGCCCTGCTGTTTCCACATGTTGTCCATCAGCTTCAGCATCTGCAGAGTCAGCATGTCCTGCCGTAGGTCTGCGTGTCACAGTGAACGTTGGTTGTTATCAGTGAGGGGGGGGGGGGGGGGGCAAACAACGGTCATGCATAATTTGGCACTTTATTTTTTAATTAAACCTCCTCACCCTTGCCCTCCACTCATCCTCAGCAGCATCACGGTAAGTTACAAAGTTTATTATGACTTTGTAATGTACCGTGATGTAATAATAATATAATTCTCACAGAAGTCTTTTACAACGTCAATGAGCGCGTACGTTAGTGCTGTTCAATTTTTCCAGGAATGCATCGACGAGCCTCAAGACTGCGTCGTGACGTTCAGCAATAATCCATTCCACCGAGTGCATTGCATGCGGGAGGAAAGGGAGTATCCAGGGAAAATGAATGGCTATGAGGAAATGACAACGGTCTGCATAGGCAGGATCACGGACCTACTTGCTGTACCGTCATCTCCTGGCCACCTTGCTGCCCAGCTGGTTTGGAAGGTTCACAAATGCGTCTGATCTACCAATATCATCAACCCAAAATGTTGTTTCACGTCGATATGATGAACTTAGATGAAAAAAATCAAATGTCCATGTCGAGCTCTTCTACTACTCTGTGTTTATCACTTTCTCTGTGGCCGTTCCATTTTTGCAAGTGATTTTTTTTTCTCTCTCTAAATATTAGTTTCACTTCGGCCATGATTTTTGCGAGCTTAGATGACCGCATCACTTTTCCGCTGAGGCGAAAATAGCGGCCTCTAGTGGTTGGAGGGGATCACGTGAACCAATTAAGTGCAACATATAACAAGTTATAAAACATATCTTTTAACGCTCAAGATTCGACGCATGTAGAATGAGATTTAGAACCAACATTATTGGATTAATCAATGCACCGGTACAAACATAGCGAATTGCATGAGCCTCAATTCAAAAGCAAAGATGTGAGTGTAAACCCAAGGTAAGAACTATACCGACATGAGGGGTCAGCAAAAGTGTGGCCAGCAGAGGTTAAAGCACCAAGATCCATTGCTGTACTTACTTCTATGCACCCATATCTATGCTCCCCCCTCCCCAACCTCCATCAACCAGAAGCCGCATGGTATGGAGAGGCCTTAACCCAGCAGTGGATGACAAATGGCAGTGCATGTGTAGTGTAATAACAAGGGCTGCTGACGGGAAGGGGTACTGACAGCACGTCAGCATGAGTAGACAAAAAGCAAAGCCCAGGACAGGGGTCCATCTGGAAGCCGAGAACCCGCTAGGAGGTTCTAGAAGAGCGGGGGGGGAAGTGTGGCTAGGGCGGGGCGAGGCCAAGCCAGGAAGATAAGAGGAAGCTCGGGACGGGGGCTCGGGGCTGTTGCTGGGAGTGGACCCCCCTCGCCGTGTCCCTGTCCGTCACCTTCGTCGCCGCCGTCTCGACCACCTGAAGACGCCACCAGCTAGACAGCTTGTCAACTGTACTAGCTAGGCAGTGCCGTCAAGAGGCGGATATGTGACTGGCGTGTAAGGATGTAGGGCGTCTGTAGTTCTCTGATGTGTAGGAATAAAAGGTGTCTTCTGAACCTCCTCTGGGAGTGAGTCACTACACATGTACAAAATGATGGCACAGAATTTAACTGCGAAAGCAGCCAATGCGAGCATTCACCGTCTCCATTTTTGAAGATGGCGCCTGTGGGCTCAAGCCCTTCTTCGTCCGAGTAAACCATCCACAGAGGTTTCATTTTCGAGTTCATGAACTTGCACTTCTCCACACTGCACACACACACACACATGCAAGCAGCAACACACCACGTGCACGGTGAGTACGGACGGTAATGTTACCTAGGAGCACGCTTAAAATCAGCACGTCTTTTCAGTGCGAGGCTCGCAAATATAAATGCTAATTTCGCCGCGGGTTTTGACGCACAGTCGTGAAACACAACGTGGAACCCGCATGCCCCAACCGAGTGTCTGACCTCTCACAGCACGGTAATTTTTGTGAGTGGCTACACATTTTAGGACCATTAAGAAGAGCAGCAGTAGGCACAAAACAACTTGTCAACCTTCCCTACAGGGTTGGTAAATGTAATACTATCTGGTGGGGCTCAATCGGTATGCTAGGAATGTAATGATCATTCTAGATTTAAAGTTTTCGTGACTGCAAGGATCCATAATACTCTTTGGTTCTTTCGGTAACGTCATGTAGAAGAAAAAGAAAATTAAATAAATTATATTTTCTTTTTTTTCACCTATGTGACTTTACCGAAAGAACCAAAGAGTAGGAATGTAATGGTCCGTGCCATATGAATATGAATCCCATTATGGATTCAGGACTGGCAACAGGGAAAAGTAAAATAATTTACACAAACGAGCTTGGAGCCAAATTGACTTGACACATCAATTAGGTTACAGAACCAATAACCACCTGTCCAGAAATGATATCTTCATCATCCAAGCGATACAATTACCTGCAACTGCTATAATTTAAAAATAACTCTCCCCCCACTATGTGGCTGTACATACGAATACAACAAATAAGCATGGAAATGTATTACCTTCGTAAATATCTGCCGCTCCACGCAAAAAAAGAGAATATTTTACACTTCTTGTGAACGGCACGGCCTTTTTGGAGGATGTAATTTCAGCAGTGATTCGATAAAACAAAACTCTGGATTGGTTTTGACAGTGTTCTCAGCAGCAGCAGTCAGGCTTGCTTAAACCATTGATGGTGAGTACCAGATGTGATAGGTAAAAACCCTCTCTTCAAGATATGGGCCCCAGTCCTATACTGATAAGATTGGCTGTGTAAATCCAATGGGTCTGCCATAGCATAACTGTATTCCAAACAAAGCAATCCCCAAAAAATAGAAAAACATGACATTTCAGGCAATGGCCCATCTTTATATTAAAAAGCCCTCTTCAACGGGAAGAGCCATTACACAAAACGTCGCCAATTATAGATTTTCCCCTCTTAAGGGCCACAGTGTTATTGACGAATGTGTCGAGTGTTTGTTATCTGTGCTCGTGCACCACCGGCAATGTTTGGCTATGTACTGTGCGAAAAAAAGTTCGACACACACGGCGGGTATCACAAAGACCACGGGTTCAATATGCGAGATGCTCACTTGAGCTGGCTGAGAATGACGCAGGGCTTGAGCGGAGACTGGAGCCCCGTGAGCGCCTCTGTGTAGGACGTCTGCCGCAGGGAGGCGTGCATCGCGTCGATCACCTTCGCTTTGTTGTTCGACTTCATGGAACTGCTCTTCACCAGGTCATTGATGGCCCTCATCTTGGTGAGCGCCTCGCACTGCGGGAGGGGGGGGGGAGCCAGGGAGCACGCCTTGGTCAGCCGTCACCTCCCCAGCTATGCCGAGGGTTTTTTTTACCTACGGCGTAGATTGAGTTTCCAGCTATCAACCCTGGCAACTTTGTCACGGTGGCCGGGTGGCTCAGTGGGGCGCCGTGGTGGCGAGATGTTAACTACCTCGCTTGGTATGCAGGAGATCGTGAGTTCGATCCTGACCCTGACGCCTGTATATTTTTAATTTGCAAGTTCTTCCCGTGGTCGCATGGATTTTTCTCCGGGTCCTCCGGTTTTTCCCTCCACATTGATAAATATGCGTTTAGAGTATTTGGCTGCTATAAATGTCCACACAATAAACCACTTCGTTGGGCTATTTGTGGCCAGTTCGCTTCTGAAAAAGAGCGATATAGCTCAGTGGGCCTTACCTGGTAAAATAAAAAGCTTAGTTTTTGGTCAAAGCACCACACTGGCATCAGAGAGATCGTGAGTTAAAAACTAAACCCCTGAATGTTTGAAAAGTCCCAGAGCACTGTTCATGGAAGTCGGCCAACGTGCAGCAATGTCAAGACGAATATTACCACCTCTGATTAAACTGGTTCCTGAAGGGGAAAATCTTGAAGGTCTGCGCCCGGTCACCAATGACTGCACAAAAAAACAATCACGTTCTGTTTTGTGCCGCACTTACTTTGGCAAAATTTCAACTCTGAGAATGAATCGAATAAGATTGGTTTGGTGATGGGGATTGTTTAACCATACTTCATTCTTGACTGTGCCGCAGCAATAATTCAGACATTACTCGCCATTGATGTTATAGCTGCAGCCGTGAAATTAATTAAGCTCATTGGATTTATAGCACAGTAAGTGCGCTAACCGCTGTGCCACCGCTCCAGCCCAGTCACATTTTACATGCCATATAAATCTAAATGTCGTTGTATAAAACTTTCATAAATAGCCTCTCATCCCGAAATCCCCCCACCCAAACTTGCAAAGTGCTGGTATAGCTCATAACTCAATGATCCCCTTGAGTGGTGTCTATATGGCAAGGTGGGTTTGGTTTCGACTGGTAGGTTAAAAACTGGTTACGGGGCACTTCATGCTTCTACGACTCCATCGTTTGTGAAAACAGTTTAGGAATTTCATTCGTACGAAGCGCATTTAATCACTGCCTCTCGTCAGGATGTTACGCTGATACTGCAAAAAGTTTTCCTCTGAAATACAAGGCTAAGGTTTCTACTCACAGCTAATGGGGGAGGGCAATGCAGAAGTGTTTTTTGTTGCAGTCAAAGCACCACGTGGTACAGATGAATGGAATGGACGTAAGCCTACGGAAAGTAACATCAGCCAAGACCTTGTCTGCAGTGCAATTGAATCCTTGATTCAAAGCGTTACCAAGGGCTAACCACTTGGTGCTACAATTAATGCTTCAAAGGACTCCAAAACACTTCACGCGATTCGTTCTCCTCGCCAAACTTAAAAGTGCGGGTGGCCTCCCCTCATTCAATCGCCGCCATAAAATGCACGCAAGCAACTCCCGACGGGAAAACCATCTCGGGGCGCGCCGGCGGTTTGGCGAGCAAATTGAGCACGGGCGCCGACTCGCGTTGCTCACCATCCCACGTGTGAATTGAGGCCAGCAGGGCTAATACGAATTGCTTGGAAGTCGTATAAATCACTCCATTAACGCTACTGATGGCACACACACACGCACGCACGTGGGTACACCTGTGGGGAAATCAATAGCAAGCGTTCGCGGTGACCGCAATGCAATCTCTGCTTTGACCCCACGACAGGAGCTGCCAGAACTACTGCGGTTTTCACGGGAGCGCTGTAAAGCTCGGCATGACGTCCAACGTTTTTTTCCCCCCCACGTGCTGGGAGATTCTAAGGGGAAGTGAATGTTCAGTTCCCGTTTAGCTACTGACTGTTTGGTTCCTATTCAGCTCCTGTGAATATTCAGTTCCTGCTCCTGAAGAAGCTCCAAGCGTGTGCAGCGAAAACATCAGACATCGTGCCACGCAACAATCTGTACTCAATCTGAATGTAATCTGCCCGAGTCGATTTGCGCTCCATGGAATTACGTGTGCAATATCTTCAATTTGTCGTGAGACAGAGTCGTTACTATTCCTGTGCTGATTTGTATGCAATTTACTTTATTCAATTTGGTGACTCATGTGCTGACTCTTGCAAATTAGGCTTTATCCTGCTTTCTTGAGTTTTCACACAATTAAACAAAATAAACTTGAACAGCGCGCAGTGCAACTCTAAAAGACACATGGCAGAGCTGGCGGCTGCCAGCGGCCGGGAGAGGTGAAGTGCGGACGACCCCACCTGCTTCATGAGCGAGCGCACGTGTGCGATGCTTCCGCGGCAGTATGCTTCCAGCATGAGGCCGAACTGCAGCGACACGGCCGGAACGTGCATCTCTGACCTGCGGCGAGCACGTAACACGAGCAACTTAACGACGCGGGCAAAATAACGCGGAAGCGGGCAGCCTTGAACGTGACGTCGGAGCGCTCGATTTGCAAGCCGAAGGGGCAAAATTTCAATCGAGCCGATCCCCGATTCTTCAGCGTATCGTCGTGAGTATAAAAGTCGCGATTCAACGCAAGAAACGACAAAATATATTTTATGTTACGGTGAAACGTTCGGGCCTCTACAGTGTATCATGTGTAGCCATCACATCCGTGGTTCTCGACCCATGGCTTCGCCGCCCCCTCCCTGTTCTTTCAGTCGTGGCACAGGCTGCGGCCTGCATAATGTGCAAGACATTGTTTGAATGTGTGCCGTGAATGTTGAATGTTCACCACTGGCTCAGGATTCCCGACAGAGATAAATGCCGCATTATTATTTGAACAAGAAGACAATTTGACTCGTGTCTCAAATGCCAGCAAAGTAGGGGCAACATATATGTTTACACGTAGACATTTAAGACATTTAATACATCATACACACAGTTAAAATAAATCCTCACCTAAGATGCCAGAAAAGAAAGTGTCCGATGCATCTGTTTGTGAGCGCACGTTCCAGCAGGAATTTAGCCAGGTCGCTGTCCAGGTACGGCTCGTATTTGAGAACCTGGACAAGCTGCAGTAGGTACTGAGAGAGTTCGTCATCGCTGGGAAAAGACACGGAAGAAGGTGTGTGGGCAGAGGATGATACAGGAACAGTCACCATTTATGTAATCATTCAGATGTTCACGTCACCGTATTTCACAGGTACACAAAATAACGTATTAAAGTCAGGAATAGCTTGGCACTGTTATATTGTGTGTGGGTTATTTGCACAGCAGGTGTAAATGGTTCAATCGGCAGGGTCTTTATCCATTCACCAGTTTGCACCAGTTCTCCCCAGATCTCTCTATTTTCGCAACGATTGACTGCGAGTCCGTTAAATATTAAACCTCATCCGCCTACAAATGATTGAAACATCCCACAGCACTGATCAGTGGATTGGCCATTGGCGTAGCAATGTCAAGACCAGCATTACCACGTGAAATTCCCGAAAGAGGGCCCTTCAGCGCACTTCAAATCAGCACGCGTTACCTCTGTTGAATTATCCACGTTGATTTAAACAGCCCAATAAATGATGCACTCATCTTGCTATGTCTCGTCCTCTTCGCTCCCAATCTCTACTGCCCCTCTCTGTGCTTTCTCCGCCCTGCGCCCAGTCACGCTTTGGTTCCTTGCCCTTCACTGATTCCCGGTACCCCAGCTATGACCAGGCCTACCCCAACCTCTACCCCAACCCCTATCACTACCCCAAACCCTTATCACGACACCAATCACTTCCCCTATCACTACCCCAACCCCTATTACTACCCTAACCCCTACAACTATCGCAACCTTTCCTGAACCACTCCGATCTGTCCTCCTTAGTGTCACAATAACTTCACGCCACCACTTTTAAGAAACCCGCTCTTTATCTTAACCACGAACATATTTCGTGCAATTGTATAATTATTCCAAAGCACCTTGGACCAGAGCGCTATATAAATCTATGTAAGATAAGAAATGTGCTTGTGTGAGAGCGTGAACATAAACCACGGAGCCATCGCTTATGGCATCGTCTGCTGCCACCGTCTGGACTCCAGGCCCAAGTGCCTTCCGTTCATCGAACGGCGCGCGACGAATCACAAATGACGACACAAGCATGAAGGGATAACGGGGAAGTAAGTGTTCGCCAGTCAATTCATAAACTGTGTCCAACTTAAATTTTTTTTAAGGAACCACAGTGCCACCGAGCGTGATCTCCAACCATAAATGTGTGAAAAAACTCATTGTAAGCTGGTGCTGCTGCGACTGCTGCTGCTGTTGTTGTTGGGGTTTATCTGAAAGAATGTAATAACATTTTAGTCCACCATCCTAAATGGGCTTTCTGGACCAATGATTTACAGCAGCATATGTTCACGCAGACAAAAACTTTGGACCAATTTCGACTTTCAAAGATATATTGGCAGACTCAGGGCCGCGAAACGAATGCCGCCAGCTCGCTAGATCTGCTCGTCGTGCCGTCTACCACAGAAGCCTCTTGTTTGACGGACTCCATCGACTGTCCTTTAGCATCTCAACAAATTATATTACAGAACCAAGAAGAAGGAATTGCAAAGGTCAAGGCAGTAAGAAAAAAGATCTGTGAGATATATATATAAAAAAAAACTTTTAACATGTGGAAACCTTACTGCAGAGCGCCATGTGGCTTCAAGGTGAATGTGTGCTATGATTGTCCTGTTATTTGCAGCACTGTGGGTAAGGTGGGCGGGTGAGTGGTGGTTGGTGAGTGGTGGGGTACCTGAGGTGTTGCAGGCACTTGATGGCGAAGGATCGTACGTAGCGGTCGGCGTGGTTCGAGTCCAGCAGCTCAAGTGCAGTGACTGGCAACAGCTTCGGCCAAATCTGCAGAAGCGCTTGCATCTGACGGGAACAATGATAGCACCTCTGATTAGCGCGGTTGGCTACGTACCGAGCGAAATAAGTTCGACATACATACATAGCGCTGCGTTAATGAGCTGCCCAAGACAAAGACTGCAGTACACAAATTGATGGACTCTTTGGCAGATGTGCCAGGGCCTTTGCCCACATTGCAATGTGTGCTGGTGAGCTTCTACGTGCTGGTGAGCTCAGTGAGTAAAGGAATAAAGCACTGCTTCCCCACCCATCGGCTCAAGACAAAGAAGTGTTCCTTCTGGCTGAATAACAGCAATGATGATGACAATCGCAATAGAGGTAAAAGGTAAAGATTGAGCCACCGCTGGTGAATGGGCCCCTCTACTAGAGAGCGTATCTGGCCGACTCCTTCACAATGACCAGACATCTTGAAAGCAGTGAGAGTACCCACACTTTAAACCCACCACACGCAACCTGCCGATCGACTTACCGTGGGTGCACGACGCATTCATACTGCTGGGTCGACAGAGATGGGTGGGTTTAACTAACTTGGCAGATCGAAGTGACAACCTCGAAATTGCGAGTTCAGCGTCTTCAAAAGCATTATATATTTTTTTATACCAGAAATGCCTCACTTTGCATCAAGGATAATTTTGAACAAAATTCCTACGTTGTTTGTTTGTCCAGTTCCTTTTAGACTATTACTCCACACGTCGAGGAGGAAATAAAAAATTGCCGTAGAAAACCCACGCAGAGCGTTGCGCATGGGGTTGTGTAACAAATCCAACCGCAGATGTGACAAAAACACGCTATGGGGTTGTCCTCCGCATGGTGCAACACCGGGCTGAAAGAGTTTCTGAAGGACGTTACTTTGTTTCATGACAAGGCTCCAGTCGCAACGTAACTGGAATCTAATCATGCTTCTATTGATTTACCGAAAAAGTTGTTTGTTTTGTCGCCGGTTCTCTTGTAACTCGAGAATCAAAGACAGTAGAAGGTGGATGAGCAATTCAGAGAAAATATGGGAGAGAAATAAAATCCACTTTCCAAAAAAGCAGGCTTGTTCTTTTTTTAGTTGGCAAAACCTGACATTTAACAGCGATCGCCATCAACTCATCAGCCGTCGCCTTCGCTGCCATCTGTGAGTCACAATCGATATTGAGCGAGCAACTCTAGAGAGTACACGGCAGTGCACGTTTGCACAAAGTTATGGGATAGGGGGTGGAGGACCGCATGCCCACTCATCATCCATCCTTCGTGGAAAATCGGCAGACAACTAAGGGACACTGCAGTGGTAAGGCCTGAGTTAATACCTCAGGTGGGCTTTGCATTGGTAGGATGGGGATGGTTTAGTTTTATTCGTATGTTTTTGAGTGATTTGTTTGCTTTTCCTGTACACTTTGCATGACTATCGTGTTTTTGTATTGTTTGTTGTCGTAACATTCTTATCCGCCCCTCCTGGACATCTGTGAAAGAGAGCTTTATAGCTCATCGGATTCTTGGGTCTTTCGGTAAAGTCATGTAGATAGGTTCAAAGAAAATAATCAAAAATAACAAAAAAACTACGACGTTTCGATCGCAACGCAAGCGGTCGTCTCCTGACTTTACCGAAAGACCCAAGAACATGAATTCCTGCGGTCACGAAAGCTTAAGTCAAAATTTAGCTCTTCGGATTCTTCCAGTATCAAAACAATATTCTGTTTAAGAACCAAGGCTAGCTAGCTGGGCGAGAAGAGATCGGACGTCATTAAAACCCAGGTGGATTCCTACGATGAATTCGCAAGATTTTACTTTCACGTGCTGCCCGACATGCACACACACGCACACGCACGCACCTGGGTCACGTCCTCGTGTTTGCCCCACTTGGTGGATAGCAGCAGCTTGGGCAGAATCTGCGGCACTTCGCGGCAGTCGAGCCGCAGGAACCACACCAAGTCTTTTTCGTGCTCAAAGAGCGGCGAGTTGGACTCGCGCTCCGAGATCTCGCGTAGCTGTTGCATGTGCGACTTGGAAGCCCGTCCCTGTTACGGAACGAGACGGGAGGGGGGGCAGGGGGTGAGGGGAGCGGGGGGTGGCGTCAGTCGGAGAGTTGGGCACCAAGAGACGCGGTGATTTTTCCGTTGAGGAGGCGAAAACAGCCGAGCATATTTGAATAAAAAAATACATGCGAGCAGATCGAGTAATATGAACATTTTTTTTCCGTTACGCGTCAGATTTAAATATTCACTCTGAATCCGTTTGACACGTCTGCAACTTTTTTAGACAATGAGCAGTTTAAAAGTTATTTGTCCGAGTCAACGCACATCACGGGATATGTATCGTCTCCAATGCTGATTCATGTTCGCGCCGTATTTTCGATTTCTCCTCCAATGCAGTAGTTTTTGCTCTCATTTCAGATTTACTTTGTTGCCGTACTTAAATAAACGCAAACTTAAAAATAACTTTTATTTGAATAAACTGCACTTGTGTGAAAAAAATGTGTTGAATCACGAGCCTGGTAGCTGTCTGCCTCTGCTCTGCTAAACAGACTGGCGACAGCTCAACATTACAGTCTTAGAATCATGGAATTACCCCCCCCTCCCCCCCGTATAATTTTCTAATCATTTTTTACAGAATTCCAAACATAATAATAAGGAATCAAAATCTTTATTCATCCTGGAGGAATCTGATGAGCCATGAAGCTCTTTGTCCCAGCTGTCCAGTAGGAGCAAGCCACAATGCATATGGCCCTTTGTCAATCCACTGCTGCAGGATGTCCTCCAGACACTGTTTGTCAGTCACGGATGTTGTTCTATCACACTTGCCCACACGCTGTTCAATGCTGGTTGGTAACGTTTATACCACGTCCTAAATTATGAATTTTCACACGCACGAGCCGATGCACGTATCACGAGCATTATAACCGAATTTAAACTTGACGAATCAATGTTATCATCGGTGCATGCCCAGCGACTGCCAAAGCAGCAAAAATGAAAAATGTTTTTCAGAAAAAAACTAAACGGTAATTTGTAAAAGGCCACGAGGCATCCCAGGCTTCAAGGTATAAAACCCAGTATTAAAACATGAAAAATAATGCTTGTGGCTCTTTATTTACAAACAAAGGGCCATCAGTAGTGCTGCAGACATCAGTGGTATTATTTCCAGCTTTGCTTCAATTCATCTTTAAAAATGCACAGCTCTCCCTCAAAGCATCGCAACTGACACAGTACCACCACAGCCAAGTGACTATGGTCCAAAAGAAACATTCTAAATGCTGCTTCTCACAAAGTGACACTTGTTGTCAAAGACATCGTGATTAAGCCATGAAAAATGGTGATGGAAATTACATTTGGCAGCTTGCTACGAAGGCGCATAATTTTCTAATTTCGTGCCCGTTTCCCCCAATGCTTCTACAAAAGCGTAAATTCCACTGTTGCAGCACACATTAAGTAAGACACAGGCGGTCTGTGTTCACGATGAGCAAAGGAAACGATCTTCTTCCCGAATATATCTCCAACCCTTTGATGTTTACTGAAATATCACAAGAATTTAAAACTATGGGGAAACATTCATCCATGCACCATGACCACACCAAGCGAAGCCAACATATTCAGTAAAATAAAAATAGAAATAGTTACGTAATACGCTTAACGTCCCTTCAACTCTACACATTGCGGGTGTGTGTGTTAACCGATGGGGAGCGGTATCGTAGTGGTTAGTGCGCTGCGCTACGAAAGCGACAACCAGAGTTTGATTCCTGCTCACGACCAATTACAGTGGCGAATGTTTCAATCGTCCTGGGCCTCCTCGAAGTCGACTCAGCATTAAATGACGACCTGATGTGGTGTATAAACATTAGTGAATGGGGAGACAAATGCAGCCGGGTGCGGTAATGGCCACTTAACCCCCTAATGTACCATGCTGGCCTTCATAGGTGCTCGCCAACAGCACTTTCCCCAACAGTCTGTTAAGGCTATATGGAGGATCTTTGTGTTAGCAGAGGGTGCATGCACAATGCTTACCCCACTTCCACCATTCTTCATATCAGTTGACTTGGCCACTTCAGCGGCCTTCTCAATAATCTGTGGTACGGTGAGAAAAGACAACAATTATTTGATTAGCAATACTTTGGAATTTCCTTACGGACATTTGCCATTGCAAAAGCCCAATTAATTGAGTAGAAGCTATCCAGGGAACTCCGATAAACCGCACACCAATCAACGATGCTCCCACGAAGTTGGAATATCACTTCGTCTAAACCAATATAATTTCTGAATATGTGAAACTGCCTTGGAAGTGGTAAATAAGTAACACAAACTCAATACATTCACGATGGGAAGTTGACACATCAACGATCATTTGTTTCTGCACTGCCCTCTGCTGACCGCCAAGCAGCACTGCCCACACTGCCCTCTGAAAACCAAGTGCACATGGTGGCTACCCATCCAAGGACTGTCCAGGCTTAAACCTGCTTAGTTTACAATATCTCCACGAGATCGGGCGTGCATCGTGAGTGACGACGTGGTTCAAGGCCTAGCTATGACATCGACAACCGTCGCACACCCATAAAAATCCACGACAACCGTATCCGCAAGCCTGCAAATGGATGTTTTTTTAATAATACGCACGTTTACCCAGTTAATCATTATTCTGGGAAAGCATCCGTAAATTGTATCCGCATGTCTTTACAATAACCAGCATGTGTATTTACTTGTAATCTGGCACCAAATCGGCCGTGTAAATCAGGGCATGGATTGCATTTGTCACCCGGGCTAACCCAGGTTGCGAAACGCGCTGGTGACAAATTCATAATCACGGCGCATCCCTCGCCTACAAGAGAAAAGTGATGCCCAAATCTTATGAAAATTAGTGGTTGAAGTGTCACCCAAGGGACTCGATTATTACCCCACACGTTACCTACATGATTCTTCGATTTTTTTGTTTACAATACTACTCCTCGCTCTAAAGACTCAACGATTGTACAGAGGATATAGACATTTCTAAACCAAAGATTATCAAGGTGAAAACTTTGATCAGTTTTGATGACCTCGGTCCAAGGCCGTCAGTTGTACATAGCTCATCATCAACACCATGGCTTTCTGGTTCCTTCCAGTCAGAAGCGGGCCCCAACTTGACTTCTCTACAGCACCATATACGTCAGCGAGCAACGTCAACAACAGACCGGACCAGCGACGGGCAAATTAAATTTCTTAAAATGTACACGTGTACGCATCGCCACCTTCTCAAACGGTGGGTAGTAGACGGGGCCTTTGCTGTACTCCGAGAAGGCAATGTGCAGAGCGGCGGCGCTGTCCGTGTTGGGGTTGGTGTGCACAGTGCCCATGGGATTCAGCATCTCCTCGTCCATGTCATCTGCACCATGAGCAGGCGGACGTGGTTAAGACCCGCCACCCGCGCAGGCAATGTTCATTTTTCGATTTAAAGCTTTCGTGACTGCAGGGATTCATCTTCTTGGTTCTTTCGGTAAAGTCACGTAGAAGGGAAATAATAAAGTAATAAAAATAAAACATAATAAAATAATTCTCACGACGTTTCGGCCACAACGCAAGCAGCCGTCCTCAGACCTGTTCTTCACCTGAGGACGGCTGCTTGCGTTGTGGCCGAAACGTCGTGAGAATTATTTTATTATGTTTTATTTTAATTATTTTATTATTTCCCTTCTACGTGACTTTACCGAAAGAACCAAGAAGGGACGATGTTCATTGTTACCAGGAATCTAGAAATGGCCTGCGCAAGATGTACCATGCCCTATGTCGATCGTACGAGTGCATGAAGGACCACACCGCCCCCCCCTCCCCATGCAGTGTCTGTCATGGGTGTGTTTTGACCATCTTTCATCGCGCCGGTCGGCAAGGGATGGTGAAATGAGGTTGCGTAGCACCGGTTGTTAGCCGTGGCTGGAAATTTAACTCAAGACTACCGGTTTCATAGCGAAGTGTGCTAACCACTGCGCCACTTCTCAACTCCCCATTTAATAAGAAGAACCCAATAAGCTGTTTGTGTGATTAACAAATCTAAACTTTATCCAGGTCTTGCATATCTAATTTCATAGCACACATTGTTACTGAGGCTGTCTCATCTCTAAATTCTCAATCAATGTTCCCATTTCAAGCATACACCTGATATTAATAACCATAGTTTTAGCTTTCTCCCACGTTTTAAAACAGTGACCACTCACTTACCTATTGCACGTGAATGATTATGCTAAATTGTACATTCACTCGGCAATGATCTTCTTTACATTTTTTATAGAAAAACGAATTCTAGTGTCGGCATGTATGTACATCCAATTATGTCTTTCTCGCCTCAATATTATAACTCCCACTTAATCACAGAAAACAATGAATGGCATGTAGAAACACTCACAGATAGCCTAAAAACATCTTGATATATAGAGGACATCACCGTCTAGGCTACCTTTCAGCTCAGCTCGTCCGTGGTTCCTCAGCGATTGTTAGATGCAAATTGCATGAACGACGCTGCATAAAACTAAACATTATCGTGCTATTAGATTTTTCATACGATTGTGCAGGAAATACAATGTGAAAGAGCAACAACATTCATGTTGCGCTCACAACTCTCACTCCACAAGGTGGCAGTGTCCCCGTCTTTTGTGTCCACTGCACTGTTTAGCGAGGTCATTTGTTTTCAAGGTCAAATATGGATCTAATGCGAGCAGGCTGTGCACAGAATTAAAAACAACGCTGCTTTAAATTAAAATCCCACTTCGACTTGCAACACCATGAACACAAATCGGAATAAAGCGCCGGCAATTGACACTCTGTAAACAGTTACACAAGCTAACTCGATTATCGTGATGACAATTTCATGACGGGAAGGAAACAAAGCAATAAAAGGAAATAAAACTGAGCTGTATACTGCCTCCAAAAAGGCAGTGAACAAAACTGCCCTCTCAAAACTACACAATTCCTCACTACAAAACTTATAAACTAACTGTAACATAGTCTGGCGCTCGAACACATCCAATATTCCTTTATTGCGAAACATTTTGGCATGTGGCTTAAAAATATATATTGGTTTTTAAGAGGCACTGAGACTGGACATGGTCACGTAACTCGACAGCAGTTGAGTCACATGGCACAAATATCCAAATCTGGTTCCAGCACCTGCTCATATTCCGATGCCCTCTTCGGCGGTGGCTACATAGCTCCCAGTGGAAACCACTGCCTGCCAAGCGAGTGCTTACTCTTCCTTGACAGCGTTCATCAGGAAAATCCTACATACATGTCCACGTACATATCTACGCGATGTCTGCTCTCCACAGCAATCGTTACATATTGCAACCTCCAGTGAACCTTCACTCATTCTCCTCTGTCGACCCCATCATCAAGAACCCCCCTTCCCCCAGCGATCAGTGTTGTCGACTCCCTGCCTTTGTTCAATTTCACCCTCAAGACTTTCCATTCTAGCGCTTACAACGGACTACCTCTACAAACTATATATATACACACACACCGTTTGTGTGCAGCGTATTGAAATTCGGTCACATTTTGACGCTCTGTATGTCGGGATGGTATCGTATCGGCAACTTCACTCATTGTTTAATCTTATTTTTTCAAAATGCGTTCAACTGCCACACTGCAGGTCACAACTGCTGGACCCAGCAATTCCCTCCCAACTTCACCGTTCCCAAAAGCTCTTATAATAACCTTGATAAATTCAAAAACGTGCTTTCCAGTACAACTTTGAAAGTGCCCTTTATCGTAGGCCTGTGCTCAGCAACTGTGTTTGAACAAAACAAAGGCATTTCTCGGTGTGATTTGTGGCGCCTCTCTCAGCGTCACCAAACCCTGGGGAATCCAGGGCAGACATTTCACAAGCGCAATGAGGATAATTCTGAACTGTCACGAGGTTTTGTTGGCATTAAGCCCACAGCACGAAGTATTGCGCTTGCTAAACATGTGGAAATGCATAATACACGTTTTTTGGGTTAGATCGCGAAAATATAAATGTGTCGTTAAACCCGCCACCACCCGACACAGCCAATTATTTGGGTGGTTTGTCACGAAAAACGGAACATGCCAATTCGTTACCAGTACAGCGCACCGGTGTGTCAGAGAGCAAATCCACAACGTTTACAATCTGAGTACGATGTTTCGCGAGTTATTACAACAAGCGTCGTCAGGAGGACAGACAGATTTGATGTGGAAATGGCTCTTTAGCGGCGAGCCAAGGATGCCGACTTGCTGGCACCAACCTGGAAAGGATGACCATGTATGGAGCACGGCCTCCCCAGCCCTGAGCTGGTCTTTGTAGTCAAATACCATCGCATTCACCCAGGCAATGGGAAGGTCCTGTAGTGGAAAAAAACAAATTCAGACGTTCGGTTCAAGTGTCAAGCAGTCGAGTCACCGGGGTGTCAGTGTGCACAGCTTTTTGCAGATCAATGATGTGTCTAGTGTAAATTGACTTGCACCGTGCGAAGCAACAGCAACGGTGCTGTTGATTTGCAGGGCAACAAACAGAACATTAGAAAATATCCGACGTGTCCTTCATAAAACAAAAGAGATTTCTTATCTCAATCGGCGCTTAACTGGTTATGCAGCTCAGCTACGTATTGGGGAACCAATTGGCTCTTAATAAGAATAACTATAATGTATAATCCACCTCTGGATGAAGGACTCCTCATGCCATATGAGGTCATAAGGGATATTGGCCATCACTTCACCACACTGGCCAGTGTGAGCTGATGGTGCAGAGCATAGATGTCGGAGCATAGTACAGCATAACGGATCTTGCTGCACTACCCTATAATACGTAGGACTTCACGAACAATATTATCCATAACAAAGGTTTTTTTGGGTTAGATCATGTAAGTATGAACTTGTCATTAAGCCCGTGTGCTGAAGTAGTAACTAACTGGCACGTTTTGATTACGTGACAAACCTTACTAATTGGCTGTGCCGGGTTTAACGACCTACGTATACTTACGCGCACTAACCCAAAGGAAACCTTTATTAAGCCCTTCCCTATTCTGCCCACAACATAGCCCCCAGCGGCCGACAGCTATTCTCATACTGTGGCCGTCACCCATCCAAGCACGATCGAGGCTCAACCTTGCTTCGGTTCCAAGATGTTATCTGGCGCCTCGATGGTTAGATGTTATCCCTGATCGCCTGGTATACAGGAGGTCGTGGGTTTGTATCCGACGCTGACGCCTGCTGAAAATTAGAAGTTTGCATGTTCTTCCCGTGGTTGGGTGGATTTTTCTCTGGGTCCTCTGGTTTTTCCCTCCAAATTTAGAAACATGCGCTGAGGGTATTTGGCTGCTATCGATTTCCACGTGATAAGCCACTTTGTTGGGCTATCGTTTGTGAGCCAGGTCGCTTCTTAAAAAGAGCTACGTAGCTCAGTAGGCCTTACCCAGTTAAAAAAACAGAGATCGGTCAAGACTGGGTAAATTCCCTGGTCGCGGGCAGCTTGCCCGTTATCTCAGGACAAACGGCGGCACGCGTGAGCACGTGCCCCCTTCCGAACCCCCCCCCCCACCACGCCCTCGCTCACCGAGCGACGAGCACGCTTGCCGACGCTGCTCTTGCCCATCGTCTTGTCGGGTTTGATGGCCTTGCCGCGCCGGCCGCTCTTGCCCTCGAACTCGGCGTAGAGCACGAGGCAGAGGCGAGCCGTGCGTGGGAGGTCGCCCGTCAGCACGTCGAACTCGAGCCGCTCGTTCCACGTGAGGTCGGCGCTCGCCGGCACTTCGGAGCTCGTCACCGTCTTACTCAGCAGCTCCGAGCCGTGGAAGAGGCCGGCCTTCACCACCAGCTACGACGGTCGAGAGAGTTTGTGGAATTTGTGCGTGTGTGCGCCGTGTGTGTGTTTGCGACATGCGAGGTTGTGCGTGTGTGCGTTTGTTCGGCGTGTGGAGTGTTTTTGAGTGTGCGTGCAAATTATTGTGCAGTAGCGGTGTCAAATGGTTTGTTTTGTTCATTTGTACGTGTGTGCATGCGTGGTTAAGTGCGATTGCAAAATGCATGTATGCATGCGTGTACACGTGTGCGTTTGTTTGGTGTGCAACGTGTTTTTCAGCCAGCCAGTGTGTGTGCGTGTGTTTATTGTGAAGCAGCGTGTAAAATGTTTAGTTTTGTGTGTGCGCGTGTGCCCAAGTGTGCAGTGGAAGATTGTGTGAACAGGCGTAAAAAAGAGATTACGTGTCTGCCGAGTACCTCTACCTAGCTGCCAACTGAGCCTCAGGTGCTTCAGGTTCAAGTCCCATTACTCCATAAATATTTACACTCATGAGTCAGACCCCTCCTGGATAATAGCACTCGAAGGCCAGTGAAGCTCTCACTGCTCTTAGTTGAAAACAAGACCTAAACGTTATCGTATAGGCTTACACCTTTCAACAGGACAATGAAAGGATCGAATGATAAACAGTGACATGGATGATGGTAACACTCAAATCGCTCGATTACATTTAATTCGCGTGCACAAAAGCGTGATGGGTATCAATTCAATGTTTCGTTTAATACCGAGTGCTATACGCACCGGGAGGAAAAGTTGATTGCCACTAGGATTGTTTGCAACACTTGCCAGTAACGTCTTGTGTTAATTTAGACATGTGACTGCCCGTTTCTACTGCCAACAGCAAAAGAAAGGTAATGGAGATTCAAGCGATTAGAGAAATTGGCACACTCATGCTGGCCAATGTATTATGTTTTCTGATAATGTTCAACAGTGTTACGCTCCAATGCACATGATACTTGACAAGGGCTCTTGCTGTGAACATGACCAAATGGAGAGAGAAAAAAATACAAAAATCCAGGCAGATGAGGATGAGATTCAAAGCACTGAGAGATTCGAGTTTAAATTTTATTATGCTTAACCAGGTGAGAACTCAAGAGGCCAGAGGATAAAATGAATTTTCAAGAGTGACCTGGGTTAGCAGAAAATACAAAAGAGAAACAAAATAAAGGATAAAAAGAACAGCTGGATTGTTTGTGTCGATGGTAGCAAGCGCCTGCGATGGAAAAACGGTGTTTCTTTGCGATGGCAATAACTCGTTTAGGATGGCCATGGACATGGGGGCACGTACAATTCACAAGCCGCTTGTGAGCGCGCCGACTTACCGCTTCAACTGCTCAGGCGGACGAATGAAAGGCAATGAGCAACATCAAAGTTAGCAGGGCATTCCAAAACGTGAATCACTAATTGGTCTCTGGATATCCAGTACGCCACATACGTGTCGCTTATAATAGCTATCGCAATGCGACTTCAGCGGGCTACTGTTGCGTAACTATCATTTGTACAATATGAATATATTTTAATGACTTGCAATTTCAATCAGATCTGTAAACGATGATAAAAAATAACCTATCATAAAGGAAAATAGTGCAGGCTGGAAAGCCATAAGTTTCAAACAACACGCAAATGTGTAAAAAGCACTCGGCCTTTGTGTTTCCTGAAAGAGAACCACAATGCACTTCTTCAGGAAATGGTGATGGTTTTTGCATTATGCACAAAGGTCGAGTGCTTTTTACACATTTGCGTGTTGTTTGAAACTTACGAATTTGGAATTTACCGAATCCACCGGGACTCTAACATCGCCGGTAACCTCTCGTAGATGAGGCTGACCGGGCTTTCCATCATTTGCCTTGTCCATGGGTCCAAAAATGGCTGATGAGTCCGACCCGGGACCGATAAGACTCTGGTGCAGCTCGGGCACACATTTCCGAGAGGGATGGAGGCTTTTCTCTAATATGACAAAAACTCTCTCTTAATTCGTGGCTTTTAAAGGTGACATGCAGGCTGCGACTATCAAAGATAAGCCCCCCCCCCCAGCCGCTGTTGCCAGGGGGGGGCACAGAAGTCTCCGTGATTGAGCGGGACGTTTCAACTCCTCCGGTGGGTTTTCGAAGTGGGTGCGACGTGAAACGATGTGAAACCGGTGCAGGGTGGGGATTGGGGTACGGTACCTTCATGGCTTCGTCAGTGTTCACCTTGCTGGCCTTCACCAGGGTGATCTGGTATGGTGCCGTGATGGACCACAGCAGGTCTCCCGCTTGCTGGGGAGAGGAACCAAGAAGACACTCAGAATCCAAATGACAAATTCTATATGAACCCCCTCTCTTGTCTGTGCACCTGATAGGCTCACAGTGATGACATTACCATTACTGTAAAACCTTGCATTGAGAGCATAATTCGTCCCGGAAACGTGTTTGTAACCCAAAGCACTCGCATATCAAAGCACTAGTATATCGGTTGTGATCACGTGACGCTCGGCAGACAAAGTGTACACGTACTACTCGTATTGCAAGACCTCGCTCGTTCATGAAATTCATATTTATTTAAAAATTTGCTCGTCTTGCAAAACACTCGCAGACCAAGTTACTCGCAATCCAAGGTTTTACTGTACTCTATTTAAGACCAAAACAGGAAGACTTCACAATTATGGTTAATTGCATGATGAAACGGGTTGTAATCACCAGTGAAACGTCGTACTCCAATTGTAAATGTTGTGAGTTTACTCTCCAGCACGTTTCGTTTCCGTGACAAATTTATTAACTGGCTGTGTCGGGTGGTGGTGGGGCAACGACACATTCATGTTTACGCTATCTAACCCATAAACCCTTTATAATTAAAAATATTGGGTCGCTAAAGCCTCCGTTTTATACGGGCAAATCATTTCCAAAACCAACACAGGTCTCCGAAACGGTGAGCCATGAACTGTGCTCGATCAAACCGGAGCTTCACTGCGTACATGTACAGCCCTTTTGACAATCCGCTGCCCAATGAGAGTCTCTCCATGCCATGTGGGTCATGGGTGGGGAATAATTGACCATACTTCCCCACACAGGACATTGCAAGTCGGTGACAGCAGGGAACAGAGCTGTGAGAGAACAGGAATACAGGAGAAACAAAAAATGTCCCCCGCACTGCACTTTGCTGCCCACAATGCCATCTGTTAAACACAGTGGTTACGCGTGCAAGCACTGTCCACCAACCTCATATCTGCAAAGCTTCCAGGGCATAAACAAGATTGGGCACATTCCGGGTGATGTAGTCATAGTCCGAGTTTGATCAAACCCTCATAAATACCAAGACATAAATGCTAAAAGAGGCCAGGTCCCATCTAAGCTACTGTAAAAACTGTTCATAAGCACAAACTAGCTGCTATTAATCAAGTTATCGTGGATTATTACCAGGCATGTAATGATCTATCAATTAAAATCGACTCTTACAGTGGCGGTCAGTCACAGTGAATGTCCTGAGCGAGTGATGGAAATTCCATATTTCTATGGCTGGGGGAAACTCTTTAGAGGACAACTACTGCTGCCTTCCCTGCTAAGTTAAACTAATTTTATCAACCCTGGAGGAATGATGGGCTGAGTCAACCCCCAACCAGGATTTGAACTCACAACCTTCTTTCTGGTTATGAGCGGCTCTCTTTCTACAGCCAAGCCACCCGGTCAGATACACTGACGATGAATGTAGAGATGTAACATAAAACAATCGATTACTTTACGATTCCCTTAAGTTCCATGTACTGTAATTGGTTCACTCACAAAATGTAGCCACTAGAGGTGCTATATTCTCTTAAGAATCATTTGTTTTAAGGTGCACATGGCTAAAATGTTTCCTAATTTTATAGTATTCTTTTAACTTTATTTTCCGTGTCCATTGCCATCATTGTACCCAAATCCTATCATTCTTTATATCCTGTAAAGCGTTTGGATATGCGGCTGCATGTAGACACCCTATAAAATGTCAATTATATTGAATTCATTACAATAAAAAAGCATTGCTTCTTGAAACAAACCATGACCTCAGATGACAACAATTCATTGAATCGCAAGAGGAGCGGACCATGCAATGCCTAATTAATACAGCACCCATGATAGAGTTGAAATCCTAAACGACCCAATGCTTAGAGAGTCGAAAGACTTCACCAGTCACCGTATCGTATCAAAGCTAATCGCAAAACACTAAGTTTCAACACCTCCGATAACCACCAGCTTTTCAAATCCATTACTTAATAGACATGTGTGGTCCACATGTGAAGTAATATGATTTGCTCATGGCCTCATTGGTGGCTCGTGATAGCTGAAGTCTTAACGCAGCTTCTTAAATGGATTATGACCGCACACGTTGAAAGCAGAAGGGATGATGTGGATCTTAAGCCTGCTGACCATATGGTGTGGTATATACTTTTAGGCCAAAGTTAACTTTACAAACTTTGAGCTTATATGAGAAAGCAGCCCTTTCAACTGGCATCTAACACAAATGTCGTTCACAAGTCTAAATGAGTCACCTTTTTTAGTGCTCGTTGAACAGAAAGCGGGTGATTTATAATGTACTGTTACTTTGGCATGCAACAAGACCAACATTTTATTTATAGAGTTTGGCGTCTGCCGATGTACCACGCACCGTATTTAACCATCTACCCATTCATATTTCTTCCCTTTTATACATGCATAAAACAAACCATGTTGCTCGGTGGCTGATCGAGTGGGCTCACCAAGCAGAAGGTTGGGGAGTTCACATCCTGATTGCAAAGTGACTGAGTCGATCATCCCTTCAGGGTCAATAAACTTAGTACCACTTCGTGGAGAAGTCAACAGTGGTTGTGCTATGGAGAGGCTTGGCCACACAACTGGAATGTGGAAATTCTACCACTAGCTCAGGGCACATAACAGGAGCTGAGCACTGCTTCAATGCTCACTGCTCATCTGAATAATAAATAATTATCATAAAACAACAAAAGAATGCCCTAAAGAAACAAAGAAAAGCAAAGAATGTAAGCTGTGTTTCCTCTAAAACAGTAAGCCGAGCCTCCCAGAGATGTCACCACACTTTGGAATGTGCAGACGTGTCTGTCTAAGAGGTGGCTGTTTGACTGTCAGTGAGCCTGATAGAGCACAGAGGAGTTCCAAGAAACTAAGTGACCCAAGCAGGAAGTAGAACACACTCCACACATCACACTCACACCTGCAAGATGTTTTAGTTTTAACCTGGGTACGTAAGATTTATAACCCTCCACAGATATATTCATATATATATATATACCAAGTGAAGTTTTGACACACCAATCCACTTCGAATGTTCGTTTATCTTAGTAATTTAAACGAGGTATGGGTCAGTTCGTGGTGGAACCATGTACCAATTCGTGATATAATATAGATTACGAAGCTGATGATGCATCAATCAAACGACACGTGTAAGAATCAATGTTCTTATATATTCTTTGGTTCTTTCGGTAAAGTCACGTAGGTGAAAAAATAAAATAAAAACAAATACATTTTAAATAAATATAGAAATTTCACCTATGTGACTTTACCGAAAGAACTAAAGAATATGATCCTTGCAGTCACGAAAACTTCAAATCTAGAATGTTCTTATATTTGTCTCATGTAAACGGCTTTTGCCAATATTACAATCAGCCACTGCAGGTGCAGTCATTCACCGAAACGTTTCAACGAAATGATTCTGCAGTGGATTAGCGACCCTCCACTGAATCATCGCAATGTGAATTTGGTTCACCCACAGTTAGAATTAAACAAGCAAAACCAAGCGAATGTGCAAGGCTACGCAGTCTTCCTCTCATTCTAAAATGCCCATGACAAAGCTAAAATATCTTCTTGGTTCTTTCGGTAAAGTCCCTGCAGTCACGAAAGCGTTAAATCGAAAGCTAATATACTTGCATGTTTTCAATATGTATACGATGAACACGTAAAAATGTATTCCCAAGCACTCATCTATATTTAATGGCCAAGCAAAACAGCCAGGAACAAGACGAATAACCAGATAATCGATCAGATGGTCGAAACCGACACCAATTATAGGCGATACTTTTAAGGCCAGACCATTCATGTTCGATAGCCAAACGCTCATTTAGTTTGCATCTGATTTATCAATATACGATGGTTGCCGCCATCTTATTTTTGAATATGGACAGTGTCGTGTAACAACAGGCAGCTTATAATTTAAAGGTGCCGAGGATAATGCCACAACACGAATAAGTAATTGTATTTATTTGCACAGTTTTGTTTTTACATGTAAATATATTAAAACGGTGCTAGTCATGAGATGATAAAAATAAAATCCAATTTCAATCCTCAGCGAGCAGTGATGAATGTCAGTGAATGGCCATGGGAAATTAATACCAAGAACTACTTCCTTCTTAACGTCACTTCATTAGGCTTCTAACCCACATGAGATATAACACATTTTACATACCCAGCAAACACCATACAGTGTTTGTAGCATGGAAACTAAACAAATATAATTCTCAAAAATTCAAGCGCTGGAATATGCCAAATTAAGCGACAAAGCATGGATTTCTACATACGTTCATTGGCGATTAGGTTTGAGATCACAAACCCTCGAGAAACCGGTTTAATCACAGTCGGCTGCTTGGATTCCATCCCGGGAGTTTCAACGGTGCCGGTTAAATGCTCCAAAAGTATTAACCACCACCCCCCACAGTCCATCTACTCCGACCGCCTACCAATTTGGTGCTCTTGTGCCGCTCATGCTGATGCTGCCGCTGATTACGAAAACGAAGTTGTTTATGGGCCAAAGGGCAGCCCTTTCTCGCCGCCCCCCAACCCTCCCAATGCACCGAACTCACCTTGTTTTTCACAGGCAGCGAGGGTGGCTTGGAGGCTGAGCGAGCTCTGCTCACGACCTCCATGTTTGTTTCGGCCTGGAAGAGTTTGACGATTGTGGAGCTGTGCACCATGGTGAGGCTTGGGTTGGTCTCGGCGTAGATACAGTTGCGGATGTACTGCGTCAGCGGAAGGGGCAGAACGGGTTATGTTGAGAACAGGAAATTAAATAGGACTTTAATGCATTATTATTACCACCATCGCGTCGCCAATTCACTGCTCATCCTTAGTTGCATTTAGAAGTGGTAATATATTGACACGTGCGTGCGTGTATATGTGCCGCACTTTGACAATGGCCTCCCCCATGCCATGTGGGTCACGGAGGTTATTTGACTAGACTTCACCGTGCTGGTCAGTGTGGATTGTCCTGCAGATTGTCCTGCACTACACTGTTACCCACAACATAGCCCCCCCAGCAGCAGCCTATACCACTTGTAATGCACGATGGGTGCCCATCCAAGCACTATCCAGGCTCAAACCTGCTTAGTTTCGAAGATCTGACGAGACTAGGAGCATTCTGGGAGATTTAATCATAGGCAAAATGATCAAATACAGCTACAACACGAACATGACTTGCACATCTCCCTTACATCAAAGGTATCAGCGTCAATGGGATTTTAACAGGAAATAAGTGACTTTGATATATATATTCACATGCAAAACTCTACAGTATTCATTAGGACAATGTTTAAAGTGAAAATTACAGCTCATCGCATGAATAGTGAAAATTAAATATGTACGAAATTAGACGCGATCAATGAGATTGTGGCAGATCAAACGGGATACATTCATACATTTTTTATCGCTTCAACAGAGCCGTCTAGCTCCCTCTGTAATTTCGTACACCTGGTAAACCCCGCTTGTTAACGCATCCACTGATGAGGCCTGCAGAGTTTGTCACAAGGTGGGTGCCGTTCAACACAATTTAAAGTGGGGCGTTTAGTATGGAAGTGCCATCAGGAGTGCAACAGCCGCTCCGCTCTTGCACACAGTTGTGGGAAATATTAATTCGGCATGCAAAATCAACAAGCGTAATGAATCCTGGTTAATACGGGGCCCGGTGTAATAGCTGTGAAGCAACTGAGCCCAACAACCTTCTCAAAGTCACATGGCTGGCTTCAGCAGTGAGTTGGGCGGACGGACCACACGGATCAATTGTACATTTTAGAGGCTAGGAAACCCTGCCCATGTATAAGCGGTAAACTATGACGGGTGAAACAATATGTCCAGTGAAAACTGCTACATTCTACAAACTTCTGTAAAAAAAAGAAAATCCCCACCAAGTGTATGCATGAACAATGTACAGTTATTCCTCATTTAAACACAGTATATGCGTTCCTGAAAAGTGCCACGTTAAGCAAAAATGCGTTAAGCGAGGAATGACTGTATATACATTGCGAGGCATGCATAAATATGTAAAAACGTTGCACATTTGAATCACATCTGCACTATAAAGTCAGAATTCAGCCATCCCATGGCGGGACAAAGAACTGAGATGAGGGTACGCGGCCGTATCATTCCGCACGTTTACTTCCCAGACCGTTCAGCCATGCAGCTCAAGAAAGTAGTTCGTCATCTACCGCTCAGAAACCGTGCGTTCCGTGTTGTGCCAATAGTCTTCCCGGGTGGAAGAACGAGGTTATAGGGAAAATGTGCTGTGTGAACATGCGTTAAGCAACGACTTACAATGTACTGTATGTGTTAATGAAGCCCTCTACAAAATTTACCTTGCAAAACAAAGCCACGATAATTTTTTTCTGACAGCTGTGTGGCAATGTGAGGAGGAAACCAGTTCCCACAAATAAAATTTTAAAAAATTCATCACGTATACGACGAGGGGGTTAATACGGCGAAGCCTTCGACGGACAGATTAAAAAACCCAATGCTGTATGTACTGCCATCTCCTGAACACCTCACAGCCTAAGACGACAACAACCGCCGTCTATTCTAAAGGTCCAAACAACCTTAACTCCGCTTAACTTGTACAATCTGATAAGTATAGGCCCATTCGGAGAGATTTACCGATTTAGTGGTATGCAATATATGTAATCGTACATGCATATTTGTTATTTTAGATCATTTGTTTTAATAATGTATAAAAACAAGCGCATTGTAATGCATAATCAAGTCATGGTTATTAATGTTTTACTCTTACGCCCCATGATATTTTTATCTATCACCAAAACAATAAAACACAATATAACGTGTTTTTTTTCAAAGTGTCAAAACCTTTGACAAAATGCTAAGAATAGTTTATTTTTTCGAGCACTTAAAATATTGGGAAATAAGAAAATAAAGATATAAATCTCACGTTAATATTAATTACCCGTATTGTGCAAAGGTTTATTTGCACAACACGTATTGGATTGTATTGCTACAAGGTCTACAGGGCCCTGCACAGATGTACAGTTGAGCCGTTGTGAGGTCTACGGGAGTGGGTCAAAAAATTAGTGTACACGTGACATCTCTAGGGGTGTGCACGTGACATCTCTAGGGGTTACACGTGTGTGAGATCTCTAGGGGGTATGTGTGAGATCTCTACGGGGATACGTGTGTGATCTCTAGGGGGTATGTGAAACATTTCTAGGCGAGACACGCAACATCAAGTTGATTTGTTTAGCCAGCAGAGAACTCAAGAGACCAGGGCTAGTCTCAAACGCAAGAGTGACCCGGGTCACTAAGCTACCATCTCTCTACAACATCATGCTGTGGCCCAGTGTCGATGGAACAATAATGATCATTATAATGAATTACAGCCCTTTGTTAATCCACTGTTGGCCGAAGGCCTCTTGCTAATGCCGTGCTGTCGTGGGGGGCTCGATGACCCCACTTCACAACGCCGATCAGCGTAGATTCGTGAAATGGAGGCCAAGGCCCGGTTCGAATATCACTCGCCAGTGGCTTCAGCCACGGCAAGGAGTCGAACGAAGGTCGCTGGGTTCGCAGCACAGTACGCCGGGCACTGCGATTGTTAACAGAGGATAGACTGAACCCAGCTGTAAGGACCCCCAGCTGTAACCTTCCGACTCGCGGAGATGAGAGAAAAAAAAACACTATTTGGCAAAAAACATGTTTTCAAGTTCGCTACAAATTGTAAGTTAAATGGAAAACATATGAAAGGGTGAGTTATACAGCTCCTATGTGGGAGCGAGCGAGAACGCAGTTAATGATTAATGTAATACCAGCCAAACTGTGTATAACGATTGCTGTAAATAAATAATTTCTGGAGAAAAGAGCCACAGAGCACAGGTGAGTCGTTGAAGAAAGCGTGGGTTTGGAGAAGCATGTGGCCAAGTCTGAATGGAAAACTTAATTTCACAAAAGTACATCTAATGGCAATAAAGATAAAGTAATAGACAGCCCTTTGTAAATCTACTGCTGGATGAAGGCCTCCGCATGCCATGTTGGCCACGGGGGTTATTCGACCATACTTCACCATGCTGACCAGTATAGGTGGGTGAAGGGCTGGTGGAGGGTGGGGCGCAACCCAGGAATGGTTCAGATGTCACTCGCCACCAATGTTATCAATGGTCGGGTGATAACCAATGCATCACCAGAGCACCCCACAGGTGCGTACATTAACATTATATTTTCACGATGTAATATTAATTTACCGACAACGTAAAAAACAAATCCCAAAAATATTCCCCCAGAGGTTTATGTGAAAATGTGGTGATGTGAGAACAGGGGTCTCCCACAGAATAAATAAAACAGCTGTGGTCGTTACCATTGCACTAACTGCGAACGTGTGTCAGCCGCTGCGCTCAAACAAGAGCATTTCTGAAGCCCATTAACTCATTAACTTGTGCCCCACAACCAATGCACAGACCACATGGCTCTCTTCACAGAGCGTCTCATTTTCTCTCCACATTGCATTCCAGTCAGCAAGTCAAACTGAAGTGGGTACATCAACCCACTTCGTGCCGTTCAATGAAAACACTCGTCCGACTTGTGCATTTCGAAACAACAGCCAAGTTACAAGCAGCAGCAGCACAACACTGAGAACAGCTGCTGCCTGTCTATCTGTATCAGTGTTGTGGTTGGTATTGAGGTTAGGGGTGATGATAGATTCGTGCGGTAGGGTGAGGGTTAATTTTAGTAGCAACGATAAGTTAAAGGGGGCGAGTGGTGTTAAGATTAAGTGTAACGTTACGTCTAGCTGTCATCGATACTGTTGGTAAAGTTTCCAATCAAGTTGAGTTCGTGGGGTTTTGTACATGATCATGAATTATGTTAAATTAATACGCCTAAGGGAAAAAAATACACTTTGATAAACATTTTTCCCAAGCATCGAAAAAATGTTGGTCGCACAAAATTCTGTATGAGGATCAATGAACTAATTAATACAGAAAGGAAAAGTATTGTAGGAGAGAACATACATATACAACTATTGCGAAAGGCTTTGGAAACAAGGAAAACATTGTAAAAGTCCAGTCTTATGGTGGCACGGCGAACAGTATTGAAAAGCAAAAACACAAGATGATATAGTGTAATGTACTGAAAAGTGGTCAAAGTTATAATGATCGTGCCCACTGAAAGCTGGGCTGAAGACAGATCCAAGCCGACAACCACCAAGAAGATTTCGAAAGAGCCGACTGGCTCTGAGGTCGATACCTACAGGCCTACCCCCGGTGACTCCGCCAAACATAATAACAATTACATAATTCAGAGCACATTGTCAATCCACTACTGGATTAAGGACCCCCACTACCCCCAACCCATCCCTTCATGTAATGTTGGTCGTAGGGGATGTTTGGCCATACTTCAGCATATTCATAATTTAACACATTATTTCCCAAAGCGCTTACCGCTGTGCCACTGCACCAACGCTTTTGTAAAAATGATCGTATTGCAGATTAAGTTGGTGGACCTATGGTTAGATAGGAGGGAGTTTGCGGTTGATGAGAATGGCCCATGGAAGTGGATATCACAGAGCTACCTCTGAAATCCCTTAAAATGACCTAGTACATAGAGCAAAGGTTCCCACTTTCGTACCCACTCTACCACATGAGGGCAATGTTAATGGCATGACAGCTAAACCCATATCATCATTCTCAGTGTTGTAATATAGCCAACTGAAGCAAAAAAACAGAATTAGAGTAAAATTATTTTTGTGCAGTCATCGCTGAACAGGCTGAGCAGCCTATCAGCTCCCTATGCTGCCGGGGCTCGACAGAAGCAACTGTGCCCTGCCAAGCTCAGCAGCGCTCTGACCTCCGAGCCACCCTGACACCTCGATGACAATAAACTTCACGGCAATGTTGACAGCAAAGATCGCAGTCGAGTGGACTAAACAAACACAGTGTCAGTGCTGGGCCCCACCTGGAACTGGCTGAGTGGATAATCCCCGTAGATGTACTCGTTGGCCCGAGTCACTTTCAGCACAAAGTCATCGTGCCCCTCGCTCGTGTACTGGGGCTGATGAACGCTGAGCCGTTTGCGCAAGGCCTCCGTCTTCAGCTTCAGAGGCAGTGCCGACACAGACACCTGCACTGAAAAGCTCTCCTATGACACGTGAGACACAAAGGGGAAAATCTGGCTGAGTGGAGAGAACGCATTGACCGCAAGGCTAACCTGGGCATAAAACACTTGACCCCCCCTTCTCCCGCCACCCATAGCGATCGATGTAGCAGCCTCTAGTGGCTGAAGGGGCCGCATTAACACATTCGTTATGGACAACGTACACGATTCGAAAAGCATCCATTCTTACACACGTGATTAGATTTGAATATTGTGAGTGTGTGGAATCAATTTTCATCGAGTAATTGAATGTTGCAGCGCATTCTCAAGAACCATTGACTCACTGAGGCACCGATGTCATCAGGAACTGTGAATATTGCGACGAAGACTAAAGAAATAGAGCTGCGTGCGTCTTCCAAAAGCGATTTGTTAAACTGCCATGATTCAATGACACAACTCGGTTTGAGAATTTATTATTTTTGGCCGCATGCTCCTTATCTCGTTATAATTGTTTCCCACTTTTCTGTCTAGTTTATATAGTTTTAGTTGCTCCATTAACACAAATGTAACATTGTCATACTATTTGTCATATCATTTTCATGAATACTCATGTGTATTATTCGATCCACAAGGTTCGATGCTCAACAATGAATTGACGAATCATTTTATTCCTCCTAAATCAATCGCTTAAAATGGCTTTTTACACTCACAAACCGTGCATATTTTTTGGCGATATTGGTGGTCGGCGTAATTCACTCCTGCTCCGCTATTAGGGTTGGGGTCGGGGGGGGGGGGATGTGCGTGCGATGTGAAGCCTACGGAGCAAGAAAGCTGGCTTTTCTCGAAGGAAATGCACACGATGAGGTTGGGTCGGTGGAGCCGGTTGCTGCACAGCTCCGGCAGCCTGTCGGTGGGCTCCAGGATGGGCGGCTGGCTGTACTGAAGCCACTCCTGCCAGCTCTGGCCCTGTCGCTCAAGCACCTTCTTCTCGCTCAGCTGTCGCATGTTCGTGCGGAAGTCATTCACCTCGGGGCTCTTGAGCGCATCGAACTCGTGCAGACCTGCACGCCCGTAAACATGCGCGGGGATTACGCTTTAACAACAAGCACAACTTATTTGTCCAGTGCCGTATTTAAGAGACAGTGTCGCGAGGCTGACCTCCTGTGTCGAAGCTCGAGCGTAGTGGACAGCGGTGACTATCGACCACACGCGAAAAAATGTTTGTAAAGTCTTTCTTTGGAACGTTTCGTAAGATCGGATGGATCGAAAGTTGTCAACTGGCAGAGCGTTCCAGACTGACGGAGAGGCGACTCGCAACGCTCTGCCGCCCATTACGGTTCAGGTCGACGGCATTGCGAGCAAGGATTTGCCGGCCAATCGCCAACGTCTGATCGGATTGCGAACTGCGAGCTATTCAAAGAGGTAGATGGCCGAGACTGTTCTGTCAGAGCCCGGTGAGTAACGGATGAAACTTTGTACTCGATATTGTTTCTTAATCTACAGCCATCATCTATCTGCAGCAGTAGCAACGGCAGAAATATTAGCCTGGCAGAAGCTTTGTTTTTTTACGAGCTCAGTACAGCTATGTCAGGCCTGGAAAATATTATGAAAGAGATAATTTGCTAATGTGGCTGTGATTTAAACAATTTCGTGACTGCAAGGATTCATATTAAATAAGAGAAATTAAAACAACTAAATTAGTTGTTTTCATTTATTTTATTTTATTTTTTAACTATGTGACTTTGCCGAAAAAACCAAAGAGTATGTGTCCATTGCTACCTATACTTTATTATTTATCTCGGTCATGAGAAAATGCCTACATGAAGTCATCAGTCTAGACTGGAAGGTATTTTAGAAATAAATAATTTAAAATATTTCTTGTGCAAAACAACATTCCCATCGTAATGGAAATGAATCCACGACATAGGAAAAATGTGAATGTCATAAAACAAAGTTAAGTAAAACCTCACAGAAAAATAGGCTTGCTAACAGTCAATGGTGGTAATTTATTCGGCACTAATTGTGCCCATATAACAATACACATATGGCATGTTTGCCGAAACTTCACAATTGCATTGCTGGAATTTCCAACTTCCGAGTATGTTCGGGGTATGCAATGCAGCAGCAGGCACTCATTTAAGCATTACAATGCCACCTCACATAACGCGTCTATAAAGAGAAAACATGTTTGTCGACAAGTGTATGTAAAAGTTTAAGCTGCAGGCGAGTTCTGCGCTATTCTTGTTATTTATCTGGACAAACCACAGCATGGTTTTTCGGTCAGGCCACGCCACACCAGTTTCTACTTAAATTATTATTTATTTCTTATTTTAAAAAAATACTTTCCACTGTTGGGGCCCCAATGCTGAGATCACTTCCTGCCCGCAACTGGTGTGAAGTCGTCCGATAAACGGGTCACCGCACCACTTCGCACTCTACTCAGAATTAAACAACACGAAAACAGGACCTACGTCACACGGCACTCGGGCAACTCCCACGTGCAAAATTCCCGTGCCAGCCGCTGAGCTCGAGTGCCAATGCGTGTATCTGAACGAGCAATTAATTACGAGATAACTACAGCGTAGGTCTTTGTTATTGTGTGTGTGCGGTCATGCTGTGTAGCAGTTCCGATGTGTTTTCAGGTTGTGACGCGTCGTTAGGAGTGATGCCTGATGATTTGCGTGACACATTCTTTGGGTTTTCGTGACTGCAGGGATTCATCTTGTTGGTTCTTTCGGTAAAGTCACGTAGAAGGGAAATAATAAAAAAATAAAATAAAACATTATTATATTATTTTATTATGTTTTTTATTATTTCCCTTCTACGTGACTTTACCGAAAGAACCAAGAAGACATTCTGGGGGCTTCTTCAGGAAACTTTGGAAACATGCCGTTGCGTAACGATGACCCACCTCATTTGATAAAACTATTTCATGTAAGTGACTAGGTCGGTTAAAAAGTGTTTAGTTTTTACAAGTGTATAATTTGGCTGCTTCGTGTTATTTTACGTGTTGCGTTAACCTGTACCGACTAGGGCATCCGACATTTCACTTCTTCGGGAACTGAACTGTTCAGTTCCTCAAGAAGCTCGCAGCACGTGGAGTGAAATGTCTCTTATCATGCCAAATGACACGTGATGCAACCCAAAAACACATTGGCGAGCTAATTAATAAAGATGTATTTTGACTGCAAAGCTGAGGATCCTCACACAAGCTCTAATAGATGTTTGGATGTTGCAGTTGAGTCAAGTTAATACGTTTAAATCGACAAAATCGAAGAAAATCGATTAGATGTTTTGTTCTTTTTAAACAAGACTTTAAATGCACCATGCAACACACCGCGTTGAAGGTAACAGAATGCTTCAGGACTTAACATTGAACTGTCTTGGCCACGTACACGACTAAGGTGTATTCAATGTCATTTGGATAATGTTGTTCATCAAAACAATCTCTAAATACTGGATATACCCAGATTTGAAGCTTTCGTGGCTGCAAAGATTCATACTCTTAGGTTTTTTCCAGATTTGAAGCTTTCGTGGCTGCAAGGATTCATTTCGTGGCTGCAAGGATTCATACTTAGGTTTTTTCGGTAAAGTCATTTTGGTTAAAAAAGAATAATAATAAAATGAAATAAAAATAACTAAACATTTAATAATGATAAAATAGAAATAAAATGAAAACTAAAAATGTAGTTATTTTCATTTATTATTATTATTTTATTATTTACCTACGTGACTTTACCGAAAAAACCTAAGAGTATGGATATACCCAGTTGACTGTTAATGGTGGCAATAATAAATGGCAATGCATACGAATGGTTGAATGTCTGGAATACATTTTTAAACAAGTGTATTTATTTACAATGAAACAAACGGTTTCCCAATATTACAGAATGAATGTATTAAATTGGGATTGTTGACCTAACCAACCCCCACTGACCAGTATGGGTGAAGCACGGTCAAAAAAATCCCAATAACCGATATACGGCAGCGTAGCTGTAAACGTAATGGTTTGTCACGTGACAAATCACACTGGAATCACCATGGGGGTTGAACATTCTCTTGTTCCTGCGTGCCAACTGGTTTGAACGTCACTCGAACCGACTGGGTTCGCCTATCGATCCCATGACGTTTGATATCAGAAATTGATTCCGTAAACGATTGTGCAATAAAAATTGATATTCGAACAACAACCATTTATTGCGACAAGGTAGATGATTTCGATTTAAAGCTTTCGTGACTGCAGGGATTCATCTTCTTGGTTCTTTCGGTAAAGTCACGTAGAAGGGAAATAATAAAATAATATAAAGACAGCTGTCTTTCCGACAGACCTGTTCTTCACCTGAGGACGGCTTGCTTGCGTTGTGGCCGAATCGTCGTGAGAAGTGTATTTTATTGTTTTATTTTTATAATTTTATTATTTCCCTTCTCCGTGACTTTACCAAAAGAACCAAGAAGAAGGTAGATGATGTGGTGTTTGTACCTAGTGACAACATCTGCGGCTGTGCAAGATCTAAGGGCTGGGGGGGGGGGGGGGGACATGTGAGCATTCCAACCCCCTCACCCCCCCAAAACCGAAAACACTGATATTCTATCTTAATTTTTTGCAAAAGGAAATAGACTTTATTGGTATCTTTCTAAATTTAGGACCATTGTTTTCAATCTCAAAATGTCTGGGCCACAGCCCTCGCCCCAACCATGCAAAGTTTCTAGATCCACCTCTTAATCTGCAGCCAAGCGAACACACCCCTCCCGCAGACTACCGTGAATGTGTGAACTCACCTGACCTTACCCTGTGATTTTAATACGTTCAACCGGGGTTTATGATCTCCCATGTTCTTACACGACCTTTGGAGCCTACGCGTGCGGGCACCACGCGGTGCATCAGTGGCCAGAGCCAGCACTGTAACGCCATCGATCGCACAACCACGTCTCTCTGCCACCCCTACTTTGACATCTACAAGGATCATTGTCACCACTTTCACCACTGCCAGTCTCTACGGATGCCTAGATAACCACTTAAGAGTCGAGAGGAGGACTGACAGCAAAGGATAGACAGAAAATACTCTCCAAGTAATCCTATAGGACAGCACTGTGTTGCACGTGATAATATCATCTCTCACAATGTTTTAATTGTTAAGAGTCTACTGCCAAGATATTCATCCATAAAGTGGTCTGGAAACCTAAAATGACGTGAAAATTCCGTATGGATTTGTGTGCGTGCGCATGCGTGAGTGCGCGCGCATATCCATAGGCATGTTGTGTATCAAGATAACGTGTACTCGTACAGCCCTTTTGTCAATCCACTGTTGGATGAGGGCCTCCCCATGCCTTTCAGTCACATTGGTTGGTTGACCACACTTCACCACACTGGTCAGCACAGGCCAATGAAAGGGGTGCCCAAGGACCATTTCAAACATAACTCGCCACCGATGTTGGCCTTGGCCTGGAATCACACTCGGGTCGCCGGGTTAACAGCGCAAAGCACTAACCACTGCGGCACTGCCATACCCAATCATTACGTAACGCCATTGCTATTTTAATAGATAGGTTTTCTTTCATGGACTCAACGTAATTAAATTTTACAGTTGAGACGTACATTTTCATACAGAATGTGGGTCTTGCTAGTTTATGCACTGGGGCCTAAACAAAAAAATGCCGCCGAAATGCTTAACAGCAATCGCACATAACTTATACAACAGGGCATGTGAATGTGTTAAAATTGATACAACCAGCATGCGAATACACGTTGGGCAAAACCGATCCATCACAGTCGCCAACTTTTTCAGTGCACTGTGGCGATACCATTACACGCGAGTGCAAGTCGTGTGCACTTACGGAGGCATCCCGACACCGGGTCCTGAAACGGAGCATATGCACACTGCTGCCTTGGCCGCATTAACAATGTCGCTCGGGCAACGGTTAGACTCGCACTCGGTGTTTTGATTACTATCTCCAAAAGGTCGTGCGAACCCAGCGGAAAAACAACGCATTCATCCAAGTGCATAATTGTTCGCGTTGATCAGCCTCTTAACAATTCACACTGCGAGCCTGGTGCGACACTTCAACAAGTGCTGTGATAAACAACCGCACAAAAACACATGCTCGCTAGCTGCCGATAAACAAGCGCTCAGGTCTGCCAATAATTTTAAATTACTGGCTCTATGAAAAGCTAATGCATTACAACTGAGACATTGACTTAACATGTGCTGTACGAATGTAGTGTAGCGGGGAACGCTAGTGTAGCGGTTAGCCCGCCACGCTACAAACCCGGCGACCCGAGTTCAATTCCCGCTCACGGCCAATATCGGTGACAATTATCTGAACCGGACTTCGGCCTCCCTTAGGTTGACTTAGCCTAATATTAGTACCTGGTGTGGTGTGTAAAAATATCGACACTGAGGAGACAAGGGCGGTCGGGCACGGTACTGGCCCCCCATCCCCTCGTGTGCCGTCCCGGCTTTCATAGGTGCTCGCTAAAAGCACTCGCCCCAACAGTGTGTTATGGTTATACGGGGGATCTTTGTCTTTGTACGTACACCTGTCCTAAGTGCATGCGAGTCGGTGACAAGCCACATGGCCTTGCTGGGCACTACAGCCCGGCCCAAGTGCCAGGGTGATGTCACTGGCACAGTTGCACTGTAATGCATGTGCGTGCATGCGTGTGCATGTGATATTGCCGTATATAATTCGTAAAGCACCTAGCAGCAGATTCTCTACACACTGTGACACCTTTTTTGCCGCGTCGCTCAAGGTCGTGATGTTACTACCGCCAATGCCATGGATGCCACCACATCTCGTTATCGCTTCCTTCCTTCTGCTAGATTGCACAGCTGTTGTAAAGTCCACATCCCTGCTCCAAGGTCTGCTCTTACAGTATACTGCCATCTGGATGAACGTTTTCCCCTTGGTGGCCAACCTCTGGGTGCCTCTCAAATGCCTCTCTTGGTAACCTGCCCTCCTCCATCCTGCATATTTTGTCCCACCAAATGCAACCTACCCTTCCCCTTCTTATATATATACACAATACTTTCCTGCCACGTTTTATTCCGAAGCTCAAGTTATTTTCCCTATTCTACAATGAAATTCCTAGCATCCTTCAAATACACATGTGTTCAAGGACCAGCAGCTTTTCTAGCTGCCGTATTCAAGTGCAGCTCTATGACCCATACATTAAGAAAGTGTGGACTGAATGGAAGTTAAATAAAGGATTTAAAAACAAAGTTTTTCACTATAAATCCTTTATATGCGTGGCGGCTAGAGTCCTCTCGTTCTCTGGCTTGAGATGGTTGCCACCTATGGGTCAGATGATTGCCTGCCACCATTAAGCAATTGGTAATTAAATATAATTTCTTTTTTCCTAACAAGTGTAAAATTTTGGAGAAAAAAATTTCACGAAAATAAATTGTCACGCACAACGAGTCTGTGTGCAAAATGTCAGCTCGATTGGATCACGGGAAGTGGGTTAAAAAACGACCGAAAGATTTGCACGGTCGTAAGCGCGCAAGCAAGGAAGCAAGCGAACTTAATATAAAGGATTTAAAAAACAAACTGAATACAACACTTAGCATTTAAAGGAGTCCAGACACATATTGCATTAACAGAGAAAGTTATCATGAACAATATAAACTATTTTTGAAGAGTAAAGTGAAACTTAAACAACAAGTGTTCATGTTGCTCTATGGGTCAGACAGCTGACTTTTAACAATGAAAAAAATATTTAGCCTTTCAATATAGGTGCATGTGAAGGGCACTCGGGATTTTAAACACATTTCTGCGGAGGGAGCTGATAGGAACGTTGGGTTGCTCGGTCAATGGCCAGGGTCAACGGCGGCGTGGTGTATTCCGCAAATATGGCCGACTGTGAGGGCGGGCACAAGCCGGCGTGCGTAGGTTAAACGTTTAAGGGCACCACGGGGTGACCAGCCCCTTCCCACCCAGCCCCACCCCACCCAGCCCCACCTAGCCCCTCCCCATCCAGCCCCTCCCCACCCCACCCAGCCCCTCCCAACCCTCCCCACCCAGCCCCTCCTCACCCTCCCCTCTCCACCCAGCCCCACCCCTCCCATTTTTGGATGCACGACGGACAGACGGACGGACAGAATAATCCCGTGGGCTGGTGTAAACCAGGAGGTTCCTACCAGTAAAAGGACCGTGTAAGCAACTTGCAAGTTCAGGAGTGTGTATGTGGCAAGAAAAAAAGTAGAAAATGATCATAAAGATGAGTGGCAGATATGGAGGATGGACGAGGTCACCACTAGAGGGAATGCAGTGACACCCATAGGTTGATCACCAAGGGGTAGGCCAGACGCCCAGCTTGTTGGGACATTGTAAGAACGGACCAAGGAGGTCAGGAGATGTCAACACCTACAGGATCTACCAGAAGGAAAAGAGCAATGGCAACGTGTGGTTGACATCAACAGCACTGGCTGTCGTGAGCTCTCGATAACAAGAGACATGCTTCCCCCCTCGTTAAGCCCTTCCGTGCCGATCTCGGGTTTTCGCTTGCGGAGTTTCCGTTCCCCCCTTGTACTGTGACCGGTACTTTGTACTGTGCTCGTGTCGAGTCGTAATAATATATTTTTAAAACAAGACACATGCACCGCTGTGGCAATCAGGCTGCTCAAAAGTCGTGAACGCTGAGCTGGCACTGCCACGAGCACCTGGGTTCGATGCTGGAAAACTAACGCACAGGGAGAGCGTAGCAGGAACGTATATGCATGGATGTAGAACTTTTTTCGCACCGTACATAGCGAACCGTGAATAATCTGAGGTGTGAACGTGATGGGAACAAACGGGGGGTAAGAAGGTGGAACGCAGCGGCGCGCTGGCACACACACACGCGGAGAGCGAGAGAGTGGCGAGGGAGTGGCGAGAGAGTGGGGGGAGCGGAGGGGCAGAGGGCTCACCACGGCCGATGAGAACGGAGATCTGCGAGTTCTGGAGCCGCTCGACGCGATCGCCCTCCCGCAGCACGAGGCGTAGCATGGGGAAGCATGGCCGCACGTCGCAGAGGCGGCGGCTCTCCTCCTCCAGCTCCTCCTGCTCCGCCGCCTGGTTGATGCATGTGAACACGTAGGCCTCGGGCTCGTTGAGCAGCGAGAAGAGCGGGTACAACTTGGCCTGGACCCACACGAGCTGTAAGCAATGAAGCGGAGAAAACAACAACAGGAGCAACAACAGAATGAGCGATCAGTTGGAACAACGCTAGCCGCGCCAGGACAACTGCCAAGCCAAGCCCAGCACGGCTCAGAAGGCGCCAGGTTGTTTTTCCACTGCAAAAGCTGAGCCGAGCCACGGACACCACACGCAGTGACCGGATGTATATGACGTCGTGTCGCTGTATCCTCATGGTTTACCGACTCATGTCACGCGCAATGAGCACATCATTAGCACCGCCCCTGGCCCTGCTTGGCCTTGAGCCAGAAAACAATGTCTTTTGAGGACAGCGTATCATAGTTTGGTTCCGGCTCGGCAAAGCAAACGGCCAGTGGAAAACCACCTTGAACCGTGAGGGATGGGACGCTGGCCTATGGTGTGTTGAGAATCGGCTCCAGCTGAATGTTTAAAGGTAATGCTGGAGGGCCTCCCTCCACACCCACGTGGATCGTGGAGGAAATTTGACCTGAAGTACCCACGCCGTTTAGTGAAGGTTGGTGAAGAAAGGGAGCAGATTCTAGATTAGAAGTTTTCGTTACTGCAAGGATCCATACTCTTTGGTTCTTTCGGTAAAGTCACGTAGGTAAAAACAAAATAAAATAAAAATAAAATAAATTTTGTTGTTTCATTTTATTTAGTTTTCACCTATGTGACTTTACCGAAAAAAAACAAAGAGTAAAGGGAGCAGAGTTGTGGGAGTGGAGAAGTGCAGTATACACATAGAAGTAGAGTACAACAATAGATTGTGTTGCATTGCCCTCTGCTGCCCACAACATGGTGCAGGAGCAGTCTATAATGCCTATCTTATGCATGGTTGGTTGGCCATCCAAGCGAATTCATCCTGCTTAGCTTCCTTGACCAGATAAGATTGACTGATTTGGTTATGTGCATTGGTAAATGGGTAAATAAAGCGTCGCTTTGTGTTTTTGAACAGTTGCCGAAGCAAGATTCATCTGTAAGAATGTTGCTTAAAGATCCTCTTCAATACAATTTGCATCATAAAGCATCCCCATTGCGATATTAAGAGGCTGTACAAATGTGGCAGGGCAGATCTCGGAAGGAAAAGTGTTTTAGAGAAGGGTTATTTTTAGACGAAGGAGAAAAGTTGAGTGATGATGATGATTATGATGACGTATTTTCCAGGATGTGTTAGCGCATATTGAAGTCAGGCGTCTTCGATAGAGTTGCAATTATTAGGAAGCTGATGTAAAATTCCTGCCAAGTAAGATGGAAATATTGTTTGTCGTGGCCGATTATTTTATTCTTAAAAAATAAACCACATTGTCGGTGTCAGGCACTGGTCAAAGCCTCACACCGAAGCTGGCACAACCGTGAGCAGCATAACAACGATACTGTGAAAAAAAATCCACTGCGGTCTGGTGTTAAATACGCAGGTATTAAAGCCATTGAGGCATCAACTTGACTCATTAACTTAACTTGAAGAAACGACAGAAGTCTGTTATAATTATACTGTGCAAAATAAATGTTACTTTATTATTATTATCGCACGTGTTTATCCAGGAAAGCCTCAGAGTGCCGAGGCTTTTTTCAGGAGGGTCCCACAATGGGACATTTGGCCAGTATCATGAATGAGTGTTTGGATTCATACATGGGGAAGAAAAAAAACAAGAGTATACGGAGGAAATCCATACCTCAAAACTCCACACGGATTAAGAAATCCACTGCTATACTGCCATCTCCTGGCCACCTCATAGCAAAAACCTGTAATGCCTCTAGGTAACCACCAATCCACATACCAACCAGGCTTGGTCCTGTTTAGCTTCCAAGATGTGACAAGATAGGGTGCATTCAGGGTGATTTGGTCATCAGCAACGTGGCCACCTCATAGCAAAAGCCTGCAATGCCTCGAGATAGCCGCAAATCCACATATTAACCAGGCTCGGACCTGCTTAGCCTCCAAGATGTGACAAGTTGGGGTGCATTCAGGGTGATTTGGTCATCGGCAGTGTTACCCACTTATATGACACTCAGGTGAATCAATGCAGCAAATGGGAGAGAGATATTGGCTTTGTAACTATGGCGCTGGAGAAGACATTTGTTTTTTTATATCCCATGGACAGCAAAAAGAACCAGCAAGAGTGTTTCACCAAAGACTGATGAAAAGGCTAGATTGTACACTACAATAGAAATATGGAAGCTAAAGTATATTTGGACACACATGGCTGTAGGTGTGATGGGGAAAACTGGAAAAAAAGTTGATGACGTTTGGTAAAGAGAGAACAAGAAGCATGGCTAGACAGAGACTAAGATAGACGGATCGTAAGCTAATTTTACCGGGAGGACAAAACAGTACAACGTCGCTTATCCGACTCGCAGGAGACTGAACGTATAAGTGGATATGAGCAAAGGTCATATTTGTGAATGTCTATAAAATTACAGTTACACCACCGTGCACAAATAGGCTACTAGACACAAATAAAACGCAAACTGCTGTACACGTGGGCAATTTCTTCGTCATATGTGATGTTAAGGATACATTCACCTTTGTGAAAATGTGGGATTTGTAAACGTTTACAGAAAATGACAGTTGTACCATGCACAAATTCTGTACTCGGTGGGTCCGAGAATTTATTTTGGCCAGAGAGGATATGACGGTAGCATATGAGAAGCCGCATTTGTACACCGATGTTATATAAAATACAAAAATTGACGAGTGGAGTAGCTTCACCATCAAGCTGACAAATACTAAGTAATGAGTATAACGAAAGACAGACAGACAGAAAGTAAAGAGATGGTTGTGAGAGATGACTACAGTTCTAAAAATGCTGCCCGTGGGTTTCGCCTCACCCGCTTGATGTTGCCGATGGTGGCATCTCGAGGCACGCTGTACGTGAAGAAAATCCCCGTCGGCAGCAGGAAATCCACCAAAACGTCGCTGTTATCGCTTGCCGTCCACTGATCAAACGTGTAGTCAACTCCCGGGGGCATCTTGGATGGCACGAATGCACCCCCAGTGCTGTCAGCTCACCGCCGCCCTAGGAGGACAGAAAACATCGGTGGCATGTCACGCTCATTTCAGTCCCTCCGCTATCTGTCGCGGACAGCAAATGACAACACGGTAAAAATACACGACTGCATTGCATGATGTCCTCCTACGAGAGCTGCGATAGCGACCGACCGGGAGATAAGGGCGTCAAAACGTCCTGCGGGAAAACCCAGATCAGTCGGCGAGACCTTTTCAAGCGGGGACGAATTTTACTTTGCAGAGACGATACTTGGGGGAGATACGCATCCGGAGGGTATTTTACCCTTCACTAACCAAGCGTTTGTCAACGCTCCAGTTATTTAGTCTGCGGTCTAAGGAAGTCGGTCGTTGCTGACAGGACCCTCCAAGAGTAGCAGCTGATGCGATCGCACATGTCACATCCCAGGACACACGCTAATTAAAAACATTCAAATAGCGCGCATGAACAGCACGGTACATTACAAACAACAATTACTAATACTCACACAGAAGGACTCTAACTCATTCTTAAAAAGCTTCCCTTCTTTTTCCACACCACCCTTCAGGCGGTGTGACACGCGCCGCTATATATTTGCGGGAGCAGCGGTTTATCGCACCGCGCTACAAACCTGCTCGCCCGAGTTCGATTTCCAGCCTTGACTAACGTCGGTGGCGAGCGATATCCGAACCAGCCCTGAGCTGCCACTTTCACCAATCCGGACTAACCCAGTGTAAAGTATGGTAGTTAGAATCCCATCTACTGCTGGATTTATTAAACGGGCTGTAAGTTACTGTTGCAATATTTTACGTGACTTAAACCTTCTGCATTTGTGGAAATCCGATCAGGACACAATGGTTCGCTCTTATGAGGAATTGCGTGCAATGCCTTGCATGCGTGGTACAAGGAAGCTGGAGGGATAGTGGGCTTCCCTTCCCTACCAAAGGATGCCGCACTTCTGTTTTATGGGGCTTTTCTGCTGAAGATGCGGATAAGCCAGACAGAAACACTCAGTTTACGGTTTAAGTGGCATTAAGCTCAGAGCAACATAGGCCAACAATTTACCCTGTTTCTCTGTACAAAGGGCTGTGTGTATACACTGGGAATGTAGCAGCAATTGCAAACACAGCCCTACTATGATGTGTTTTTGGGTACAGCACAACCACAAAAAATGTACGCAGTGCTTATGTAGACTTATTGTACAGAAGAATGGTAGGTTAGAGGGCACATTCTTGGTAAATGAAATCCCCAATATGATCAATAAACATATTACAGGCGATGCTATTTATTTTTTGTTTAAGCCAAATAAAACCGAACTTCGCTAAAATTAATATGAAAAATGTACAAAAACATTAAAGCTATAAGAACAAGTAGCAATTGTTTTCAATGTTGAAATAAATACCCCAGCCAGGCTCTTAATGAAATATTTGCACTGTTATTTAAGAACAGAAAAACATACGATGTCATCGTAATTTTTTTCTTTTTTTTTAATGAACAATACCCTGTTAAATGTGAGAAAAAAGAAAATCCAGTCAAAAAATTACACTATTATACAAATGTAAGTAATAATCAACACCCAGATGTCACCTTGCATGGGGTAAACATAGAGCCTATGATTTATTAAAATGTTTTAAATTAGCTCGGCTTACTTATAGCCAGAGGTGTGGACTCGAGTCATGTGACTTGGACTCGAGTCAGACTCGAGTCATGAATTTGATGACTTCAGACTCGACTTGGACTTGCATGACAATGACTTTGTCCCACCTCTGAGGTGTGGACTCGAGTCATGTGACTTGGACTCGAGTCAGACTCGAGTCATGAATTTGATGACTTCAGACTCGACTTGGACTTGCATGACAATGACTTTGTCCCACCTCTGCTTATAGCCTTCACAAACCCGCACCGACCACAATGGTAGAGTACGGTCAAATAATCCCCGTGACCCGTGGCTTGGAGGCAACTCATCCAGCAGTAGAGTTACCAAAGTACTGTACATCTACTATACCGATATCACTGCTCTGGTAGTACAGTACTGTAATATTGGAACGCATATATTCTCTAGATGTTCAAGCCTGCAATGCCATATCAATTAACCAAGTAAAATATATTCTAATGCGAACGATGCATCCATCGAAAATGTCCTTGTAAGAAAGCATGACTGCCATTTTATGCAAAATACATGCCAATGATGTATTTATACTGGTAGGAACCTCCTGGTTACACCAGCCCACAAGGGATTATTGTGTCCGTCGTACAGGGAGGGGCTGGGTGGGTAGGGGCTGGGTGGGGAGGGTGGGGAGGGTGGGGAGGGGCTGGGTGGGTGGGGAGGGTGGGGAGGGGCTGGGTGGGGAGGGTGGGGAGGGGCTGGTCACCCCGTGGTGCCCTTATAAAACTCAACGTTTAACCTACTCATGCCGGCTTGTGCCCGCCCTCGCAGTCGGGAATATTTGCGGAACACACCACGCCACCGTTGACCCTGGCCATTAACCGAGCAACCCAACGTTCCTACCAGCTCCCTCCGCAGGAATGTGTTGCAAATAAGGAGAACATAGTTGCACGACTCCAAAACCCCCAAAAGAATAACACAGTAAAACCAGGAGAAAATTATTGATGCCTCAATAGAATCATGACCCTGAATGGTGACTATTGATCACATCGATAGGAACTGTAGCACGCCTAATATATATATGCGCATACCCGTAAGTAAACAAAGTTATAAATGCATACGTGTGCACCTGTAACCAATACCCTAAAATGCATTGTGATTCACGGTCTTGGTTAACATCGGTTGCTAGTAACATCTGAACAGGACATCGACCTCCACCTTCACTAATCTGTACCGATGAACATGGTGAAGTTATCCTGGAGAAATCCGATGAGCTATGAAGCTCGTTCTCACAAATGTCCAGTCGACACAGATGTCCAGTAGTAGTCACAGATGTCCAATAACCGACATAGGCCTTCCTCCCGCAGTGGATTAAAAACGGCTGTGAATTATTCTTATCGCATTGAAATATGCAGTGTATTCTGCCGTGGCGTAATGGCTAGTGCGCTAGATTTGCAATTTAGACATCGTCAGTTTCTATCTCCCGGCGGCGCAGAAGTTTAAACAATGAGCAAGTTTCTTACTTAAATTCCCCCGCTTCTGTCCACCCAGCAGTCAGAGTCAACCAGCAGGTTACTGCAGTGGGGTGAATTGTGGGTACTCCTACCTCTTCCTAGACATCTGGCTGGCACGGAATAAGGAGGCCAAACACTCTCAACAGGGGTTCTCTCTAGTTTCCTCCAGTTGAAGCCCTTGCAGCACTGCACTTTTACCTTTTTTCTATGTATTGTATAGTGGAAGGTATAGTTCAGTTGGTAGATTAGGGGTTTTAGAATTACACTTTCAGGGGTTCAAATACGCACCGGAATCACAACCAAAACTATCATCTCTCTTCAGCCGGCAAAAACTTACAAATATCACTGTGCCAAGCAAGCACTGAAGTATGTCAGTAGTGGCTTTCTTCAAGAAATACTGGTTCCGAGTATGAAAACATGCAATTAAATAATTGGCTCAGGATCACCATCGAAGATAAGTAACGATGAAAGGAACATGGAAGGAACTTTAACTGTTTAAGGTACAATGTACAACCCTTTGTAAATCCACTGCTGTATGAAGGCCTACCCACGACAATGTCATGGGGGTGGTTTGACCATACTTAACCATCCTGGTTCAGTGCAGGTTGGGAAAACAGAGACCTAGAGCTAGTTAGGATAGAACTCAAAACTGGAGTTATAGCCGTGGCCGGGAATCGAAGTCGGGTAGCCGGCTTCGTAGTACGGTGTGCTCACCACTGCACCACCGCTGCTTCACCCCCCAATTATTATTATTTTTACACATGCGGGTACGTTCCACGCACACAGCGATCACCCTCCCACTACGGGTTGGTGAAGAATTTGCCTATTAACCGATCATCTTTCCACAATTCTACGAATTGTCATGAGCCGAGGTCACAATTTTTTTTCCACCGTCTCGTTTGTGTCGTCCGCCTTTTCGTTGGCTTTGTCTTGTCCTGGTTTTGTTCCATTAGTCTAAAAAGTGCAATACATTTCTTGTTTCCACTTTACATTCATTGAACACAATTGATTCTTAGACACACGATTTAATGCGTGTGCCACGAGAGTAGGAATCGACTTTTAATCAATAAACTGATTAAGCACACCTCCCTATTTAAACACATTAGTTCACAGGAGACCGTTGTATGTGGTGGGCAGCAGAGATAACTACAGAAAATCCATTGCTTTACTGTACTTCCGTATTCCCACATCACTACTACCTGACCACCCGCCTTCATAAACCCACACTGACTACATGACCCTCGATGACACGGGGAGGGATCTCACGACAAGAGTGGCATGACAAAGAATTGTACATGTACACACACACACGTGTACACTTACACATGTAAATAAGGTTGTGCACGCTTGTAACCCGGTGCTATGCGGACAGAGTTATTGGAATGCACAGGTGGATGTACCCCACTTGAACATCAGAAGGTGGCCTATGGAAGGTGGCGCAGTTGGTGAATTGTGTACCTTTCTAGATTTGAAGCTTTCGTGACTGCAAGGATTCATATTCTTAGGTTTTTTCGGTAAAGTCACGTAGGTAAAAAAATACTTTTATTAATTTTATTTTTTTACCTACGTGACTTTACCGAAACAACCTAAGAATATGAATTGTGTACCTATGTGTAGATTTATGAGTGTTTTTCCCCCCAACTTGTACAATTGGGGCTTTCTCCGTTCACCCAGCTCCACCCCCCGCTTTCCCCCTTCCCATGCAAAAATAACCAATTAAAAACTAGCCAAACACTCCAAGTAGTGGCAGGACATTCTCCTTGATGTGAGAATGTATGTATGTTGAACTTCTTTCACACCGTACGTAGCCAACCGTGCTAATAGGTTTGTGTCACTGTTATTACGAAAATACCGAGCTAACTTGCACATGGACCTAACTTTTTCTGGTGCCTCTTGCTCTAATAATACTTGCA